CCTGATGGGCCTGCTCCGTTGAATAGGCTGAGATTCCCACAGAGTGGTAAGGCCCAAGACCCTTGTCGGTAGGGAGCAGAATAGCGGTAAAGGTCATGTTGACTGACTTTTGCTTTCGGAGAATGGCTGCTGGCGAATCGCGGTCAGACAGAGTGTATGCGTTTGGAATAAACACCACACCCTTGCCTTTGGCGACGGAAAAGTTCTCGGTGTAGGGAGACCTAAGCTGGTACCAACTAGGATCAAGAACTGGGCCGTCAAATTTATCCTCATAAGGCTTCGGGACATCCTCTCTGTCTGGGCCATACTCTGGATAACGCTGGCTTAGGAGGATAGGTTCGCCATTGTTCATTGTCGGCCATCCGTCTTTCCATTCAACGGGGGCGAAGAACGTCTCCCTACCCAATACCGTGTAACTGCCTACATTACGCTTTGCGAGGAAAGTAGCAAACCATTTACCATCTGGTGTATCAGCGAAGGTCGCATGCCCGGTTGCGCTGACTGTCAGGTTCGTGTTGGCACCGTTGAATATCAGCGGGTTTGTCGGAGAGGACTCCCACGGTCCTTCGGGAGAGTCTGAGCGGGCAATAGTAGCTCGGTGAGTCACCCCAGTGCCGCCTTCAGCAATCAAGAGGTAATAGAAGCCGTCTTTGTAGAACAACTTTGGGCCTTCGGGTCTGGTAGAAGTTGTTACAGGCAGTGTCCCATTCCAGATACTACGGTACGGGCCGACGCATTTCCCGTTCTCGAGATTCACTTCGCACTGAGTGATACCCCAAAGCTTATCGTAGCCATTGTTCAGTCCCATAAGCGACAGGTAGGTCTTCCCCGACACTGGGTCCTTGAACAAATGGGGGTCGATCCCAAGAGGCTCACTCCACACAGCATCAGACCAAGTCTTGAGGTCTGGAGAAGTGACCCAAAAGATGCGAGGCCAGGTGCGGTAATCGGGATCGGAGCCGGTCATCGCCATTGAGGTCATGTAGAACAGACCGTCAATATATGACAAAGATGGTGCCCAAACACCTTTACAAAATTAGTGAAGCTCGTTTAAACATAAACACATGACATACCATTATTGTTTCTAACGCCAGTGATGGGAACATTTTTCGGGTTGTCTAGAGCGTGTGACACAAGCTCCCAATTGGAGAGATCTTTTGACTTGTAGATAGGAACTCCGGGATATGTCAGAAACGACGAGACCGCAATATAATAAGTATCATCTACACGTAAAACATGCGGGTCTGGATTCCAGCTGTAACTATGCATTAGCGCCTGTGAAACTCAGAGTTTTTGCCAGCATTTGCCCTCATACCCTGGAATGATAGGGTTCCTCAAGGCCGAGGCAATCGAAGCCAAGGTGAGACACAGTAGTGCCGCCACTCGATGGAATCTTGGCATGTCGGCAAATCAATTATCGTTATACGGGACTCAACATTTAAAGATTCTCGGTTAGAAACAAAACCTGAAACCCACAGTGTTTATATTTTCTAGTCCTGTCTCGAAAATGCGGAACATTCTATTCACAATAGCACAGAGAGGAGTTGCGAAAGGGTCATTCAGCCTTTCAATCCTCCTAATTGGGTAAATCTCTCTCTCTGGAATATCTTTTTCCCATCAATTAATATGTAAGGTAGGAAGAAACAAGGTTGAAATCACCCGAACAAAGCAGCAGATGATAGGCTTGGCTTGTGGGCCAAGTTCGGAATAATTCATCCAAAAACCCCATCATAATGGCAACAAAATGCCGGCTAATTACACAAATTTTAACTTGTTTCACTCTATAATATTATCCAGTATGCTTCTCATATCCGGTTGTACTAATGTGAGCAAGCCAGTTGTGCGTTGCAGGGCATTTTAGGCTAAACGAGATGTAAGATATCTTCACGTCAAAATGCTGTTAGATATTAAAGTATCACTCAAGCAAAACTTTGATTTTCGACCTGCATATCATGAGAAATGATTTTTAGGCATTTCAAAACCTCTAAGTCATAACGCCTTCACTTTCATGGAAAGAGAGGTATGCTGACGAGGGATTATTTCTCGACAAAAGGTACTATAGGGTAGGTGAAAGTTGAGACGGGATGAGTCGTCATTAACTATTGAAATTGCGATTGACAATCAATCTATTATTAGCGTAGCCGTCTTCAAGCGAGCTGATATTCTATGCCATAAAGCTCTTTTCCCCTTAAAAAATACTCCTAGGTTTTTTTATAGATTACTATAGGGTTTTGCATTGCTGCCTGTTTCGATTATCCTCGAACCCATTGAAATGGTGAACCGACTGGTTGGATTGTGGAGGCGACTCATGTAAGGCGCCAGTGGAACAAGCAATGGCATGTGATACAGTATGACGTACCTAGACGCTGTTGCTAGCTGGCTTTTCATCCATTAGTCTGTAAGCATTCGTGGTCTTGTCTCGGTAATCTCCGTCTCACGGCTCTGTGTTTAAAAGAGCATCTACAATCCGAAATTAGAAAGTTTGTCTAAATTAAAATCAGTATCATCGTTCACCAATAGCCTATTCAATTTGAAATGAATCAAGAAAAGGGGCCGGACAACTTCTTGCATTTACTCCGAATAGCGATCTGTGGTTGGATAGTTGTGGACATTCAATGACACTTGGCGGCATTGCAATAGAATGGTATCTGGATGCTGGATGAGCAATCAATCAACTTCCCCAAAATGGGTCCGTGAGGCTGTAAAATGGGCCTGGACATCCTCCTGAATGGAGTTGAAGGTCTAGAACCGAGATGTGACACGCGATCACTGGGTCTATGACAATGTTCAGCGATGAGTGGGCACGAGCCTCCACGATCATGCTCAGCCATCTGACAACCTCCGCATTCACACAATCTACCCCATATTCTTGCATCACGATATTGGCACTAAAGAGTTGCTGTTACATAATGTTAATGATTTTGACATTGGCAGCCCACGATGAAACAAGGATATGGAGAGCATATCAGGTTCCACAATGTGGGCTTACCTACCAACAGGCTTCATGCTCCTGTAGTTCGGCGGGGGAGGATCAAGAAGTAGCTTTCCAGTTTCTGCAAGAAACGTGTTCGAGTAACTTGACTCAAGTACTGAAAAACAGTAATGGGGATGCCAGGCCCGCCATCTCAACACAATGAATACTTCTGCTGCAAGAAAAATCCTGGCGAAAGGATTTTGCAAGGGATTCAAAGAGAAGTTCCCAAAAGCACAGGGCCACGCTGGTGAGCTAGGTAAATCGCCTCCCCGGAGAAGATCCCTTGATAGGTCTTTACCCCTTTGACCTAGAGAAAAGGGGCTCCACGGGAGCGTCCCGAGTTGGATAGACGGGGCAGTTCCTTGCACACGATTTGTCCAGCCATCGAGATGCCCTAGATAGACAAATCGAGCTAATTGCGGAGGTTAGTCTTCGCGAGCTGATGATGGATATCTCTATCGCCGGACAAATGAGGGTATCGAGAATTGAACACGTAGGTGGATGAGGGATAATCGAGACCACGCCATGAATCCATATTTCTAATCGAGATGCTGAGGGCGCCATATCTTGATTGTCCAAATCAGTTGCTGATAGCTCAATGACTCATTCACGTTGATAAACCAGCTGGGGTGATGCCTTCAGGCATGCCTCGTATACAAGGTCTCATGGTACCCGCTGAGAGGCTGAATGAGCCAATTAGCGCCACATGTCGCGGAAACCTTCCCGAATGAATTCTTGTTTTGGGTAAGTTATCTCAGGCAAGTGGCCATATCAATCCAGGCATCCCCAAGATTGCCCACTGATTCAAGATGAAAAGATAAGGATGAGACCACTCTGCAAGGGAGCAATATTGCAAAGAGCAGCCGTGCAACCACGATCGAGGCTGATATCGGGACACATCCCGCGCCGGGACGATTAGTGTGTGAGGTGCTGATAAGGCGTAGGCTAAAGGTGTCGAGCTGAGCCTCTCGATCCAGAGTTGAGTAAGCCTACCCAGCTATCTGGAACACTCGGGAAGGCTTCCCTCTGCCGCGGTCTCTATCCTCAGGGCACGCACGAGCGGCCAGTGTCAGAGCACACCTCCTCGGGGGGGAGCCCTTCCCATATGAACCTGAGGAAGGTGGAGGCGACGAGCATGGGCTTGAGTCTCACGCTACTGGGTTGACCTGCCTTAACGTCGGGACTCAAGCCGGGGTTGTGTGGACCGAGACTACGGCTTAGTCGAAGAGACTACGGCCTTGGCGATGTCACTACGGCCATGGGCACCAATCATGGCTGATGATGGGCAGGGCCATGACATGGTTAGATGACCTGCATGCATAAGAGGGAGAGCCGACGAACGGCTCAAGCATCGGTTGGGCGGCTGAGGTTCAGGGGATTCTTATCATGCCACGCAGTGTAACGCCCGCCCGTTGACGCTTACATTCAGAGTTCAACGTTATCATCCAACTCCACACCGTAGCTAGTTATTGATTGATTGATGAGTTGACTGACTGATTGGAGATCTCGTGTGGCACGGAAGCTTTATTAATTTGCGCTAGGTGAGACGGCAGATATGAATGCTAGTCATGACATGCCACCTTCGTGTGTCCTACGGCCCCCATCCCGAATATCACGACTCTCGAGCACAGGGGGCAGGACGTGAACAGGAGGGTCTAGACCGTCAATATCGTCAGCTTGCTTGCATGTCCTTGGTACCACGCTAACAGGTTACTATCTTGCTTATCACTCGATCTCCCCATTTCCATGCACCTCTATCATGATAACAGTGGCGAACCTGCAGCACAAAGTCTGGGGAAGTGGGTATAAAGAAACGCGGGGGACCGATGACTCTCCAAGAAGGCCCCTTGCACACCACTTCCCAGTTCCCACACCACCTTGACCACCCAATCTAGTTCGGTCCTTCCGTGTGTGTCGACTATCTCAACGACAATAAGATAAAAGGTCGATCCTCCCCCCTCAATCTCCCTGGTCGTCACTCCCATCATCCCCATCACATACTCGCATATCTTCTTCTCCCTTCACAATGTCTGCAAATCATGAGCCCGTCAAGGTTGACCAGTCTTCCAAGACTGGGTCCATAGAGAAGGAACCCATTGGCTCCATGGAGAGGGTCGGCAGCGTCGTTGACGCCGACGTCGAGGAGAAGAATGGACAGTTCCACCGTTCTTTCACACCTCGCCAAGTCCACGTAAGATACAAACCTGTCACGAACCATGACATCAAGTCCGCCAGTTTGGCTGACCAGTACCCCAGATTATCTCTCTCGGATCGAATATCGGCAGCGGTGTCTTTATCGCTACCGGTAAGGCTCTCGCCACCGGTGGGCCTGGCAACATGGTCATCGCCTATCTCATGGTCTGTAGCTGTGTCTGGTCCGTCCTCCAGACACTTTCCGAGATGACCATCGCCTTCCCCGTCTCCGGAAACTACATCGACTACGCCGACCGATGGGTCGACCCTGCCCTGGCTTTTGGTGCTGGTTTCGCAGAATGGCTGGGTTAGTATTGGACACGATTCTTGAAACAGTCACGGCATGAATACTAATCTGGAGCATAGGCTGGACCGCAATCGTCGCCGCTGAAGCAAGCTTCTTCCACATTCTCATCGGTTTCTGGTCCGGAGGCAGTTTCCCTCTCGCAGCAACGAGTATGTCAAACCTCATATTCGTTCTAATATCCAAGCTAATGTCAGAATGTAGTCAGCTTATTCCTGGTCGCCTGCCTCGTCATTTTCCTTCTTCCGAATACGGTCTTCGCTTGGTTCGAATACGTCACATCCATCATCAAGATCTTCTTGTTCCTCATAATTATCTTTCTTTCATTGGCTATGGTGCTCGGAGCAGGACCTAATGGCAAGATGCACCACGGAGAGACATGGACGGACTTCCCAGTGTTCCTCAACGGCTTCGGAGGCTTTGCCAACTGCGCCCTCCTTGCTGTTTGGGCTGTTGGTGACCAGGTCTTCATCGGTATCATGGGAGGTGAAGCTGAGAGCCCTCGCTTTTCCATGGCCCACGCGACAAAACTTGTGCCCTTCCGCGTCAACTTCATCTACATGCTTAGCGTTATCTTCGTCACTCTTCTTGTGCCATCCAACGACGCACGTCTGCTAGGTGGCGGTGGTGTTGCGGCCTCTCCATTCGTCATCGCTGTGCAGGACGCTGGCATTCCGGCCATTGGATCCATTCTGAACGCTGGTATGATGGCCGGTGTCCTCGCTATTGCCGCTGAGTCTGTGTATCTGTCTTCTCGAGTTCTCCGAAGCATGGCCAACCAGAAGCTCATTCCCGAACGTTTCGCTGGAGTCGATGCCCAGGGACGTCCCAGGTGGGCTCTCCTGATTACCAGCTTCTTCGCCATTCTCCTCTCTTATATTCAGCTTTCTGGTAAGTTAATCCAATTTGCTTCATCGGCGGTCAAGAGATGGGAAACCTTGCTAACGATTTGAACAGCCGGTGGTCTCGTCGTCTTCAACTGGTTGATTGGCATCACCAGCGCCTCATTCTTCACCAACTGGATCATCATCTCTTTCACCAACTGGCGCTTCCACTGCGCGCTCAAGGCCCAGAACGATCAGCTCTTTGGCGAGACATATGCCTGGAAGTCCTCTCTCTGGCCCCTGGCCCCCGCCGCCTTGATGATTGTCTCCCTTGTGCTTCTCGTCTGCTGCTTCTTTGCCGGAGTTGCCCCCGTTGTAAGAATCCTCGCATCCAGCACACAACTTCCGTGAAACCAAACTAACTTGAATTCTAGGGCGGTCTTGGATTCTCTGCCGAGAACTTCTTCCAATACACATTCGGTTTCCTCGTCATCGTCTTCTTCACTATCGGCTACAAGGTCATCTTCCGAACTCCATGGCGCGACCCAGCCACTGCTGATCTCGTCACCGGCCGACGAACCCTCGGCGCCGAGGAGATCCAGCAGCTAGACGACTACTACAGACAGCCTCCTTTCAGGCGATTCCTGACATATGTCCAGCTTTGGTAGTGGGCTTGTTGTAGACCAATACAGGGGGAAGATGGCGCATATCTTCTCTGCGGGAATTGGGCTCTTACCATTCCGAGCTTGTCGCTTCCTGGTGGGAGCGAGCCGGATTAGATGTACAAATGCAACATTTTATTTCACTTTTACTAATGAAGCTTGGTGACGTCTGTGACAATTAATCGATAGAAATCAATATCTTCACCCATTGTGATTTCTCATCGCCTTTTCATTTAGCTTGCCAACCCTAATTACCCTTAAAATTGATCCAAGAGAATGAATATCTAATGAAAGAAGACCTGACTAGCGACGCCATAATATCAGGGAAAGAATTAGTAATGATGGCTAGAATGCGCAAGTATTGATGCATCCCTTCTTCCTCAGGATATCACAGGTTAGTAATACCCTCGCACTGGGATATAAAGACTGAATATCGAACTTGTGTCATAGATCAACGCCTAGAAACAATTATGACTTTGACTATATGCCACACTCTCTACTTGTCCTTGGCCTCGAGCACATGGCGTACTGATTGTGAAAACTCTGAAGCAAGTCATCGCAGATCCATGGTTTCCCGTTTGCTTCCTCGCCTTCCACCCGACAATGGAATGACTCAACACGCCATCCCGCTCCGCTCAGCCAGATTCCGAGACTGGCTCGCTCACCTCCTCGCTCACCTCCTCGCTTGTCTCCTCGCTCAGCCCTCGCCCTCCCCGGGCCCTCCTGAGACGGCACTCATAATAGTACATCTCATCACCACTGGCGTCCACAATCATCTCGACAGGGTGCCAGCTCGGCTCCTCCACGCCGGTCCACTCAATCAGGAATTGCTGAGGTCGTCGGCCGGCGCGCACAGCCAGGACGGCGAAAACGTTGAGCTCGTGAGGATGTGCGGGATTGAGCGGCCGTCCGCCGAGACTATTCCAATGCTGGATGAGGATCCTCTTGTCGAGCGCGTGGATGGTATTCTCCGCCTCCCAGGTCTTCTCGCCAGTCGCCCACTCGACCCGGATCTGGATCTGGTTGTCCTCCCAGCGGTGCTCGTGGAGCTGGAGGATGGCCACGTCATTGGCGGCTTCGTCATCGTCCTGCTCGATGTCGGACTCGCTGCCCATGTCTTGGTCGTAGACGGTCCATACTCGCTGGTTCTGTTCATCCGACCAGAGGATCTAGCTCTCTCGGATTTTGGTCACTTCGCTGCGAGGCATGGTTGAGGTTTTGGGGCGACAAATTGCGATCGGTGCTGTGGCGTCGTGGGCACGAGGTTGATCCTCCGCTTCGTGCAGAAGTAGAAGAAATATAGGAATTTGAATGACTCGAGTGCTGGGCTTTCCAGGATGTGGAAAAGATGAGGAGGGAAGAAATTGAGCTGTGGCTGAGTCTGTGCGAGGTGGAAGTTGCAATTTCGGGTGAAGGGCAACGGTGTGCAGATGCAGCGAGATTTCACGTGACTGCAGCTGCCGAACTTCACTCTTCGCTTTGGTGAGAGACTTCAAGTATAAAATACAAAAAAATAATAGGATGCCTGAAGTAGACTTGTATCTTAACATAATATTTAGCCCTCGTGATATCGGTACGACCTTTACTTTTTTCCAAATTATTTACCGTACTCCCAAGGCCTTTAAGTTTGCTGTGAACTGCTTGCGAAAATAGCATCTAAAAAGCTAGCCCTAGGTAATTATAAACGCGTCAATTAATGGGCTATTTTAAGTATATCAAGTAATCCGGCCTCTGTATTGTGGTCATCTACCACCAACTCCTCGAATTGACTAACTGGTAGCGAGAGGAAAAGGTCAAGGTTGGTCATATTAGCACGTTTTGATGTGTGTAAATGTTTTCTTTTTCTCCTCTTTTTTGCTAGATACCTGCTTTACCCATCCTATCTTCCCATTGACAACTAGCGTCTATAATATCGCCCCCCGAGTCTCTCCTCTAGCCGGGCCCTACGCTTCCCTTTCAAATATCTAGCCCATTCAATCGACTCTGGAGTTTTCAAGAACTTCAATAGGATGGAAGGGTCTTCTTCTACCATTGTTATGAAGCGCGAGTTGATCTTTAGGAGCGGAATATTCTCTATGTCGTCGTCGCAAGGTGCGCAATGTTGATAATACAAGGTAATTGAGTTTTCGAGCTCTTGCTTTTCTGTACCTAATGGATAGAGGTCATCGAAGCCATCAGTATCCTCTAGGGTGTCACGGTCTCTCGGTCCATCTCCTTCCGTTGGGAACATCTGCCAGTGGATGTAAATGCGAGGAATGGTGTTCGCCGAATGGAAGTGCACGACAAGGTCATACAAGAGGTCCATCTTGATTCCAGTTTCCTGCAGGTGCTGACATTGGCTTCCGATCTGAGCAGGAACGCAATGACCGAGCCGATTCACACAAAAATGATGACTCCAAATCTTTATCGAGTCGAGCTTTGCGGGCGGTTGGACCGGGAACATACGCCTCCATGAAGCATCTTCACGGATCATTCTTTTACGATAGAATTCATCGGTGAACCAATCTAAGTTACGGGTCATGCCATTGAATTCATGGGAAGACAGCACGTAGTCTGGCTTCTTCAACGAAAACAATGCTGGGAACCGGCGTTTGAGGATCGGGTGTAGCTCTGGTGTGGTTCTCGTCGGGTCTGGCAAAAAGAAGAGCTTCTGCTGTAGCACAGTCGATTGTTGAATGAAACTCTTGAAATGGGTATGAACCAGCTGCGCAAAGAGTAGCTCTTGCATGTCGAGGTTGAGGAGAATGCATTCAAAGATTTCGGGTGTGGTGAAGCATCGGCGCATCGCGCGCCGTGCCGTTTTGCTCTGGCGCGTATTCATTTTGCGGTATCAAAATACAGTTGAGTGAATACCTCTGTGAAGGCAAGTCTAGTACTTATCAGAGAATCAATAGGAGCCTTTAAAACGGCCAGCACGATGTGACTCCTGGCCGAGTACTTGTGACTCATCCATGTAGCATTAGAAACGCGCAGGCGGGGAAGAGGGCAGAACTATTGGCACCGAAGTCGCTAATTGCTAATGCTGCCAAGATGAAATTGAAAGCATGCGGAGATATGATCATGCGATTGTGTTATCACTCTTATTGAATACGAGGAGACAAATCGCTACAGCTATGGAAAGCAAGCCTCCCAAAAATGCCACACCAACTAACGGGCCACACAAACAAGATGGCCTCCATCAGGGTTCCGATGGTTTAGCCACGATAAAAATAGCCATCTTGATACTCGACCGACCGTGCGATATCCCAAGACTGCAAAAGAGTGAGGGCAAGTCGCAATATACGTGTGCTAAGAACGACAGACTACCGATAGCACCTTTCGCCCTAGGCGAAACATCTTCACAGAAAATGCTGTCAGGTATTTCTCGGCATAGAAATGAAAGATACAAAAACGTGTAGGCGGGAGGGTTGACTGTTACACTAGTGCTCTAGACTCTTACCATGTGCAGCTTGAATTGGTCCATCTCTGCTTCGACTGCGTGCCCCAGCTGTTCGCCCTGTTCAAGTTGCTTAATGGCAAGCGTTGTTCTGCAAGTTCTCCAAGAGATGCAAAACTCAATGTTGACGCTTTACTTTCATGTGAAATCTTCTAAGAAAATCAGATTGTAGAATAAGTATAATGAGTGCACGTGAACTAAGTTAATCGGGCCATAATGCACATTATTTTCTACGAAGGTAAGAGAACATTGGGACACAGTACCTAAGGGAAATGCTACTGACATCGGGTATATAAAGTCAAAGGTTCACTGTGGCAGTTATGGGATGCGGAAATTCTTTAAACACCTGGAAGAAGCCAACAAAGTAGTGGAATATGGATCTAGAGCCATCAACGTTCCGCTTCCTGATGATGCAGACATAAGCCACAATAACGTATAGGAACAAGAAAGTAGTTTTTATCCTTTTCTCATACGATATAGCTTATCGCTGGGATTATTTATCGTTCAGTTCGGTATTTCTAAGGAAGAAATACCATTTCCATACTGAGGATGTTTGGTATTAAGCATGTGCTTTCAGTGTGCCGGATCTAATGGATTCCCACCCTTGCTTGAGAGTCTTCAGTAGCAAGTACAGGTATATCCATCACATCGACAGTATCCTCTAAATCACGGGTTGACCTAAATAATGCATCTATTCCCTGGTACACCCAACTTCAGGCTAACAATCTCTCAACTATGGTTGTTCTGGCGTGGGGAACATATTAGTCTCCATGTCCAGGGCCGTGTCCAGGTCCTCGTCCCCAGTCGGACTCTTTTCCTTCATCAGGTGCTTCTCGAGCACCTGGTAAATCATCAGTCAATAGTGTGTAAAACTGATGAGTCTGGTTCGAGTTGGACAAGCACTCGCTACAGGAAGGATGTGAGGAAGCGCAGATGTGAAAATTTCTGTCGCCTCGAGTTGCAAAGGGGAGCTTCGGCATGCGCGCTGTAGAACTGGTGTCTCCTAATGGCTACCACGAGACATCAGGTAGCCTGCCTCGGTGATATCGTGATCGGCATAAATGGTCCACAAACAGAAGTGAGACCGAGATTGGCTGCCCTTGGATGGTTGGGTTTGGCATCTTCTGCCTCACCAATTCGGACCAACTTAGTATTCCAGCCACATCGTGATGGCCATCGTAGATCTCTTCGTATCGTGCATCGGAGTCGGCATCGCGATGTCATCCTGCCTGCCTCAACGCGCTCTTCTCCTCCTTCCGAATAATCCAAGTTTGCCGGCGAAGCGGAATGAATTGGCCGAGCTTGCTTCAGATCGTTGAGACGGGGGCCCAGGCGGCCCCGGCGGCTGGCAACGCTCGTCCTTCTTACCGCCCTTCGGATCGCATGGAGGTTGTCGGGTTAGTCGACACGTCGGATCGGTGTGCTGTTTATCCCACTCGCAGCCTCTATCGCCGCACACGTCGATGAGAATCCAGCTTCCCTGCACGCAGCGGACGATTCCAGGGCGGAAACAACCAAGCACGTTCTCGTCTTTCGGCAGACAGGCGCCAAGATCGGCCCCCGGTACCGACTGCGCCAGGGCGAAGGCGGCAAGGAGGGACAGCAGCTGAAGCAGAGTGAATTTCATGTTCGCAGCGACTCGATCGAATGGGCGGGCGCGCAGATTGCTCACGACGCCATGAGGGGAGCAGCAGCGCTTTTCGTTCTTGATGGGCCAGCCACCTATCCCGCGGCTCCCGGAGAGGTGCGAAGAAAGAGGAACATTGATCAGACACAATTGAGGGAAATCCGTTCTCTAATGAAACGCTCTCAGTGAAGACGTGCCCGGCGCCCATGCGCCCGTTGCAATCTCCACCATACTGCCAAGATGCCAGATGTGACACTCTCTGCCATCTAGCACTTGGGTGTAGACAGAAACAGCAGCTTAATGGTGCTTAAATCATGCTTGTTTCATTTCATACCACCACAGTATCTTTGAACGGCAGCTCCCTATCACGGCCCTCCTACTCCGTGCCGTTTCAGGTAGGCAGAGGCGGCGATCGTCTCCATCCTGGCGTCTGAGTTGCGACCGCTAGGATGTTTCTCGATTGACACCTTCTGCAAGAGGTTAAATGGCTCGGCTGTCTGATTCGGTCTTTTTCAAGACAGGCATGTTCAAAGGAGATCCCACTGTTTTGCCTCTGTTGCTTGGGCCGACTTCCGTCCCCGCCAAGTGTTTGGAAATTGCGCCAAATCTCACGCTATTGTGCCTTTTCTCCGTATCTTTTAATCTGAGCAACTGTCACTGATGCAGGTACGGCGAATATCAGTGGAATTGGCAAGCCAACTGCTGTCAATCATCTCCAACATAATCTTAAAGGGCCACAATAGCCGTTGATCAGGACGATAAGTTATTTCAAATACCGGGCTTCGTAATTATATTGCCATCTCCCGTCGCATCCCCTTCAGCCATCCTCCTTACCCCGGACAGAGATTGCCAATGGCCACCAATAGAAGTATAGCCAAACTCGATGACACACAACCTCAAAAGCTCATGTAAAATTATGAAAGACGCAAACTCTTAGATATGGCATACATAGCAACGTGACGCATAAGAATAGGTAGCTTACTGTGAGAACTACGCGAGAATGGTTGATAGAACTTCCGCTATTGACATTCGTCAACTATTTGCCGATGCTCAACGAGATCTAACCCGCACTACTTTTCGTGACACCAGTCACCATCGCTTGTTGGATATTCACATTGCAAATCTTACTTTCTCACATAGCTCAGGGCTAAACACATGGGTAATAGAACGGATATATCCCTTCTCCGAAACGACGCAGCAAGAGTAAAAATAGCCATCGCCATTTCGGAACCCAACTCAATTTTCCGAAGACCTTACACGATCTCGCCTTAATGAGCGACCCAATTGAACGAATCCCCCACTGACTTTGCTTCATGGACGAGTCGGATTCAACTTGTTTGAGATCCATGTGGAATCGGACGGCGTGCCTCCGCTTAGTTTCACCCTGTTTCCGAAACTGTCGCGGATGGTGCGGAGCGAGCGGCCCGTTTTGGATCCAAATTCACCATCTGACCATGATCGAAAGGTTTCTGATTTGGCTCTGTTTGTTTAAAAGGCCATATCCTCGGGAGAATCTGTGAATAGCTTTAGCGTTGGAGATAATACCTGTAAAAACACAACATTTCAGACCAAACCATACCTATACACCTTCCATTATGAAGTTAACAACGTTGACCGCCGCCTCGTTCTTGGCTACTCAAGCATCCGGCCATTATATTTGGAACCAACTCGACATTGGCGGCACAACGGGCTCCATTGGTCAGGGAATTCGCCCAAACAGCAACTACAATTCGCCAGTTATTGGTATGAATGTATCAAGCAACTCAGAGTTTCATAGATCGCTAACGTGTGAACAGATCTCACATCCAGTGATCTAAGGTGCAACGTTGGCGGACTTGATGGCTCTTCCACAGTAGTCAGAGACATCCAAGCTGGTGGTTCATTCACCTTCCACACCGACGTGGTATGTCTGCTAAACAATATCTAACCTTCACTCTTCCATGAGATTTAATCTAACTTGACCCTAAACCTAGGCTGTGTATCATCAAGGACCGGTCTCCGTTTACCTTTCCAAAGCTCCCAGCTCAGTGCAGAGCTACGACGGCAGTGGCTCCTGGGCTAAGATTGCCGATCTCGGTACGTCGTCCAAAACCTCGGTCGAGTTCCTCATAGGCATCATACGGTAGCTAATGAAAATTTGATAAATAGGGCCTACATTTAATGGAAATAGTGCCACATGGCCACTCGCACGTACGTTCATCCGATCTCATGAGAACTGGGATAACCAAAACTAACATAGTCTCTTCCATACAGAAACCTACACCTTTAAGCTCCCCAGTTAGTCAAGCTCGACATCCCGCTTCTATCAATTGACAAGTTTCAATTCTAACCTGCCCCGATGGGTAGCTTGCCTCCCTGATGGAGAGTATCTGCTCCGCATTCAGCAACTGGGCATCCACAACCCATGGCCGGCAGGCATCCCTCAGGTATGCAACGCCCACCCCATGTTCAAGTCAAAGAAAATTTGAAGGAAGAGTTCTAATGAAAGCTCTCAAATTCGAATAGTTCTACATTGCGTGCGCTCACATCAAGGTGACGGGCGGATCCAACACGGCTGCCTGGAAGCCATCGCTCACGATTCCCGGCGTGTTCAAGGAGACTGATCCCGGATACACGGTCAACGTAAGATGATCGTGACGAAAATTTGGACCGGCGTAGCTAACGAAGAATAGATTTACCAACCCGAGTTCACGTCATACACCATTCCCGGTGGTTCGGTTGTAAGTTGATCATCCCGCCGCCACGCTAGAGAATGATTGTTGACATAAATAGATGACCTGCTAAACCCGCTGATGGGTTTACTAGGCGGATCTGGTAAAGCGAGCTAGGTGGAGATGCCGAGAAGTATTCATAGCAGCAAGTTTGGACCGCCTAGTTTGCGGCAATGGCCCAGAAGTTACGGAAATTAAATCGATATGGAGGCCGGCTAGCAGGCACCAGTTCGATGGGCCAGGTAAGGCCTTGTGAGGCTGACCAAGAATAGCATCTGAAACTAGGCCCTGAGGAGCCGCCTTGCCATGATTCAAGCATCGCCCCAGCGTGGATTGGCTATTCATTGGCCAAGCCCATTGCGCCGTGACTTATTTCCAAAAGGAGTGAAATGTGTTCGTTCATGTTAAAGCAGACTTCGTAGCGCGCGTTTGGCGACCCATGTCATGTTCACCTTGTTGACCTGCCGCAAAGTAATATTGGATCGGCGGCATCCATACATAACCTTGCCAAGTCTCCGTCGCTATCCTTGCTTTAGCATGAGCGGCACAGTGCAATGCGGTTTTAGTTCGGGCGTATTGCGCGTCGTTTCATAACAGACTTGCTAGTTACGGACTCCAGTAAGCTTATGATGGGTCGTGACTGATGATCTAAAATAATTTAAGGGTTCTGAAAACTCGGCAGGATGGGTTATCACATGGCGCGTGTATCCATTATATATGTATGCTCCTCTAATCGTTTTGGGGGATCAATTGACTCAATTGTTCAGGAAGTGAATTAGACAATTACCACACGCGGATCAATTGAAGACTCTATTCCCACAACTCGCCCATCATGGTCAATCTATTTCAGGCATTCCTTCAGCTGCTGATTTCCAGCATTGCCCTAGCATCAGGTAGATCCTTTCCCCGATCATTTCATACAATGAGATAACATACTAACGCAATCCAAACAGCCAAGGACCTCCGTATCATGCCCCTCGGGGCCTCGATCACCTTTGGTGTTGGCTCGAGCCAGGGCAATGGCTACCGCGAGTTCCTCCGCGAATCGCTGCAGGGCGCCGGATACAAGGTCACCTACGTCGGAAGCCAGCATAACGGCCCCATGACCAACAACGACAATGAGGGTTTCCCAGGTCTCCGTATAAGCCAGGTCCTTAACGACCACGCCAAGACAGACGTTCCCACGTACAAGCCCAACGTCTACACCATCAACCTAGGTACCAACGATGCCGTTCAAAACTTCAATATTGACGAGGCCGGGAAGCGCATGGACGAGCTCATCGACTTCCTCTGGACGGCCACCCCTGACGCCATTGTCGTTCTCTCCACCCTCGTCCGAAACAAGGACGCCAATACCGATGCCCGCGTCGTGAAGATCAACAAGCAGTTCGAGGATCTCGTCAACAGGCGCAAGAGCAACGGCAACAACAAGATCGCACTGGCCGACATGCATGGCTCCGATGGTCCTCAGGATGCCGATATCAACTCGGACGGAACACACCCCAATGACACTGGCTTCAAGAAGATGTCTAACATTTGGTTTGACGCCATCAAGAATGTGTCTGGGTCCGCCAAGAAGAGCAAGGCTTGCAATAAGAAGCGAACCGAGGTGTAAAGATGTGCTAACACGAATGATTACGGCCGTTTTCCTTTCTTTTGCATCTTGCTTGGCCCTTTTTGACGTGACGATGCTCATCATGGGAGGCGATACTCCAGCTGTTAGATGTTGTACTTTTTACGCTTTTGTGAGCCCATTTAGAGGCACAGGTATTAGACGTCAATCTACATGGAACCAACATTTTATAAATACAGGACATTCATTGTTGGACGTGATGACATTCTATTTACCTGTTCATGGTACATAACATGGCAACAGGTTGACAATTAATGAATTCTATGTAAACAAAGTGATACTCGCTTCCAACCCATAACTATCCTGAAAACAATTTATTACAGAAACATCGCTTGATCAAATAAAGAGGGGTAGTCCTCCCACCTTTATACCAAAACTCCAAACCTACACATCCCCTCTCGCCAATAGATCACGGGCGGGCAATATCGCCAAAGCAGGGCCCGATGGCAACACCACCCTGAGACAGCTGAAACTCAAACAAGCGGATGAAGCTGATCATGGCCGCAATCTCAAACACCTCGCCCAACTCGCCCGTAGCTCCTTCGTTCATGAATTGGAATTTGGCATTGGTAGCCTGCGGGCGCATGGCCGCGAAGACAGCCACAATGGGTTTACCATCGCCTCCGACGACGGTCACTTTGCCATCCTGGCCGCTGCTTCCGCCCGTCGGGCCGTCGAGGCGAACCAGCTTCATCCCGTACTGGAACCCTCCGACGAGGCTTCGGACCAGTTCGCCGGTGCTCTGGCGCCACTCAAATGTCTCGGCGCGGTTGGAGGGCCCCACGGGGATGGTGAACTGGTATTTGTTCTTTGTGCCCACGGTGACATCGATATCTATGGGCTGGGTAAATGACCCGCCGAGGCGAGGCTTGAGGCGGAGGTGGGACGCGCAGGTGGTGCCGCTCCGGAGCTTCAGAGAGCCGGCAGATGCAAGGGGGGTATCGAGCTTATCGGTGCCGCTGAGGAGGAGTATGTCACCGGTGCCCATGAGCAGGCGGGGCGTCTTGACGAGGAATAGAGGTTCGCCTTTCTTGGCTCCGAGGTATGAGTGGGAATGTGATAGACGGTATGTGAAGACGCATTCGCGGGGGAAGAGGGAGGAGGTGCCCTGTGCAGAGATAGCTGCGTCGGCAGGCTTGATTTGTACCTCCTCGTAGGCGGGAGGTGAGTATTCCTGAGCAGGCACAAAGCTGCTGAGAAGGGCCTTTTCTGACATGCTGGTGTTCATTGTTGTGACTGAGACTTGGCTATGGGTGTCTTATAAGACGTGAATGGTGGCTAATGATGGCGGTCTTCAGGTGTGTTGGATCTTGTTATGTTGATGAGTTGAATGATGATGGAAAGTAAAGCAATGAAAGATCAGGCTCGGTTTCAAACTCCTTAAGTACCTTTCAGCTCCTGGAATGCCCATGACAGGATCGGCACAGCCCTGCGGCCTCTGAGGGCATCGTCGCCACGAAATCTAAGGTACCGTCCCGTTGTCTCTTGCTCGCTGGCTCGCTATTGGCAGCCCTAAACGAGGGCAGTGCTCTATCTCCACTGTAAATTTAGGCATGTTCAGCGGTTCCTCGACCTCGAGAATCGGCGTACTCGGCTCTGATTGGCTGATGTGTTCAAGATTGTGCGAGCCGGCCAATCAGAGCTCTTTCTTGGATCTTGAAGACAATGCCGCTTCGCACCTGCCAAAATTAACACGCGCTGTCCCCAGGCGTGTCTAAAAATCCGGTGTGCCGCAGCCATCCTTCATCCCCGCCATTAGACGTCATGGCGGGCTGGTGCGAACGCGTCTTGCAAGAAAACAAGAATAATGATGATGTCAAAAGATTGCTGCGCCCGGCCACATGGGATCGGTGCTGAACAGCGCACGCGACAGGGCCCGCAAGAACGCGCTCGCCGATGAGGAGGCATTGTGCTGCTGTGTGTTCACACCTAAGTATCTGCCGATGCCGGTTTCAGTACACCAAAAAAATGCTTAATGTATTTGCCGGTAGCTCATCCTGTTTATGCATCCTCTGGGTTTAAAAAATACAATACGAACATTGATTTTCATCAAAAAGAGATTGCTGGTCAAGCAATTAAAGATGTATGACAAGAGTGGGATTCGAACCCACGCTCTTTCGAACTGCGAAGATATATTCTCCTGAACACAGCGCCTTAGACCACTCGGCCATCTTGCCTTGATTGGTTGAAATCCGTTCGCCGGAAGAAACTCTAAGAGGGGCTCCGAATCTCGGAGCGGCAAGCCCACCGACTTCGTCACGTTTGAGAGAACACTTTTGGCATGCGGTAACATAAAACATCAACCCAAACCGAGGAGTAGTACATAACCAAGTAAGATTATATTATAAATAAGACTGTAACCCTATATTTGATTCTAATTAAGTATGTATTCTAGGCTGCCCGGATCTCACACTACGTTCTCTCGCTATACTATTATACATAAGGTGGTGGACAGGATATATAGGGTAGGTTTCTCTACATTGGGGAGGTAGTAGGTGATCGAAACGCGAACTCGAATCAAAATTTTTATTATAACCTCGACCTACGGTGTAGTTTCAAACCTAGCAAGGAAGCAGAAAACCTAGCTAATTTTCAAGGTGGTTGATACTGTAGTGGGGAAAGAGGAAGCTGTACACCTACACGACATCCACAACAGCAACAAACCTAAGGCACAGCGGTTATCGCGTTGGTTGACAGCTTCAACACTGTATTGTGATTCATTATACGAAGAACTTCATCGCCTCGAGCGATTAAGCGCATTGAGAAAAGAGGGATTTCTCGCGAAGGCTTCTTGAGACCATAGCACCTCTCGTGAACAGAGGGAACGCAAGCAGTCAATCCACTCGTCAGTCACATGTCAGGGGCCTCAATCCAATGAAGGAAAACAACATTTGTTCTCTGTATAGGCCGTGGAAGACGGACCGTTCTATGTGTTTGTTGAATAGCTCGATCCGTGATAACCCTGAACTTTTATCCCTGCCTTACTACATTGATCATTCTTGGCCTTGTCAAATGTAGGCGACGATTTAGATGATGGTGTCAAAGATGTGAATTGCAACCTAGACTGCCCCATCAACGACGAAACCCTCCCTGCTACTATCCTCCTACATCACAATATATTGCATGGGACCAATGTCCATTGGGGTTTGTCTTAGCCTGGTAGTACCAGCGTCTCGCAGTGATTTGATAGCAAGCCAAAGAGTGCTCGCAATTCTCTCCACATTCAGGTAATACTATCGCTGGGACATGATCTTAGCTGCTGAAAGAGAATGGTAAAGTATCATGAGAGGATGGAAAATAAAGCCTGCCTTACAATGACTTAGCTTGAAGAAGTATTCAATGATTAGTTCTTTGAATTTTCAAACATTGCCCTTGAATACTTCCATGTAGTTTGTGAATTGGAATTTCCCCGATCTGCCCTCTATTGCGACCGTCTCGAACCTGTTATTCAGAACTCATGCCTACTTCGTTAGAATTTTTCCGCATCTGAGAATCCTACATACGCTTGAGAAACAGCATTTGGTGAATTTCGCTCATTGTGTCAGCGATTAGTACACCGGGAGTTTCTTCTACAAATTTGGGAAAAAAAGATAGAGAGTTGGGATGCAGAGACGCCCCGATAATGATGTTCAAGTGAATATCTAGTAGGAAAAACAAATGGATGAGAAGAAGCTTCCGTTGAGAACAGGAGCTGGCGTGACTGGCTGCGCGTTATAGTCCCTGAGGAGGAGGCATGCATGATGCCATCCATCTTCCTTTGTGCATTCGGTTGTTTTTTTGACTTGGAATGATACAAACCTCCGTTTTCTCTCTCTCTCTATAGCCCTTGGATGTATGCTCGCCATTGAGGCAAACGGTGTTGTGCACCCCGTTGCGCACATCTAGTACAACGTGATGATAACTGGTCCGGCACTCGTCAATTGGATGCAGCAGAATCTTGGATGCCATGCGAGACATTTATTGCCTATACACGCTTGGTTCCGGTTGCATTTGAGGCGGAATCTTCATGACTTCTAATTAGTTCGCTGTAGGAAAGTGGTCTTTGCCTGCCGGACTGGCTGCTCCGGCGATATGTACAACAAAACGCGCAGGGATCGCATCGACAAGGCAAGATGGCCGAGTGGTCTAAGGCGCTGTGTTCAGGAGAATGTTTCTTCGCAGTTCGAAAGAGCGTGGGTTCGAATCCCACTCTTGTCATATTTCTTTTGCTGTTTTTTTCTGTTCCCTTCTGGGTCTTTGTTCCCCCCACATGAAGCTGTTAACAACAGGCCCGTTCAACATCAAGGCAAGATGGCCGAGTGGTCTAAGGCGCTGTGTGTTAGTAATTACCCAATTCCGAACACACCAATAGTTGGCTAACAACCAATACAGTTAGGAGAATATCTCTTCCGCAGTCTTCACGGGCGTGGGTTCGAATCCCACTCTTGTCAATTCTTTTTTTGCCATTTTTTCTCGCGGTAACTGTGATCACCGGCTGAGTCGGCATCTGGGTCGCGTTGCTTTTTGCTAGTGCAGATTGTTTCTTATTGGGGATGCAATCACAATCTATCTGTATTCGATTTGATAGAGAAAAGCCAATCTCTCATAAGATGATTGATGATTGAGCATGAAGAGACACACACCCTGAGTTGGCTGGCGGATTTGAACTCCGAGATAGGCGCACGTACCATCATGTTGGCGAACGGCCTTCGTTGCTTCTCGCCCAATGCAACTGAAAGTGTATGCTTGCATAGATCGGATTTCGGGATGCTCAAGGGCCTACTTTAGCGCTTATCGGCCTGTGGGATTCGTCATCCTGGGTGCTATTGGGGAGAATGCGAGCAACACGACCCCTCCCTTCCGGTGAGTCAGGGAGTTTCAGTTCAAGAAGGCAACCGGCTGCCTCATCACTTCTCGTCCCTGCTACTTACTCTCCTATCTATAATCTCATCCTTCCTCACTTGTGTGTTGTATATTCACCTGCTTCTCGTTGCCACGGACGCTTTTCAACTTTCTGACCGCGATAATGTCTGAATCTACTCAAACTCCAACCCCGAAGGAGAAGACCTTCACCAGGTACACCAAGGAGCAGGGCAAGAACTATGCTCAATACCGCTTCGACTACCATGAAAGCGTGTACAACACCGTCATTGACCGCCACACATCCACCGGCGGCAAGTTTGACACTCTGCTTGATCTCGGCTGCGGTCCTGGCCAGGCCGCTCGCGCTCTCGCCCCGCGCTTCACCAATATCATCGGGCTCGACCCCTCCGAAGGGATGATTACCACAGCCAGATCCATCCCCAGCACCGAGAAACCCATCCGGTTCGAGATATCCTCCGCAGAGGAGCTGGGCAGCAACCTCGAGCCCCCCATCGCAGACTCCTCCGTCGACCTCATCACCGCCTCGACTTGCGCGCACTGGTTCGACATGGACGTGTTCTGGCCCCGGGCGGCCAAGGTTCTTAAGCCGGGCGGGTCAGTCGCCATCTGGGTCAGCGGGGAGGCCGGCCCGCACCCGGACATGCCCAACGCCAAGGCCATCGCGGCCGCCCTGAAGAAGAACCGCGAGGAGAATCTGCTCCCCTACTACGAGCCCGGGAACCTCATGGGCTCGAACCTGTACGTCGACCTGCCGCTTCCGTGGACCATCGCGAAGTCGGTCGACGAGTTTGATCAGAGCACCTACCTTCGCAAGGAGTGGGACGGCGGGGAGCCGTTTTATGCTATTCCGGAGCAGATGAAGGAGGCGGGCATGGACATGTTTGAGAAGATTATGGGGACTGTGAGCCCTGTGACTAGGTGGCGTGAGGCCCATCCTGACGCCGTCGGGGAGAAGGATGTCGTCCGCATGCTCCGTAGGGAGATTGAGAGGCTCCTTCATGAGGCAGGCGTGGAGAAGGGCAAGGAGAAGTTGTGGTCGTTGGCGACTGGAGTGGTCATTGTTATCAAGAAGAAGGCATCCGAGTCATAGTGATGGACTAGACAATCTTGGATACAAGAGTGGCATCGTTTCGTATTCATTGTGTCGAGATGTCTGGTCTGGCATCTTCTATTGTTGTTTTTAAATATATACTCGAACTCTCTTTTGAGTGGCATCCTTTTACTTCTACAACTGGGTCCTAAACCCATACATTTTCTCAATGCTCACAGAAATTATAACCGGGGATACCAAATTCTGATATCTGATCGACTCGTGTCCGTACTTCCATCAACTTGAGCCGGTGCTCATTGGCCTCTTCAACAGTCATCAGGCTTTCTGGGATGGCTTGAGAAGCCACGGGAGTGTTTCTTATGTCTTGGTGTTGAAGCCACCACTCCTTCTGCTGCGGCGGCACGTTGGCGGTGGAAATAATACGTTGATGAGGGTCGACGAGCCACAGCGCAATGAATCGTCGATGTCCGGGCTTTGTCTTGTCTTGAAGGCTGAACGACGACACAGCGTGTTGACTGAGAATTAAATGAGCCTAAATGAACTTGGGATATAGGATATCAAACTCTGGATGAAGAATCCCACTTACAAATCGTTTGGAAATGCGAGAACTCGCCCTTGTCGTGTTTCAACAGTGCCGTATTGCTGTATATTAGCGGAAGCCGCCGAACCATCGGAACATAGCCCTGTTCCATAGACCCTTTCGAGCCAGTTAAATGCGCCTGCCTCATAATCTATAGAATCATCGAGGTATGAATCTGTCGCCATGCAGAATGACAGATGACTGGGGGTGACATTCTCACAATCGACATAGTAGAGAGCTGTGGCGCAGATTCTCTCATTCATCTGCCCTTCAACCTATTGGCGTGATAACCATATTAGAAAACCGATATCGGCTTGACGGTAAAGCAATGGAGAAAATTATTGGTAGTACTTACGTGCCAGCCCCCTGCGGGAAAGTCAGGCTTTTCTGGTGTCAATTCTATGCTGGCCATCTTTATAATGACTTGAAGGCCACTTTCTCTGAACTTCTCACGCAAATTCTGCCTTGGCGCATAATCAATTTCCGTAGAGCCCTTGGGCTCTGGAAGAACTGCATCGCGGCACTGTCGCCATTTTTCTCGAGCCAGCTTCTCAGAGTCAACATAGGCGACGCGAGGAGACAGACCTTGCTCGTATAGGCGGTACTCCTCGTCCCTCTCCTCTCCTGTGAGACATTCCCCCTCCTTATATAGCTTCTCTTCCTCATTTAGCTCTATCAAGCTGTCTAGAGGTAGCCTGTAGTCCGAGGCCTTCCAGAATTCAACGTCAAATGGGCTCCACAAACTATCATCCTCATCGCTTTTTTTAGGTTAATATTCCTCATATTCTTTAGTAGACTCCTATTTTGGTGTTGAACGAGGAACTCACGTTGCTTCTCTAATCCATTCGAACCTGGAACTTCTTCTGCCTGATGAATGCCTATCCCTACCAGATATTTCTGTAAGACATTGATCCCATGCTGGAATCACAACATCGAGCAATCTTTCAATTATTTTGTATATACCCGGGTACTTGTCGGGCCGTAATCCGTTGATGTAGCTAGTGAATTCGGACTGGCCGTCATCCTTGAAGGCTACATTCGCTGGCAGCCACTGGTAAGTGTTTGACCAATATTCGGGATTGATCTCTAGGCCACCAGGTGAGTAATGGTACAGCTCATTGTTTGGAACCCCTTCCAATGTAGCTCTATCAGCGTTTTTGGGCACGATCTGTCCTTGCCCAACGAAATCCGTGGCGTTATGTACGCCAACGGCCTCATCATGGATAAACAGGGATCGACCTACGGCAGATATTAGCAGCTGCCTTGAGTAAGGATGCGAACAATTGGAGATATCGGCTAACCGTATACGAAAGGGTACATGGATGGGTGAACGAGATCTTGAACTTTGTCATTGCTGTTCGGGTGCCAGTCAGGGCACCCAGCTTGATCCGCGAGTAGCTGCTGAAAAGAAGCATGTATGTCTTGGTGAAGAGTCTTTGACACTAATTCATCTGATTTGACGACCGTGTTGAAGCCGGAATCAAGTGAAGGGATGAGCTTCGATTGAGCATAGTATTTGGCCTTGCTGCGCAGTTCTTCAATACACTTCAAAAGAGTAAGCTTAACCGCTCGGTGATATTTGACCATCGGGGCTGAGACATCCTGCAGCTCAGGCTAGGTACTCACGAAATCAAAAGCGGCTTCGGAGATGATCCTTTTGGGCTGAGGGACCGGCGCGTCCATCTTGTCCGTCATAATGGTGGCAAACAAGCCATCCTCGGGCTGAGTCTGTGACTCTCTTCGCCATTTCTCAACAATTTTTTCATCGAAGACTTTCTTGAACCACTCTGGTTTGTCAGTTAGCTTGTCCATCAGCAACATCATGCCTACTTCTCTCATGGGTAAGATGGGCGATTCAATGCCCCCGACGTTTGGGTGGCAGCCAACAGGATAGTGACTTTCATCTCGCCCTGGGTGATCTCTTAGATCGATGTCCACGCCGGGATACTTGAATTGCACCCGGGTTTTGGTCACCAAACCCTTGTCGGACATCCTCATGGCGGTGTACCTGTGGCTGGTCGTTGTGAGAAACCTACGGGTGCAGAGCTGCAGTGGACGTTGCCAGAAATGGCCTTTGCATCTTGGCAACATATTGAGGAGACAATCCTATCAGTAGAGCCCATTCAAAGACGGCGATGCATCCTTGATGATTTCCATGTGTCAACGTGGCACAGACGCGCCCAACCGTGCATCTGGGAATAAAACGGGCATGAGTCATGTCAGCTTATTAATGATAGAGCCAAGCCAAGAAGAAGAAGGCCTGTGAAGGATGGTGATACTGCCTCAACACGAGGATGATGTTCTACCAATCATGGGGCTGTTGAGCTGGCCCGGAAGCTCGGGGATTGCATCTCAGTGTTAATAAGGGCCAGATACGTAAAGGGTTTTTTATACGAAATTTATACAACTTTACTATACCTTACCCGAATTAGCTAGGAATCCTTTATAATTTAAAGCCAGGATTAGGAAATATATAAAAACCTTATAAGAATATATCTTTTTTAATAAAGCTAGTAGAGGACTCTCAGGAGCCCTAAATAGGCCTAGATACTGAGCTTTTTAGTATTTTAACTATTTATAAAGAAATATATTTTTTAATATATTTCTATATAAATTTAGCTGTAAATTTTAATAGCTCTATAGCTATTCCGCAGGCTATAATAGTACCTCTTTAAGATATAGCTATATCTATCTCTATCTTAGTTCTTCTTATAGTCTTAAAGAGAAAGCTAAGAAAGTAAAAGTAACTATATATATAATATAATTAAGTTAATACCCTTAAGGGCTTATAAGTTTAAAGTATAACTAAGCCTCTAGTTAATAGAAATAATAATCTACTAAACTTAGAGATTATAAGAGTATATTATAACTAGCTTCTTAAGGGGTTAGAGTATATCTTTAAGTAGCTCTTCTAGATAATAAAGTTAATCTTCTATAAGCTATACTATTAGCTTATAGATAATATAATTATTTTAGCTTTAAGATATTATACTCTTAAGCAGAAAGTAATAATTATCCTATAGCTATTTATATATAATAAACTATAATATAATATAGTCTATAAGTTTAAAGTTAACTAGTCTTCTATATTATATATCTTTTATAAGCTTAAGGGTCTACTAAGGTAACTATATAAATATTTTATTATCTAATCTAATCTAATATACCTATTACTAATAGTAGAATTAAACCTAAAGTTTAATTAGTTTAATAGAATAATAGGAGCTATTAATAATACCTATATTAAAGCCTTTATTCCTTATATAATATAGAAGTATTAATAGTTTTATAAGGGTTATATCTCTTAAAATATATTTATAGTAATAACTCTAGATAGTCTCTTTTTATATATATTATCTAGAGCTAAAGGTTTAATATATAATTCTACTTTACTTACCTAAGCTTTATCTTATAACTTCTATATCCTGGAAAATTAATTCTATATTATAGATATAGACTTTAGCTTAAGAAAAAGAATATTAATCCTATATAATAGTTTATATTATATTCCTTAGTAGTTAAAATTATAAAGGAAACTAGAGACTAATAAGAAGATATTTAACTTATAGTACTTATAAATTTATATAATTATTAAGTAAATAATCAGTATATATAAATATAGGTAGAAAATTATAAGGAATAGTAGCTCTAAATATAATATCTATAATTAAATTAGTATTATTTTTACTATAATTAGACTATTTAATTTTATTTAGTTTAGTAGATAAACTCTATAGGAGATACTTTATAAGAATATTACTACCCTTAACCCAGCTTAACTTTATATACTTATACTTACTTCTACTTAGTATAAAGATATAATTTTAAAGTTAAGTATATATATTTATTAAGAAATAATAAAAAAATAGAATTAAAAGTATTATTATAGATATATTAAGGAGTTATAATAGAGGGAAGTTAGTAATAAGTAGAGGATTATAGGGGAAAGCTATAAAACTATTATACTATCTAGCTATTAACCCTACCTTTATTAAAAGATAACTTTATAATAGCCTTACTTTACTAACCTAGTTCTAACTATTTAATATTTAGATTAATTATATCCTTAATAAAAACCTACTTATCCTTACTAGATAGAAGTAAATTCTATACTACTAGATTTATATAATCTTTATAAAGCTATAATATTAATTTTAAGTATAAACTATTAGTTCTACTCTTTATATAAACTAAAATATCTTATATAGCTTTCTTAAGATCAGTTAAGCCCGGGTAGTATTATACTTTAGTAAAATAGGTAGCTAATATATTTATAAAATAGCTAATAGCTAGATCTATATTTATCTCTATAAACTAGGTTTTCTTTCTTATATCTTTAATAGATAAATTTATTAGAATAAAAAGTAATTTTCTCTTTTTCCTACTCCTTATAAAAGTTACTAACTCTCAGACTAGTATTAAAGTAACCTATAATTATATATTATAGATAATAACTTTATCAGTTAGTAATAACTCCTCTTCTCCTTCTTCCTTATTAATATTACTAACTATTATAAGCTTAGCTTCCCCTTCCTCCTTAATATAGACTATTATAAATAATTTAAACTAAACCTTATTATTACTAACTTCTATAATCTAATAACTAGCTAAAGAGTTAATTAAAAAAATAATTTACTAGGTCTTATATAAGATATTATATTAATCTCTATTATAAGATATTATAAATAGCTTCTAAAGAATTTATATAGCTTCCTTTAGCTAATAATTAATAATCTATTTCTATAGGTTATTACTTAGATATAATAGACCTATCTTATTATTATATTTAACTCCTAACTAACTAGCTATCTCTCGGAAGATATACTATAAGGCCTTTAGTTAATAATACTAATATTTAAACTAGTTTTAAGTCTAAGAGTATATAGTAAAAACTCTATTTATAAATAGAAGTAGCTACTTAAAAGACTATATCAGATTAGTATTATAGCTTTTATTAAGAGCTCTATTAACCCAGGCTTTAAAGAGAAGATTAAGATAGTATAGCTAGTATTACTATAACTACTACTAATAGGCTAGCTTTTTATTATTACTTAAGGGATTATTAGAGGTTAACTACTACTATAGCTAAGAGCTATTAGGTACTAGTATTATTATAATATATTAAAAAATATAAGATTATATTAATTTATATAAAAAAATAGCTTTATATATATAGCTATATTAACCCTTATAAGCAGGGTTTAGGGGTTATAATAATATAATATAAAGGCCCTATATAATTTATAAGCAGAATATATACACACAAGTCTTATACTAAAAATTCACCCCTTCCTGCATCTGGCCCTAAATCTATCTCTGTAGCTCACCTATTCGCTCAATGCCCGCGGAACCGGAATACGGGAAGCTGTGGAACAAGCAAGGATCGGGAACTGGCGAAATGCCCGAGTTACACTGTCTCGGCCTTCACTTCACATGCGGTGTCGATGCCCAGTTATGCAGTATCAAGGGTCGCAGCATTTTCCCAGCCAACAGGCCAGAATAATGCAGGAACACGAGGTCATCAATCCTCGACATCCCTGTCTGTGCTTCTCGTGTCCACCGTCTGGGGCGAGATCTGCGGGCTCAGCCATGCGCACCGTCCCTCTGCGCTGGCCCGATACCCACCGTGGAGAATCTTATTGCGATCTGCGGTATAAGAAAATAGCGACAACCGCTTCTTTTCCATCTTCAATGGTTCGACTGTCAAGATTCGCTCCTTTGACCTGTGTGGGAGATTCTCGAGATGGGTCTCAACATCATTCTTGGGGTACTCCTTTATGTCGCATCAATTGCCCTTGCGACGGACAATCAGGAATGGCGACATGTTCCAGGGGCCTACATCATTGAGCTGGAGGACAACCAGGTTGGCAATTGACTCAGGGGAAGACCTTGGAGCGACAACGCTGATATCGAATATCAATAGGATCTGTCCACATTTTCGTCATCTATCGTTTCCAGCGACGAGATTAGCCGAACCTTTGACTTCTCATTATTCAAGGGCATAGCAGTGCAGCTCAAGGGGGCTGAAATTGACCTTGCTGACTCGAGAGCTTTCTCAATTGCCTCAACTCCGAATGTCAAGAATGTTTGGCCCGTTCGGGAGCACGCGAGGCCCAATGTAACGGTTCATTCGAGCGGCAAGCCTGGCCTCCAGGATCTGGAAAAGCGACAGGACAATGGCTCTGACACTTTTGGGCCTCATGTGATGACCCAAGTTGACAAGCTGCGAGCTGAGGGCTATACGGGAAAGGGCATCAAGATTGCCCTCATCGACACAGGAGTGAGTGCTAACATTCATGAGGATGGAATTGAAGCTTACGGGTGATTCAGGTTGACTACAAACATCCCGCACTTGGAGGCTGCTTTGGGGAAGGGTGCCTGGTATCGTTTGGGCGTGATCTAACGGGCGACGATTTTACTGGAGAGAACCAACCAGTTCCTGACTCGGATCCCATGGACTGCACAGGACACGGCACGCACGTCTCTGGGATCATTGCCGCACAGAAGAACGATCTTGGCTTCACTGGTGCTGCCCCGGATGCCACTCTCGGCATGTACAAAGTCTTTGGCTGTGAGGGCCACACAACGACCGATGTCCTCATCGCTGCTCTCTACCAAGCATACGAGGATGGCGCGGACGTCATCAGCTCCTCCATCGGGGAGGCATCTGGATGGGCCGGCGGTGCCTGGGCTACCGCGGCTTCCCGCATTGTCGAGAAGGGAGTCCCCTGCATCATGTCTGCAGGAAACGATGGCACTACTGGTCCGTTCTATGCCAGCAGTGGACCGAGCGGGAAAGGCGCCATCGGCGTCGCTGCTTTCAACAACATTGAGTTCAAGAAGATAGTCGACAAGTCTGTGTTCACAGTTGACGGTGGGGAGGAGGTCACCTTCATCTACGAGTTGAGCAATGTCAAGCCTGCTGAGAATGTTAGTCTGCCGTTATGGAGCCCGGGTCGCAATAACTCTGGCTGCTCTTCATACCCAGACACGACACCTGACTTGAGCAAGTTTGTCGTGTTACTATCGATTGGCGATTGCACCGAGGTAGAAAAGGCCCAGTTTGCAGCCGCAAAGGGCGCAAAACATATCTTGTTCTACAGCAACGGGGCTGGTACGCAAGAGTTGTACCTCTATGGAGTCGACGGCCTCAAGTCAGCATCGGTCGTTACGAGCGAGACTGGGATACAGTGGCTTCGCAGCTTAGAGGCGGGCTCAAAGATCGTGGTGACTATGACGATCTCGACGCTCAGCGAGAAGGCAGCTGTTGATGCTGCTCCTCAGGTTGGGCCTGGAAGCATCAACGTCGTGACCTCGTGGGGCCCAACTTGGGATCTTGACATAAGGCCACAGTTTGGTGCTACTGGTGGCTTTGTTCTGTCCACATACCCGCTCAATCTTGGCAGCTATGCCGTCCTGTCTGGTACCTCGATGGCCGCACCTTTGGTCACAGCAGTCTACGCCATCCTTGCTGAAGTCCGTGGCAAGAAACTGGCACCCGCCGACTTTGAAGCTCTTCTCTCCGCCAACGCTAATCCCCAAGTTTACAACTTCACCGAGGTGCGAAACTACTTGGCCCCTGTTCCTCAACAGGGCGCTGGCCTGATCCAGGCTCATGATGCCGCGTATGCCAAGACTCTTCTTAGTCCTGCTAGCCTCTCGTACCAAGATTTGGCCAGTGGCATCGAGTCACTCAACTTCACAATCTCTAACACAGGCCAGGAGGAGGTTGAGTACCAGATAAGCGATGTGTCCACGGCCAGCATATATGCCCTCCCCTCGGGGAACCTTTCTCTTCCACCCCAAGAAGCTGGAGGCTTGACCTTTAGCGAGAGCAAAGTGCGCCTGGCTGGCGGTGCGTCACACACCGTCACCGCTCATGCTGCACCTCCAAAGTCCCTGGATCCCATGCGCCTGCCCATCTGGTCCGGCTGGGTAGCTGTCAATGGATCTGACGGGACGTCTCTGTCGATCCCATATCAGGGGGTCGCAGGGAAACTGGATGACATCGACATGCTGCCCCAGAACCAGACGTTCGCCGAGGTCTTCGACTGGGACGCAAAGACTTTTGTCCGCATTCCCGAGAACGCGAAGTTTACCCTCCCTGCACCAGGGAACTCTTCGACCGAGGAGCTCCCGCGCCTGAGGTTTACTCTTGTTATCGGTTCGCCTGAGGTGAGGGCGAATGTTGTGCCAGTGACGGCTGATGGACAGGCCCAGGATACCGTTGGACAGCTGGAAAAGTATCCATGGCTATGGGCGCCACGACACTCCTTGTATTACGAATGGAAGGGTATGATTGCCAACGGAACCTATGTTCCCGCGGGGAGATATAAGTTTGTCTTTCAAGCATTGCGTCGGGGAGGGGATGCGAATAAGAAAGAAGATTGGCACGTGGCTGAAACTGTGACAATGGACTTTACATATGCGGAAGGTTAATTAATATTAGTATTACTCATAGTATGACGTGTAAGAATGTTATTTCTTTGAACTGTCATTGGAAAATCAATCAATCTGGCTACAAGCCCGCACACCAACTGACATAAACACCTGATTTACATTACCGCTGCCTCGCTCTTTTTGGCTTTGATTCCCCCTATTTCGCTACCTAATTTTTTGAGGGCATATTCGGCGTCTTGAAACACGGCGCGTGAAAGTTTTGGCATCGGTGGTGTTTGTTGTCTTTTCAAGTATAATGCTAGGACCGTGTCTCCTCCCATTCACTGAAACCTGGCACTTTATGTTACGCCCTTTGTCACCGCGCGTCCGTTGTTTTCTGCCTGCGGGAAATGCACGGGTATTGTACTTTATTTTGGCCTTTGTTAAAGCAGTTTGTATCAGTACATTGGTCATTTATCTACTACAGCTCCAAACAAGAAGAGCAGTCAAATAAACTTTAGCGACGCCCATTCCGCCTGTTACTGGAAACGGCGTTGCATGATGAAGCAAGACGGTGAGTTACATAAGCCTATTTGAAAACTCGAGCCTTTACACCAGCAGAGTTTGTATAAAGCCCACATCTACTGGTGGAACATTATCCATGGCGTTGAGTTGTCGGGCCCTGGCAGCTTCACTGTTGGTAAACTTTATTCTCTCTCTTCCGTACTGATGGGAGATTCCTTTCAAAGTATATAAGGAAAGCCTCTGACTACTGGTTTGGGAGTTATCTTGTGTTGTTCCTATCATTTCAATAACTTTGAATACTCATTATTCCACAATTTCTCTCATAACCTTCCACCGAAAGATAACACAAATCACTCAGGATAAAGTTGAGATGGCCAAGCTCCAACGTGAGGAGGTCGGAAAATCGCCTCTCGTCCAGACCGTGAAAAGGCGATCCCTCTCCAAGCAGGTGGAGAGTCAAACGGCCCAATTGTGCGGGGTTATAGAAAAGAGGTGGGAGCACGAGCTCGGAGAGTTGATGGAAATACTCGAACAGTATGAAGCCAAGGCCATGGAGTACGAATATAAGATTGAGCAGGTCAGTGGCGAAATAGCCCAATCGGACAACTTGATCAGGCATTACGAAGATAAATTTGTGGCCTTCAGCAACGAATTAACTAGAAGGCAATCCCTCATCAAGGAAAAAGAGGACAGGCTTGAGAAGCTCGACAATGACTTATATAGCCCGGACCAACTGGTCAGGTGGCAGGAGGACAACATCCGCAACCTTCAGTCTGACTTATCAGACAAGCGTGAGCAGATCGAAGAATGTGAAGATGGCACTGAGGAGGACCGCCGCGAATTGGCTGAGCTAAACTCTGAGGTCGAGGAGCTCGAGGAAATGACCGAGTATGCCGAAGAACTCCTCGAGGAGTTCGAGAGCGAAGAATCCAAGATGGACGATCGGATAAGAGAGGATGAAAATTGCATCAAGGAGCTTCGCAGCGGATTAGATCAGTTGGAGACCCAGACCGAAGAGTGCAAAGCTGAGCTGTGGTGGTACAGGTACGGAAGGTCGGTGCAGAACGGGCATAGGAACGGGCTGCAGGAGGAGAAGATTTTCTTGAAACAGAAAAAGAAGGAGATTGGTGATAGAATCGCCAATCGCCAGCTCGACATTGGGGAGCAAATTCGCGAAGCGTACAAACTCGCGAAGGAAGAAGTAGAGAGGTCGGAAAATTCATAATCAAGGGAAGAATGTATGTGGGATTGCTGTTACCACAACAGGACAAGGAAGGTTATTCCTGCGGCAAAGCAACTTTCAAATTCAAAGGTTCATAGGATCTAGAATTGTCATAACTCAGTTTGTACATATGGAACCCAATTTGTTATTGGCCGCTAGTTGAATGGTGAAGATGCTCCATATGGCTCTACCAGATTTGGCTGCTCTACTGAAACTATGTTGCAGACCCCGATCTCCAAAATTGTTGCCGGCGGGCCCCGTTGGACTAGGTTTTGGATATATCGGATCGTAACGTGGCAATAGGTTCTATGGATCTAATGGAGATCTGATCTAGGTATGTTACGTCTGGTCAGTGCAGGTGACCTGCAGGCGCCTTTAACTATAACGGCTTGATCACTACCCTTCAGGGAGTTTGGAGCTGGTGGGTACGATACAGCGCATTTTCGCGAAAGCTCTGTGGGGGGAAATAGACATGCAGAAAGAATGGATGAGTTGTTCTGATAAGCTTAGATGGAAGACTTTGGATGAACAAACTTTTGGGATCTCAGGTTTCAATGTGTTCTTTTTCATGTCTTCAAACTAAAGCAAGAATGAGCAGGCTATATCGTAATATAGAACGGCTCAAGGGCTGTTTGATAAAGACTGGCTTCCGCTCTTCGTGTTATTAGCACTGCCATCTTACATGTATGCTCTATAGAGCAGCTTCCTCATCTCTCTTCAACCCCTTCCCATAAAAGTTCCTCTCATTGATAACCTGGACATCATCATCAGCGAAGACTTTGCCCTCTCTCTCGGCCTTGATCCTCAGCCTTCGAATGCGCCTCACATCCCACTCAACATTCCTCGTCAGCCACCAGGTAAGTGCACTCGCCAACCACCCGCCTCCAATCGCCGCCGAACAAATTGCAAAGGGGACCTTGTAACCGTTATAGGCATACTTTGACTGGAACATCTGGGGGCCGATAACACCGCCAACCTGGCCGACGCTAGACTGGAAGGCGAGCGTGAAAGCCGTCCCGGTCGAGCCTACAAGCGTGGCCGAGCGCCATGCCCAGAACGGGATGAAGAAGACGGCGTAAAACATTGTCCCGAAGACGCACGCTACGTAGACTGCGTACTTATCCCGCGTCGAGGCAAGGACGATGAAGAAGGCCAGGCACCCGGCGCAGATGGCCATGATGAACGCGGGCCGCGTAACGTAGGCGCGCTTCATAAACCAGCCGGCGAAGATGATGGCGAGTACAGAGCAACCGGCGGGTGGGATGTTGAGCAGCTGGTTTCGCGGGAGGCCAGCGAAGCCGAGACTCGTGGTGACCGTAGGGAGTTGCCAGCTCAGACCGTAGCCGCCAAGATTGATGAGGATCTGGGAAAGCATGAACGACCAGATCCGCGGGTCACGTAGCGAGGCGATGACTTCCGAGGTACTAAATGCTGCGTCACTGGTCCTGGGCGCGTTCTCTGAAAGTCTGGCTTCGAGATATTCTTGCTCTCTGGGCGTGAGCCAGGAACTAGAGCGGGGCGACTTGGGATAATCGGGCAGGACGAAATATACCACTCCTGAGAAGAGGATGGTGATGATGCCTTCGAGAAGGTAGACCCATTGCCAAGCACTCAGACCTGAGAGTCCGTCCATGTATGAGATGCCGTAAGCGAGGAGCGAACCCACGATACCCGAGCAGTTGGAAAAGGCAAACATCCACATGATTGGTTTGCCCATCTCATCCGAGCGATACCACGAGCATAGTTGTGCAGCAATCCCAGGAAACATACCCGCCTCCATCATCCCAAGGACGAACCGGGCCGCGTACAAACCTTCCTTGTTCTTCACAGCCGCATGGCAGGCCAATACTGCACCCCATGTGAGCATTATTCGGAATTGCCAGTTTCTGGGCTGCATTTTCTTGAGGACGAGATTGCTCGGGACCTCAAAAATGATGTAGCTGATCTTGGAGGAGTTAGCTCCTGGATAGGTATTCGGGCAAGAGTTTTCTTACAAAGTATATGGACTGAACCCAATTGTACTGGTCATCTGTCATGCCGAGCTGTATGAGGACATTTGTAGGCTGGCCCACTTGAAGCACTTTGACTGAGGCTGCATTGGTGTAATCAACCTGCCAATTCGAAGTCAAGTTAGAGAAACAGTGTTGTTCTTGTTGCTTTGGAGAAAACCTACGTTCTTGATGAGATAAATCACACCTATCAGCCATAGAAATCTCCAATCAACCTTCCGCATGATTGCTCTATCCTCCTCCGCACTGAAAGTGGCGAGAAAGGCAGCTCGGTCAGTGGCCGCGTCATTGTGAACGCTATTCGGAGTTTCGCTTGACTCTATACCATCACCATCGACTGCTATATCTGGTGCCCCCTTAGAATCAGAGTGTGCCATTTTCTCTTAGTGTGACACCTGTTTTTCTAGGTATAGATTAAGGTTATCAAACAAGGAAGAGGAAAGCTGCAATTATATACAAGTGAAAAAGGAAATATTTTCTCAATATGGGGCGTTAACAGCCAGCAACGCTCGGTTATGTTGTACCGCGATTTAGACTGAAACAGGGTCTCTGCTAGTTTTGATCGCTCCTAATAACTATGTAATTTACAATACTCTGGGCAAATCACGCAAAGCTGACATCCTGGCGGACGTTACCTTATCTGTATAGAGTATGCAAGAATCCACCGAAATGACGCAAGCGTAGTGTTATATTCCATGTTCCCCTACCCTTGGACATGGTGCAAGGACCCATCCACGTGACGCAATGTCAGTATATTATTCCCGAAGCCTTCGTAGTCTCTCCATATCTCGGCTTTTAAGTGCTCTTGGCCGCCCTGTTGACCCAATGTTCTGACAAGATCTAGCCACTTAAAGCTAAATTGGTGGACTTTGATGCGTTTCAATCATTGAAGAACAGGCTTGGCTCGGTCGAGATGATGGAGAAGTCAGATACCACTTTATTCTTACTTCTTTGGTGGGTGTGGTGACTATGATATCCGGAACAAGAATTTTAAACTAGGCAAGGCGTGTCGGTGTGAGTTGGTAGAGAGTTGTCTTCCTTGGGCCCGGCACAGACTCTAGGCTTAGAAAAGGTTGTTAAAGCCGAAAAGAGGATCAAAAGATAAGAAAGAGTCGATATCCAGATTACTTTCCTCTTCATCCAGGTTTTGAAGTGCCGGCAATGCCTGTCCCTCGGTACCAGAAGGAAGCAGCGGATCCGTCGAGTTCATAGCGAAGCTTCTCATCACTTCATCAATATCTAGGTCCGTGAACCCCGTCACAGAATTATCTTCGCCGATACCGGACCGAGAGTCTGGAGGAGACTGCAGATGATCGATACGCGGTGTTTGCGTGGGTCTCTCACGCGTCGAGACCGTCGGTAAGTTAACGTTTGAGCAATCAAGACTCACAGGCTCAGGAAAATGATCCATCTTGACACCCAGACGTAGAATAAGGCCCTTGAGTATCCTTATTGTCTGACGTGGTGCATGGCAAATAGTTTGATGCTCTCCCAAAGCATTCAGACACCGCTGAAGGCATTTGTGCGCCGAAGAATCCAATCGTCTCTGGGCCGCTATGCGTACGTGTATTGTGGCACTTACGTATGTCGCATAGGACACAAAGTAAGGCGTTGTTGACATACAAAAATGCATTTGATAGAGCTGCAGAATTTTGTCGATTTCCAGTGCCGCAGTCGCACAATATGAGAAAGCCTGGGCTGCCCCCGAGGAGGTAGACTGGAGATGCCCGTCTGAAACGAATGGTCGATGCAGCAGAATGACCATGGAGTTATACATGGATCTTGGCTAACCGTCAGCCACAAGTTTCATGAAAAACAAATGCCCTTCCCACTTACAATAATGAGAGCGTGTGCGGAAGCACGGATGTGATGGCAGGACTGTCAAGCTGAATTGACAAGTGAGAAGGGAGACTCGTTCGCCAGTTTTCTAGTGCTGTCTGAATGGACTGCCGAGTCTTGGTTAGTTCAGCCGGGCTTGTTGAGGAACTCTTTTCGGAATAGATGCTCTGAATAATTCGGTCCATGATAATGCTGAGTTGGCACAGTTCTCGGAAAGTTGAGACCGCATAAGTCGGGCGGGAGAGTTGCTGTGGAGTTGCCGAATAGGTCAATGTATTGAAGAGTTCATATTCTTCGTATTCGTCCAAGAAAAGTATTGGAACGCTGTTATCGATATCTTTTAGCCGGGAAGGCCGGCCTTGGTAGATTGATTGCACCTTATCAAAAGCTGAGGGGACTGAAGTTAGTCATGTGAATATTAAAAGCTGCTAGGAAACTCACTATAGGCCGACCAGAACAATCGGCGATAAACTTCTATATCTTCTGGAGCGCAACTCTCCTTTGAATGCAAACCAGCCGATCCATCGACATGGATGCCCAGATCAATAATCATATTCACGGCGATTCCCATATAATGCCATGACAGACTCCTCTCATCGCACCACGTAAACAAGGCGTCTGAGACAATTAACAGGGCTTGTATCGTGGTGACCTCGCTCCTCCAAAGGGCTTCCGAGTTAGAGGCATGGAGATAGCTGTCGAATTTGTTTCGAAATGACCAGCCCCGTTGACCTCTGGGGCCACTCGATTCCACGTCTTCCGACTTGGTAAGACTCTTAGACGCGCCAAAGTAAATGGCATTTAGCAGAAGCTTTGAGAAATATCGGCCTCCGCAGGCCATATCCCTCATGAATGCTGGGCGATATACAATAGTCCCTGAATAATACTGGCGGTTCCAGAACAGTGATAGCAGCCGCATGCCTAGGTCAGGAGGCACGCCGTCAAAATCAAGTGAATTATTGTTCAAGTTCACAACTTCCATCTGGCCTATTCTCATGTAAGCAAAGTATGTCATTGGTTGGAGCGTATCCTTCTAAACATACGTTGTCTTGTGGCATCAGCCAGGAGCTGGTTTTTAACCTGTGTCATAGACGATTGTGAGAGCTGTTGCTGTTTCTTAGGCATGTTGAACATCACACTTGAAGGGCCATGAAAAGCAACCTCTTGGGGAGGTTCAGAAGACGCGTGAATGACAGGTTGCGAGACTACAGGCCCGGAACTGTGGTCGGCATCAACGGGCTCATGCTCCTCATATGCAGGTTGATCATACGGATCAACGTCCTGGCCGTGATGAGATATTGTATCCGCAGTGATGACAACCTGCGTCTCCTCGAGAGCATCGTGTGGGCGTTGCAACGAGTGACGTAGTCGTGCATTTTCCTCCTCTAGCTTATGAATCCGTGCATTGGAGGGCCTCGAGTACTGTATGAGAATCACTGAATTTCACCAGCAAGGGAAAGAATCACATACCTGGCTTTCTTCTCTCTTGTGGCATACGTGCAGGCTTCTCCACGCTGACGACAGTTTTCGCATTGAGGCTCTGCGTCACACCGCAGCTATCAACAGTTAGTGAAAGGGTCTAGATGGGCAGTGAGACACAAGCTACCTTCCTCCTCCGACAGAAGTCACAGGCTGCAGATACCCGCAGCTTCCGCTTGCGGGTGGGAGTGGCTGGCTGGGACGGCATGATGTCTTTGTCCTGGATGATGAGGATTAACCCAACTCAAGCGGACGCGACGGATGAACAAATTCCGCGTCGCCCCACTTTAATTTCACAGACGGAACACAACGTTCCATCTGCTTACTCAATGGCTGACGTAAAGCGGAAACAGCCCGAGATGGTGCTACCCTATATTGCTTCAAAGATGGGCATGGCACTTCATTTATTGACAATAGGGTATGGAAATAGTAAAAACTGATTGAATGCCTTATTTGATACAGAATCTTTGTGATATCGCTGGCGCTAGAACTTTGCTATATGCGTGAAATGTAATTGCTTTTTCTTTTACTTCGGCATTTACGACAACATCTTAGAGCAGTTGTTAGTGACAACATTGCAGTGCACAAACACATTTAGGCACCAAACCCCCAACTTCCAAACAGCTTAACCCATAATCATCGTATTTGTTAAGCTTTATCTTCATATTCATCCTATCTACAAGTTATTTGCACGTACCGGCTAATCTCGGAAGCAACCCTTTAAATGTCTCCGTGCCCGCCATCATACCCTATTTGTAAGTCTTGCGCACGGAAACTAGCCAATACTATATTACCGCACTTATAATATATTGTTGTGTTTCCTGTTGACTTATTAACTAAGATGTGGCCATTGATCATCTCACTTGGGTAATATTAGTAGGAAGCCGAGAGGGGCTGCAATTTCTTGGAAGCAGTGGCTCTACACGAATTGGTTTTTAAAAATATTAATCATTCAAGATCTCTTCTCCGAACTTGAGTTCTAGGGCAAGACCGAGTTCAGCTCTGATTCTAGGCCGAGCTGTCCCTGGAAAAAAAGGTATTGCTAAAAGGGTCTGACATTTGAACACAGATATCAGGAGTATATCCCTGGAACAGGTGAGTAAGACGTATACTCGCTAAAATCTCTCCAACCAGTGTGCGCAAGACACCCGAGGTAGAGTCATTGCTGGTCCCTGCCGGCACCCCATCCCGCTACACTCAGGTTCTGGTGGCTGCGTCAGTCTCCCCAAGAACAACCTCCTCTTGCTCCAGGATTCGCTTCTCAGCCTTGGTTCTCCCTTCCTTGGGTAGAAACTTGAGCAAAATAGGAATGGAGGCAGCGAGAAGGGCCCCGAACCCTGTAAACGCACCGGTCGTAGCAAAGCCCTTGATGAAATTGGGACCATCTCCGGCTGGCCACAATCGGCTGCCGTATACCGCAGAGAGATTACCGATGGAGTTTACCAATGCCACAACAACAGCTCGCTTTTCCGCGGGCAGAGAAATGACCTCTGATGTCCAGTTGAGAATCAAAGGTAGAGCAGTGTACAGTCCCGCGATGTAGAAGCAGAGCATGGCGTACTGGACCTTGGCATTTCCCACTGTGACACAGACGATCGTGCAAATGAAGCTGAGGCCCAGGCATCCAGTGATATGCCAACGTCTATCTCCTGTAGCATCGGCAGTGTAGGATAGAATGACAAGAAACACGGCACCAACCATCCAGATGGGAATAGTCATGTACTGTGCCATGACGGACGTGTAGCCCATAGACTTGACAATCGTTGGGATGAAGTATGAGATTGTGCACGAGCCAAGATCCATGACGAAGAGAATGATGAAAATATATGTTCGAGGATCCGCCAGAGCTGCCTTGATGGCCTGCCAGTGAGTGAGTTTGATGCTGTGTCGAGCGACGGTGGTTTGGCGATCGTGCAGCATACGGACAACTGCTAGTTGTCTTTCGTCGAGGCTAAGGCGTTTTGAAGACTCGGGGAAATCGAGAAGAATGAACTTCAAGCAGATGGCGAAGGCGATGGTGCAGCATCCCTCAATTAGATATAGCCAGCGCCATCCCCGCATACCTTGGACACCTTCCATGTTTCCAGTAATGGCACCCGCAAGAAGTCCACTGAGGGCCCCGGAGAACACCGATGCGGTGAAGAAAATGGAGAATCGTTTTCCTGTTTTCAAGGTTAGAAAAACCCGTTGGGCTAGTTGTTCGAGCCAAACCCACCGATTTCTGCCTTTTTGTACCAGCAAGTCATCACATATAGAACACCGGGGAAGAACCCAGCTTCAATCGCACCAAGGAAAAACCGCAAAGCTAGCATTCCTTCGTAGTTATGGACTGCGGACATGGATGCACAGATGCCACCCCAAACAATCATGATCCCGGGGAGGTACCACGAGGGTCGGGATCGTGTAAGTATAAGGTTCGATGGGACTTCGCAGATCAGGTAACCGATGAAGAAGATGGAGAGGAGCATTGCGTATTCTACAGTCATTTGTTGTTAGCTGGGTATCTCATGCAGTATGTCTCCTTTGACTGCGGAGATGACATACGATCGTCTGTGAGTGCAAGATCCTTATCCATGCCTGCAACCTTGGCGTTTCCCTAGATGAAGATGGTTAGCATAAGACATATATGAAGATGGATTGCGAGAACTCACGATATTCTGGCGATCGATGTAAGCAAGAATGTACATGAGCCAAACCGCGGGCATCATGATGAAGTCAATCTTGCGAACCAAGCGCTTTTCAGCGTCTGATCCGGGAACGTAGTCGGCTAGAGCTTGCTGAAGCTCCATCTCCTCGGCGGATATGTTGGTCTTGATGGCGTTGCCATATTCAACGTCAACAAGGTCATTGACCTTTACATCCTTTGATTTGATTTCAGACATGTTGTCTGAGTGATGTTGGTAATCGATTCCGAATTGCCAAGAGGTCAGAATCGCGATGCTTCCAGTAGATTGATATCCGGGGGATGCGCATCGACTCTTATAGCAATGCGACTCTGAGGCCAACCACAGATAAGACAATGATGATGCTTTGAGCAGAGTATCCACCCAAGATTGGGAACGGTGAAGTTTGACAACAGGTAATGCAAGTCAGGGCCCCTGCCCCATTTCCCCGCGTTGTCTGCAGGATATGATTGGCAAAGCTGGGTTGAGAGGAGCGAGTCAAGGCACAGTTCGCATTGGCAATCATGCTAACTCCAGACGTTCCAGCCAGTAGGCCCATTCCATGATAGGTATTACGGAGTACAGAGCTCCTCCTGCCCAATCACACGAAGCCAACCATGGCTGAACTTGATAAGATGCCCGGATAACAACCACTGTACACCGGACCGGGTGCAATGGGCTATGAAAATGGTTTGGTAATACCCCTGATCCCCAGTCCGTCCCTCGATAAGAGGTGGGGAATCTGGATCAAGTTTCCCGGTAGTCGCTGGAGAAAGGAAGGACACTACGCCGCCACCACGTAGTCCATGTTGACCTAGGATGAACTCTATACCGAAATCCAGGTAGCGGTGCAAACTTACTCTGAGTAATAAGCACAGTACCTCTATCAGAAATAAGGTGATCCATGCTAAACAAGCCGACCAACTGAATAAAAAGCACTTTACTAACAAGCCAACCCCTGGCGCTCTGACCCGCCTGTCAGTTAAGCGATGAAACCTGGGGTCGGGGATAGCCCGACCCTAACATGACGCGGAAAAATATCGTGGTCGGACTTTTCTCCGACATGGCCGAGGTCGCCTTCACTCAAATAAGCTGCCACTGCTGATTCGTGGATGGGAGCGCCCAAGGTGAACTCAGTATATAGCGCGGATGCAACTTTACCTCCGCGAGTTTAGCCTGGAGAGCCCTAGTGCCAAGTAGTTTTCTAGGGAAGCCTCTTCTTTCAAGTCATGGAACAAGATACGGTCCCGGATAACTGACACTCTGGGTAGCGTCACTGTTAGGGCATTGATAGATGCTGGTTAGCAGTCATCAGCTTCTCAACTCTACGAGTAGGAACCTGCCGGCCCGGAGACTTGTAATATGATCAAGGATAAGATCACCATCTCGATGTGGGCCTCGAGCACACGGTTGAATGTAACTGATACCACTAGCCGCACTAGAACACTGTCCCACCTGCTTATCTCTTAGCCCATGCCACTCGGTCATACTGAACAGTAGGGGCCGGATGAGTCCCATAAGAGAAATCACCGTATCCGGGAGGGAGATGGAACATGAGTTTCCAGTGTATAAAAAACCAGTTTGGCAGCTATGAAGCTGGAGCGATCCAATTAGCGGCACGGCAGAACACCATCTAAGCTAGCCAACGAAGAACCAGGATCTCCCCCGCATTCTTCTCCCAGTACACTGATAGCCATGTCATCGTCAAAGAAGCACGTTGTCTTCGACGTCGTCGGCACCTGTATGTCGTATGATGTTATCTTCGACGCCATTGACACCCGGTTAGGTGACCGCCTTCGTGCTGAGTGTATCAAGCCAAAGCTGCTTGGCTACACATGGTTCGAGGCTGCCGAGAGAGAATACACCTATCTTAGCATCTCGGGGCGATACACTCGGTTCTACGATGTGTTCAAAGGGCTGTTCTATCGCATGCTGTGGATGGCTGGTATAGAGGAGCCTCGGGAGTTCGCTACCGATGACGATCTCGCATACATTCTAGACCAGTTCATGCAGCTGCAGGCTCGCCCCGGGGTGGCGGAATGCTTCCAAATCCTCCGAGATGCTGGCTTCACCTGCTGGGCGTTCACCGCTGGTGACACCAACAGGGTGAGGGGGTATTTCACGCGCAACGGTATCGACATGCCGCTTGAGAACTTCCTCTCGTGCGACTCTCTATCTATTGGAAAGCCAGCCCCAGAGTCATATCACCCCCTGTTGAAGCAGTTTGAAAACGAAGAAGCCTGGTTCGCTGCTGCACACATGTGGGATGTCTCAGCCGCCAAGGCTGCAGGGTTAGTACTAATCCGATGGCAAACTATTTCATTGACCGATGCTAATTCCCGCGTCATAGGTTCAAGGGAGCGTATTGTACGGTCTGGGAGAAGGAGCCCTGCACGGAGCTGTTTGGTACTATGGATATCATGGAAGACTCGTTCCCAGAGATGGCACGCAAGATTGTAGCTGCCACTAAAACTAGCTAAGAGAAATATTACCATGTAATGAAGTGAAGGGTTCATGATAAAGACCCATCGACCCTTTCCCCTAGAGACCTTCACCTAGTCACCGATCTTGAAAGTGACCCGGACCGGCCCCGGATCTCAAGCAATCCGTCAGGGATCGCTTTGATTGTCGCCTAGTCGTATCCAAATCCTACACCGACAACGGGGACGGTGCCAACATGCGGGGCCGGAAGCTTGGCTCTCTCATTAGGATGGAGCAAGCCCCCCTATTTGCCTTCGTTGGTCCAAATAAAAGAGCCTAAAAACACTGGCACTTGGCCTATTGACCTTTCTTCTTTCGGACCAGTCCACTCGGTGAAGCTTCCAAGAGTGACTCTGTCTCGGATCTCTTCTTCTACTAACACACATACGATTCCAAACCCCCCTTTAGCAATGCCTGCAGACAGTCAACAGGGCCACGGCCCGGTGGCAAACCCCGTGGCCTCCTTCTGGGCGACAGAGCCCTTCGCATTGCAAGATCACCAAAGCTCCGCTGATCTTCCCCCCAGATGCGATACCCTGATCGTCGGAGCCGGCCTGGCGGGTGTTGGAACTGCCTATCACATTGTCCAGGGCGGCTCTGATCCAGCTTCAATAGTAATGCTCGAAGCGCGACAGGTAGCTTCCGGGGCGACCGGACGCAACGGCGGGCACGTCAAACCCGATACCTACTTCAACGTGCCCAAGTTTTCTAAGCTGCATGGCCCGAAAGTCGCCGCTGAGCTGGCCGCTTTTGAGGCGTCTCATGTTCTTGCGGTAAAACAGCTCGTCGAGGCTGAGGGTCTTGACTGCGACTTCCACCTCACCAGAGCTGTAGATGTCTATCTTGACCCTGCACACGCAAAAGAGACTGAAGCAGCCTATCGGGCATTAGTCAAGGAAGGAATTGTTAATTTACGTGATGTCGCTTTTATCCCTAAGCAGGATGCAGAGAGAGTGAGTGCAACCCGCATTCTCCGAAGTGTGATATCAACAGCTCTAAATCAAGTCCTTAGGTTTCTGGTGTCAAGGGCGCCCAGTGTTGTTTCTCATTCACAGCAGCCCATTTATGGCCCGCTAAGTTGGTCCACGGACTGTTGGAAAAGCTTGTCAACAAGGGGCTACAGCTCTATACAAACACTCCTGTCACAATCGTATCACCCTCTCGAGATCCAGATGGCATGTGGGCGGTTGAAACATCTCGTGGAACCATCCGGGCAAAGAAAATTGTCTATGCGACGAACGGCTACACAGGCTCCGTCTTGCCAGAATATACAAACAAGATTGTCCCCGTCCGTGGCATAGCATGCCATATAGACAGCCCAAAACGTTCCAACACGCCTCACCTCGTCAACACGTACGGCATACGCTTTGACAGCAGGAACAACGACTACCTTATCCCTCGAGCGGACGGAAGCATTGTTGTGGGAGGGGCGAGGCAAAGATTCTGGCACAACCGTGATAGATGGTTTGGTAATAACAGAGATGATGAGCTTGTCGATGAAGCCGTCTCATATTTCGACGGGTACATGCAACAGCACTTTCGAGGGTGGGAAGATAGCGGAGCCAAGGTCAATGAGATATGGACTGGAAGTAAGTGGAACAATTGATAGAGGAAGCGAGAGTATCTTGCAGCATACTGACATATTTATAGTCATGGGCTATAGCTCAGACTTCGTGCCGCACATTGGCGAAGTTCCAGATAAGCCTGGCCAGTTTATCATTGCTGGCTTTTCGGGACATGGCATGCCAGAAATATTGTTATCAAGCAAAGGCCTTGCATCCATGGTTAGGGACGGCACGGCTTTTGAACAAACCGGCCTTCCTCGGATATTCAAAACCACCAAAACTAGAGTTGAGGCTCAAGGTAGTCCCCTGGAAGATTCATTCAAGGAGCTGTGGGCAAAGACACCTAGCCCGAAGCTATGAATATTAAGGTACTCCAATGAAGGGGAAGTTCTGTAGTAATATTATCAACAATGGGGAGCATTGGGTATCTAATCATGAAATACCTCGGCATAAATTCTCGGCACCCTGCGCTTCCAATTTCAGTCTTTAATTCCAAAGACTTCTACGTCATCAGGCCGGGTATAGCAATAGTATACTGATACTTATCTAAATGCTTGACCTTCTATCGGCTCCGCTTGAGCCCTTGGATCTCAACCGCCGCGCCCTCTGCCCCTTTGAACTGCCATAAAGGTCCGACCAGCGATAAACTGTATGTAGCGTGGGCGGAAGTGTCAGTATGTCTGACACGGCACTGTCTTTAACACGGCATCTGCTCTCAGTCCAACATCTAGCCTCCTGTCCCCATCTCGTCATGACCAGTGTCAACCAAAACCACCGACATGTAACAAAACGAAAAACTAAATCAGATACATTTCCTGTGTACCATGACTGAACCTGTTTCCTCATACTCTTGAGCTGAAATACACATATCTTTGAACGTGGACAGAGACGCAACCACTGATCCCCCAACCCAAGCTGATTTCAACGGGTCTGGGGAAGAGATAACATTGATTGACGTCGAAGATGGACTTATGCTGACCATTTCAGACCGTAAGCGTTCTGCGAAACCCGGATACTTTGTCGAGCCACCAGCCTTGAGAAGTGGTTAGCGCAGGGCCCTCGAGTTGATTGCGGGTAGTGTAAAATCAACTTACCGGAACAATATTCTGGTAAAGCAAATGCTGAATCTCAGTATCACACTTGCTAATTGACCTTTGCAAAGCGTATTGGGCACCTCCGGCCTCTAAACCGACCATGCTGAGGTTGAAAAGAGCTTCCGGTACCATAAATCGCTCATTGTCTACATAAACAGTCTTCCCATCCGGAAGCTCAAAGGGTGTTTCGACTGAAATACCAGGAACCGAGAGGCGACGAAGCTCCTTGTCATAGTCTTGAACGACATAGCAAATCTCAGCTTTGCATTTTGAACCGTCTGCGATCTCGGCGTTGGTGGAAATGGCATATCCACGCTCACCAATTAGTCTGTTGAAGAAGTCTGTCAAATCATGTCCGCCTATATCGAGTTTAGACACGGCATGCTGAAGGGCGAAGCCTTCATATACGGGCACGGCATAGCTTTGGCCGTAGCCACAACTGAATACACTTCCAGATGTCCGGCCAGATGCGTAGAGAGCCAAGACACTCTGCTTTGCGAGGTAGAACGCAGGGGCCTCGAGGGACTCGAAAACAATCTCTCCTGTTTTCTCCCTGTCATGTTTAGGATTGCCCATCTCTTCAGTCATGAGGATTGGATGCTCCTTTGGGTCCAGGTGGAGGTGTCCCTCAAAGACCTCTTTCCAAAGCAAATCCATATCATCAAAACGGGTGATGTAGCCATTTTCAACGGGCCGTCTTAGTCGGGAGATGCCGCGCACTTTCCAAGCCTCATCCCCGACCCAGTGCTGCTTTCCTAAACCAACTAATGCGCTGACACTGTCGAATAATTAGTGCGAGTTGTTGGACTGTGCAGAAACAAGGGAGAAAGTATTACGATCTGCCATAACGAGCTACATATGTGGCTGGGCGGTGGCATTAGTAAATAAAGGCTGCAAAACTGGCCATTTTAGCGAGAAAAGCCAAGACATAGCAGAGAAGGGCGTACGGAAAATAGAACTTGGGGCCTCTGCATCACTAGGGCCAACTTTGCAGGTGTATGATCTGGAGGTGAGTATTTTGTCTTAGCCTCTCTAAAGTTGGATGCGGTACGATAGCAATGTCTGGGGGGTGGGCTATGAGCACCGTATCAAGGAACGCACCCGTTATCAATGGTGATGGTTGAGCCTTTTTTGCGGCCGTCAGTTGGTTAGACTCCTAGATATCGGATGCCAGCTTATGTGTGTGTGTGCATCAACGTACCTGCCATTATCGCAGCATCTGAGCCCTCCTACACAGCGGGTGAAATGATAGAAATGTGAGGAGAGATGTCGAGGTACGTGATATACCTTCAAATTATTTAAGCGGGTGAGTAAGCTGACGTGAATCCTAATGCTGGAGCCTATCAATTACACGGATCTCCTATTAGAGCGTAGTGGAATACTTTGGCGTGAGAAGCATACTCCCCTCATTTTGAAGATGGAGGCTGATATGCTTCACAATGAGGGTAAACATTCTAAATGAATTCAAGCTTCTAGGCTAAATTTATATCTTTGATATGGCCAAAATGGCCATGATATGCATTAATGTACCATATATATAATGTGCTGCTGGCGCTTGACAGCAACAGAAAGAAGCAGAGCTAGTAAGACCTGGCAACAGGGCAGGCTTATAATAGGAGACCACAACACGAGTGGGAGTTTAGTAGAGCGTGGTGCAAACACCTTGATGCATCGTAGAGACATCTCTAAACTGTGGCCGAGGTGTTGGCGTTCTTGGCCTTTGGAAAGAGCTTTTCCTTAGGCAAAAATAGAGCTGCAATAATCACAGCAACACCTGATATGATGCTGAGAATATAAATCTTGCTGATTACATCCGTGATGGCATAGACAGCCTCTTTCTGTAGGGATGCACCCAACGAATCGAACAGCTGGCTTGAGGTTCCGGCAGCCGCCTTCCTGATCTCCTTTTCGCTGAACCCCATGCCATCCAGAACCTTGGCAAGATTTCTGAACGAGAGTTCTTGCATCATTTGGCCTCCAATAAGCAAGCTCACAAGCTGCCATCCAAGCTGGGAGAGATTTTGCATCGAGCTGACTCGCTGGACGTCAAGCCCAGACCCAGTTTGCTGGAACATCTTGATGCTTGCGATCGAGAAGCCGAGGTTGAACACAAAACCAGTGCCAGCGCCGAGAAGGATGCTGTATCCATAGACATATTGTGGGAGGGTGTCGCTGTTTACAGTGTACATTGCAACACTGCCGGCTGTCATGAGAATGCCGCCTACCATATATATCGCCCAGCTGATGGAATTACGAGTTAGCTATAAAGCCAGTAAACCCAGAGTAAAACAACTCACTAATAATTGATTTTAGGCAGTAAAGAACCAGATAACATTGTGCCCGAGGCTAGAAAAGCAATGAAGGGTAGCAGACGGATAGCAGCCTGCATTGTCGAATCCCCTCTGGCAAATGCAAAGTAGAGAGGAAGATAGAACAACGGGACATAGATGTTTGTAGCCGAAACAGCCGTCATGACATAGAGAACTAGCTGCGTGGGATTAAGCAGAACATGTTTTGGAGGGACCATTCGTTCCGATACTGTAGTGAAGAGTAGAAAGTATTGTTGGATACAAGTCAAGATGAACAAAATCCCCATCACAACAAAGAGGGTAATAGTGCGCTTATCGTTCCAGGGCCAAGTAGGACCTGCAAAAGTCAAGACCATGGTAAAAGATACCATAACTCCTGTGGCCAAGATAAAACCTGCCCAATCGAGGGAGACGAGCTTTGTCAATGTTGAACGCTGGTGATCACCGCCGGGCTTGACTTTGGGGAGCCAGAAGATGTACGCCGGAGCGCAAATCGCTGCGATAACACTATTTCAAAGAATCAGACAAGTCATTCTTCTAACATGGGTTACAACTCACAGGTTGATGTAGAAAGCCCATCTCCAAGTGGCTGACGAGGTGGCGAAAGCTCCTCCGACGACAGGGCCAAGGACAGCACCAATTCCCCAAGCTACGCCCATGCCGGAAATGTACCGTCCGCGCTCCGTATCAGTTGTAATTAGAGAGAAATAATTCAGGATTCTTTCCCAGATTTGTCAGTAATAGACAAGGGCGGACTCCACGGGAGAAGAGAGAACAATCTTACCCAAGAAAGATGCCATTGCCGCCCATGCCAGCAAACACTCGCCCAACAATAAGAACATCCATAGTAGGCGCTGCTCCACAAAGCGCTGATGCCGCCTCGAAGAGGATGATACTGCCAATGAACATGTACTTGAGATCAAAAATGGCATACAATGCAGCCCTGTGGATCATACCATATTAGAGGTCTTTTGGTTCGGAAAATCCGTGATGAAATGGTTGACTTACCCAGGTAGAATCGAACAAAATGAACCTAGAGGGAACCCAGTGCCAGCCCAAGTAAGGCTCTCAAATTCATCATACTGATATATCAGTGCGGGCTGAAGATCCGCAACAATAGTACTGTCGAGGCCATAGATGAGGGCACCAATATACAGAGAGGCGGCAGTGGCAGCCCATTTCCACCCATGGATAGTCCTCTCTCTCGTAGCACCGTCGGGCGGAACTTCATTCATGCCCTCTCCGGATAGATATGAAGAATCGGCAGGACTTTTCGACGTAGTATCGAGTTTTTCGTCAGAGTCATCAGGAGAAGTGGTCTGTAAGACTTTTGGCGGTACCAATGAAGGCTCCATGATGAAATGATACGGCTAATTGACGAAGATTAAGATCAGAGTTGTTTCAGTAAAAGACTGAGATGAACTGTTGTTGAGCAGTGAAATGATCGGGGATTCTCAACCCCTTTTCTTATGGAACTCCTTAACATGTTATGATTAAGATGTCCGCTTGATCAATTACTGTTGAGTGTTACTAAAGTACTATTTTGAAGCTGCGGAAGGTTTTGGCCGCATCGACTTTACTTTGCGGAACAGTTTGTTGCTGACAAATTTCTGGCGGCCAAATTGGCCGCATCAAACTTGCTCCTCCAATTTATCCACTCAAACACCCTTTTCAACTTCTGTTCCGTACGTCTGAGACTTAAATCACTTTGTCTTAGTAGCTTGCTCAAGTGATATTGTGTTTATCTTCAACTATGGACTTGTCCCCTGGATTATCCCCCGACAAGGCGTCACTCGGCGCCCTGCATCTTTGCGCCATTTGCCAGAAACCGTTTTTGAACGAGTCTTCTTACAACAGACATGTTTTGTATTGTCGTCGAGCCAGGTCCAAGCCGCGTGCGCGTCTGAAATCGTGCCAGGCTTGCATCAAGTCGAAGAGAAAATGTACCGGGCAGCTTCCATGCCAGCGATGCACAAACAAAGGGACAGAATGTCTCTATACAACATCAACGGCGGGGAATATGACCACAGAAAGAGCAGGTACATCCAGCGGAACGGGTGACGGGATGGCAGAGAGTATGAATGACAGGATTCAGTCGATAAACACTCAGGCCGTGAACAGCAAAGGCCAACTCTCCACTCCGAGCGGTGACGAGGATGCTATTAATTGGAATTATCTTAACTTTGAAGCCAGTGAGATACCTGTATTAGGTTCCTCCCTGGTAGACTCCTGTTTGTCCTACGCCGAGTACGAGTCTCCCGATTCCATGATGCTTAACGAGCTGCCTCCTCCTATCAGCAATACTGGGATCACCAATACGTGTCGCTCTACTCCGGCTCCCCTAAAAGGGCTTATGTTGTCTAAACGAGCGTCCTGTGACAGAGACGAGAGCGCGGTGACGGGGTCGCTACAGTCTTATTCTGAGCTTCTCGGTTGTATTTCAATGAGGGATCCCATCTCAAAGTTCACTGCCAACATAGTCATGCAAACGCTTTGTGCGTTTCCTCAAATGATGCTACGCCGAGAAACATTCCCTTCGTTCATCCACGGGCACTGGCATTGCACTGAATCTGACTCAGCCGCTCCTCTACCTAAGCCGCTGGTAAGTTGTATGGGGTTGGCTCAAGTATTTGCGTCACATAATGCCGATACTCGGCCCTTCCTATGGGAAAAGATCAGAGAGGAACAGCGGTCTTCAGCTGACAAGGTTTGATTACAATCATGGACTATGAATGAGATGAATGAACCTACTAATTCTTAATTCATAGGCATACCGAAGGCAATTTTCGAAGCATGATCATCTAGCAGCTATTCAGGCCCTTCTTATATATATCATGATGCGCGTTGTGGATTGTTCAAAGACGGATCTCGACCTCAACTTAGAATTATTGATAACATATCAGGTGAATATAACTTCCTAAATCATCTCTATACTTTATTAACAAATCACAGGGTCTCTGTGATAATTTTAAAGATGTATGTAAAGAGCCTTTTTACCAGCACGAGCGGGTCTGTCCTAGTTCCAGCTGGGAGGACTGGGTATTTGCTGAATCTAGAAGAAGGTACTATCTAAGTCCGAATCTGTCCTATTCTAATTTTAGTCTTCACTTATTGACCATCAAAATACAGGACAGCAATCATTTGGCTCCTGATGACACAAATGATTCACATCAAGATAGGTGTGCCATGTGATTCATTTCCAAGCTTTAGAGATGTCCCATTGTCCTCGCCAAAATCGCTCTGGGAGGCGAGGACGCGCTTGCAGTGGGAGAACGAGTACAAATTTTACAAAGATTCGCCAGTGGGAGGTCTGGACGTGTTTGGAGATCTTTATGATGCTTGTAAGCACAAGCATATTCGCGAAAACCAATTAAAGCTCAATTCTTGGAACTCCACTGTCGACAATCTAGGTAGTCTACTGAATCTTGGTGTTGAAATTATGTAGAGAATGAAAGCTGGCTGTGTCATCACCGGGTCGACACTTGACATAGACAGTAAACTACAAATTTGTTTCTTGAAGCATTGATAACTAACTCAAGCCAATGAAGAATTTTTCTCAAGCCTTACAAGACTGATGCTATGTTCGCCGAAACCTCCAGAATGCTAGTCAGCTTGCGAGAGGGATATATAGATTACTTCACAACTGAAGGACACCTTTTACACTTCTGACTTCCCGCCTTTGCTCTCACTGTGCTATGGTTTGGGGGACTCTATATCGCGTATCTATACTCCCTGTTGTTTTCCATTCCTTCCGCATGCGGAAGCTCACCAGAGTCAAGCTTGCGATTGATACGTATGTAGTACTGTCTCAAAGCCAAGGACAACACAATATAGCCGGCCTGGCATACCGCAGCAGTAATAAGCGCCGGGCGATAGACCGGCGCATCTTGGTTCCGAAAGATGAGCGAGGAAACGATTCCAGCCAGGTTCTGGGACATGTAGCTCATCCCCAGCGCCACGGCTCGCCCAGTCGTAGTCGGAATGTTGGAAGAAAGCCACACAGGAGTAAGAAGACCGGGAGTAAATACCCCAAAAGTCAAGAGGAATGTCAGGAAGTATCCCACTTCCACCAGGTTGACCAGGTCCAGGGTGCCGAGGAGCACAAAGCCAATTAGGGACACGACAAGAGTGCCACTGGCATAGAGGGCTCTTTGGGCGTACCGATCCGAGAGGAAGCTAGAAGATAGCAATACTACTGCTGAAGATAGATTGGGGCCGATGGTGTACAGGTTGGCCTTGGCCGTATCCTGTGTAAGCCTTTTGATAATGACAGGCAGGAAGTTGGACGAGCTAGAGAAACCGACGCCATGAAGGAAAGCGAGAGCTGCGAATACCCATGAAGGGCCATGGAGGAGCTGCTTCTTCACATCAACAGCTCTGAGCTTCTTGTCCTCGTCTTGTGAGTCTTGTTGCAATCGATACACGGCAAGTGCTTTCTCCTCTTCGGAAAACCAGCGACATTTTTCTGGGCTTCTCGGTAAGATGAAAAGAAGAACCAACGCGATTCCAATGGTTATAGACCCCTCAATGATGAACAAGTATTGCCAGCCCTAGACGTTTGGTGCTCTTTAGTTGGAGCCTTTAATAATCAATAAAGCAGCGGTACTAACCTTGAGTGCTTTGTGCCACTGAAATACACCCCAGGATATCAATCCGCTGGTAGCTGACTGTTATATTAAGTTAAAGACGAAAGACTTTGACTGATGGGAAGGCCTGGTACGCACAGCAATGACACCCATTTGATAGAAAATGGCCGTTCGAAATCCAAGTTCCCGTCTTGTATAAAATAAGGAGCAGTAATACACAGCGCAGGGAAGAAAGGCAGCTTCAAAAACGCCCATGAGAGTTCTGCAAGCTACGAAGTCGCCAAAATTTCTTTCAGAGGTTAGTATTTTGCGTTGTTCGTTACAGGAGCGGCGACATACCTCGAAGCTACACTGGCAAGCGTACATGTACCCCATCCGGCTATGAGAATGGGCATGACAACAGCCGGATTGTATCTCTTCGCTGTGATTGTCCATGGGATATTCATCAATGAATACGTAATGTAGAATGCCACGAGTAGTAGATTGTACTGGTTTCCCACCATGCCAAGGTCGGCTTCAATGCCTGCCGTCTTCGCATTTCCTAGATTCGCACGATCGAGTGTATGTGTATAATATGCCAGAGCTATTTGATCGAGGTCAGTCCTACATCTAAAGTATTGAACGCTCTCGTGGGGATTTCACTTACACAGGATTGGCATTAAAATCAGATCAGTCTTCCGAACAGGGCGGCGCACAGATGCCGAATCCAGCCTCGTTGTTTCATCTCGAGAGTCAACATCTGTTGACTCAATGCCATTGGGGCTCTTTTCTGACACAAATTCTGACATTTTGCGGTTGTGGTCAGCGTTCTCAGGCTGAGGGGCGTGGGAGTGAGAAAGTCAAGAGCCAATGCATGAGTGACAGGTACCGAGCAATCGGGATTTTTTTCTCCTCGAACCCTAGTTATACCTCTCAAACCGTTGAATCATTGCTCGACATAATAATACTCATACCCACTCTCAACCTGACTCGTGAAAGCCTATCATAATCCTCCGTTTCGGACTCGGCTAGACTGAAAGCACTAACTCTCGCCAATCCAAGCTTTTCATAAGGCAAGAACGGGCAAGGTCTCTCAATAGTGGCTTGGCTTTATTAGAAATCAGCCTGAGAATCATTGGCGAGCAATAAATTCCTCATACATCGGAGATTCAAGGGTAGCCCAGGGAGGAGGAGAGACGTATCGTGCTTCAACTTAAAATGATGCCATATACCCGGCTGATATTGGGAATTAATCGGAAATAAAAACCCAGCGCCACGTTGTCGGGACTGTGGAGAATTTTGAGCTGCTCTCCGGGGTAATATCAATTGCACAATTCAAGTGTCCGATCACCTAAACTCAATATCTAGACCAAATGAACTTCTTATTGGTTATAGGACCATCCTTGGCAGGCTTCGAACCCATAGTAGGATGCAGGCTATTGTCATGAGTCAGTTTGTGGCTTTTCTCATGGTTCCGGCCTTCTCGTGCTATTGTATAGATATATTGAAGCCCAGGGATGGTCTCTTCAATGCGCTTGTTCTAGGCCCCCTTCTTCCTTGCCTCGACCAATTTTCTTCAGCAAATGAAAGCTTGACCGCCCTAACACATTGTCAAAATGGGACTGACGTTTCCAACCCCGAGGGCGCCGATTTCGGAGTCTTCCGGCCTCCTGGCTAAGGCACTCCCCTCCGGAACTCCGTTCCAGTATATCCTGACTCTACTCATCGTGTCTTTTACCATATACCTGGTCGTAGGTGAAGTAGCACGGTATCGATCCCGTATTCCCAACCTACCAGGGCCCCGAGGTCTTCCGGTAGTTGGCAGTCTACCTTGGCTCAGAGGCAAAGTTCATGCCGAGCAGTACCGTCTATGGTCACTCAAGTATGGAGACGTCTTCCAGATTCAGCTGGGGGAGCGAACCGCTGTGATAGTGAACAGTGCTGCAGCTGCTCGCTCCTTATTCCTTGGACAACGAGAAGCGATGAATTCTCGTCCCTTATTCTACGTTCTCCATGGGAAGGTTCAAGGGGGATCAGCAGTCACAAGTATCGGGACGAGTCCATGGAGCGACAGTTGCAAGAAGCGTCGCAAGGTAGGAGCTACAGCCATGAATAAAGTAGCAGTTGACTCCTATCAGCCGGTACGTTTAGAAAAGCCTCGCATTTATTACTCCACGAGCCTTGTCTAATGAGCCAAACCAGACGATCAACGCTGAATCAAGAGGTTTCATCTCAGATCTTCTAGCCGCCTCGCTATCAAACGAAGATCATATTGTCGACTTTCGTGACTCGGTTCGCAAGTACGCAATGAATTTAGTGTTGACCCTCAACTACGGAACTAGGTAAGAATTAGATAATAGCATGATCTTCTTGTGGCATGTGTTGGCTGACTGTTCTATTGATAGAGTCGAAAACATCAAACAACTACGCGGAGACACGATTTTTGCCGAAATGGTCCTCGTCGAGACCGAAATCTCTCGACTCCGCAACGTCTCTCAAAACTACGAGAACTACATTCCTCTATTGCGACCTATTGGGAAGATTCTATCCTGGGTTGGAGTCCGTGACGACAAGTACATGGCAGAGATCGGTAAACGCAGAGTTGGATACCACAAGGCTCTTTTGGAAAACCTGAGGTCCGAAGTTGCGGCAGGCACAGACAAGCCCTGCATCCAAGGCAACGTACTCAAAGATCCTGAGAGCAAGGGCTTGTCTGAGGGCGAACTGCTCAGTGTCAGCTTGAGTATGATGGCGGGAGCTGATACCAGTCAACCCACAGTCGGATGGGCTCTGCTACTTCTTTCGCAGAGACAGGATCTGCAACAGAAGGCTTATGATGCGATTGTTGAAACTGACGCCAGCATCCTCAGCGCCGCAGACGTATCAACGTTCAAAGTTGGGTATGTCGATGCATTTACCAAGGAAGTCGGTCGTTATTATACAGCCCTAAAACTTGGTCTCCCAAGAGCTACTCATGATGAGTTGGAGGCAAACTGGAACGGAGCCACCATCCCATCAAAAACCCTGGTGTTTCTCAATGCCTGGGCTTGCTCGCAAGGTAAGAAAGGAAAACTTGCCAATGGGGTCACAAGTATTTATATTAACATGGCACAGATCCTATTCTATTCCCAGAACCGCTTGTATTCAGTCCCGAGCGATGGATCAATGCTGGCACAACGGCCACCACCCACCTTCACCAATACGCATTTGGCATAGGGGGTCGCATGTGCATTGCGAACCACCTCGCTCACAAGGCCTTGTACACAGCATTTTTACATTTGATTTCTCATTTCAGAGTTCTACCTGCTGTAAATAACGTCAATGACCCCACTACGATCGATCCCTTAGAGGGGCTTTTAGACAAGGAGTCTTTTGTCGCCACTCCCAAAACTCAGTTCGTTCGGCTAGTCCCACGAGACGTTGCCAGAACCAAAAGTATTTTGCTTTCAGACCGGGCGTAATGCATACGTGCCTGCTTGGCAGTGATGGAACCAGTTGAGCACCATGAATTTCAGTCTCATGACGGCAGCATAGTCGAGTTGATCAGAATTAAAGACAAGATGTATATACAACTTCCACTAACAATATAATTCTTACTCGTCATGTTAATGATATTTCAACTACCTGCTTGCAGACCGTCATGACATGGCTTATATTCATCTTTGATCTCGGTTTACGAGTCCCAGCCATCTTTTTCTTAGGTTTTTCTTTTGCTATCAGCAAGGGATATATCCCAAGACCAGACCGAACGTAATTTGTTACACAATTTTTTAACCAAACCATAGTCCACACCCAGACCTTCAACTCTATTTTACGTGAGTGAAAGATAATAAAGTTCAACACCAATGGAAGCTGCCAGAGCTCGACAACGCAACACAATGCAGCTCTATTGAAACCTTAACAATCACACATAAAACCTACCTAGGCATAGGCACCAGGGCTCCAAAACCCCTAACAATGGCTGGCCAGTATATAAATTGGCCATGGTCCCCAAATGAGGATGCTCATTATCCATCACCATTCACAACCACCTCTCCAAGCTACCAACTCTCCAAGCTACCAACTCTCCAAGCTACCAACTCTCAAAGCTATTACCTCTCCAAGCTACTACCTCTCCTCGTCATCGCGAACCAGCAAGACACTCCGTTCAATCAGTCAAAATGAAGTTCTCCCTCGTAGCCATTCTCTTCGCCGCGGTCGCCGCCGTGAACGCCAAGAGCCGCCCCGACATCCCCAAATGTGTCCGTCCCTGTCTCGAGGAATATGTCAAGAAGTCCAAGATCCACTGCCCGTACGATGACATTGCCTGCATCTGCAAGCACGCGCTCGAGGACGAGGCATTCTACGAGGCCGGCCTTACTTGTATCTTCGAGAAGTGTGGTACCGATGATGCCCTCAGTGCGTTTCCTCCCCTTCCACTGATCCTCTCCCTTGAAGAATGCGAAGAAAACTAACAGCTCTCCCTTTGAACAGACAAGGCCCTGCCCGCTTTGCAAGGGATCTGTGCCCCAAAAGAGTCAACGGTATGAAGGTTTACAGGCTTTTCTTCCGTATGACCGTAGCCTTGGGCTAGCGAAGCTTTTGTCTCTTCGTATCTTGTTTTCATGGGTTGTCGGTTCTAGCATCTTCCATTGCTATTTAACTTTAAACTCAAAGTCTCTTCCTGATGCCTCGGTGGATTGGCGGCCCTCGAAGCTAAATATTAGTACAAGGTTATTTCGTATTGTTTTACACGGGCGCGGGCGGAAAGTCTGTCGTGTTAGAAAGTTTGTTCGGTCGGAATGTCTGTTTGCTCTCACTCTGAGATACAAAGTTTGGTCTTGAACAGGCAGTTGGCAGAATTTTGGCATTCACAAATTTACAACTATTATATCGTTCCCGGACGCCATCGAGTCAATCAATGTTCAGTTAAATTTTCCAACCAGAGTCTTAGCTATAATTAAAGCCAAGGGTTACGTTCTGTGCATATTCCTAGCACTCTTAGATTTGTAGTATAGTCTTTACATCTTCTAGATTCTTCTTAATATCAAGCCTCGGACTCCTTCTTGTTGTCGTGGGTGGTAGAGTCGGGTCTTGCCTGCTGTACAAATACCTTGTACCACCGGCCACACAGCAGGTCTGCGGTCGTCTCTTTGACCCCCTCCCAGTTCTCCATGACTAGTTCCCTCGTAGGCCTTGAGAAGACATCCTCAATCTCTTCCAAAGTCTTGTTCTTGGTCTCGGGCATGAAAAAGATCTGATAGACCTCGCCCAGCACGGCAATGCCTCCGTAGAAGCCCAGAGCCAAGCCGGTCTTGGTCATGGCAAGCTGCATGGCCGAGAAGTTGTAGGTGACCACGAACGAGGCCAAGAAAAGGAGAGCGTCGGAGGTCGTGATTCCGTAACTGCGCAGATAGGTGGGATACACTTCGGCGGGGATGACCCAAGTAAGACAGGCGTAGGATCCGAAGAAGCCCATGTAAATGACCAGGCCGGTTAGGTACAAGCCTTCCGCTGCTGGCAGATTGACTTTGGGGTCGAATTGATAGCTGATGCCGATGAGAACAAGCCCAACGAAGAATCCTGGCAACATTGTGATGGCCCAGAATCGTCGGCCGAATCTCTCCATCAAAAAGATAGCGGGAATTGTGCCAAGCAGCAGCGAACCGCCGCCGACAAGAGACATGTAGTTGGCCTTCTCCTCGTCAAAGCCGATCTGGTTCATCAGGACAGACATGTAGTACATGATGGCGTTAACACCTGTCAGCTGACCGAGAAGAATCATGATATTGGCATAGACAATGGCTCGGCGGGCGCGAGGGACTCTGAATGGGAATTAGCATATTTTCATGACTGATGGTATAAAAAGGCTTACGTGAAGAAATCCATCCAAGGGAACCGGCGATTTTTGGCGCCTTCCTGGACCTGGGTCTCTTCTTGGTTGTTCGAGACAGCCATCATGTAGAATTCTTCGCGAGCCTCGGGAAGGGAAAGGTCTCGAATTCGCTTCCAAACTTTAAAGGCCTCCAATCTCTTCTTCTTGTGCATGAGAAATCGGGGACTCTCAGGAAGGAAGAGCATACTGGAAACAGAAGGTCAGATGGTGTTCAGTATACCAAGGGGGCATGAGGCGGCTTACCCGAAGAACATGATGGTAGAAAAGACAAGAGATGATCCAAGAATGTACCTCCAATTGCCTGGCACACGAAGAAACATGGCTGCTACAGCATATCCAAGGACTTCTCCAAGAGCGATATTGAACTGGTACAAGGAGACCAAATTGCCTCGGATCTTGTGCTCAACAGTCTCGGCCACGTAAACGGGCACAGTACCTCCCTCAAGACCTACTCCAAGACCAAGGATGACACGAGCAGAGACAATCATACCTATCATAAATTAGTCACGAGCATTCGGACGGGTGCCATCAATGCATACCAAAGTTGATAGATCCAGCTTCCAATGCAGCGCCAATGGTATATAGGATGATGGAGATGATGATAGCCCACTTTCTGCCAAAGTATTCGTTGGTAGGTGACAGCAAAAGCGCACCACCAACAGCGCCCAAAGGCATGCCAGAGTTGACCAAACTATTCTGGCGCGTTGATAAACCCAGGTCGTTTGGTAAGTACAGGTTCGCGCCGCTGATCAAACTCTGGTCCAGGCCAGAGAGTAACCCTCCCATGGACGCAAACGCCACAAGCAGCCAGGTGAAGTATTTCGGGTTGTCGAAGTTCAGTTGGAAGAAGCCAGTCTTCAAGCCACCGGCAGCCTCAAGCTCGGCCTCCATCTCGTTGATGAAGTCATCGACCTGAGCTCCGCCGGCTCGAGCAACCTCGAGGGCCTCGACCTCGAGCTTCTTGTGAGTCCTGGTTGAGACCGAATTGTGACGTGAATTGGGAGACATGGTGGGCAAGTTAACGCAACTAGCTATCGAAACAATATGACTTTGATTTGTCTCCCCATGGTACGGTGCAACTCTACATCCCGGGGCATGGAGATGCCCCAGCCTACTTATAATAATCCCCTCATATCTCTCGGGTAGGGGGACTTGGAGCTTCTAGAAGCAGGCTGAAACCAGAGCGCGATTTTGAAAGTGTTCATGCGTCAAGGTTGATGTTGCCTGTGTCGGGAGATTTACAACGATCACATAGGATATCACCGAGAATCTCGCCGAGCCAGTGGTTCCCGAAGCAGTCGCGGCTCCATCCGGTCAAGTCCCCTCCACCGGACCCGGGAGCCGGAGAGCCTTGCAGAATAAGCCTCTCTTGATCAAGCATTTCAGCCAACTGCTTGATGAAACTCCCTGGAGTTGTAGAGGGGTCATTGTGTTGCTTTATTGGCTGCTTGGGTAGAGGCTAGGATAGATCAAGGTATATGCCAGGCGTCGTCAATTCCACCAGACGTTATGGCTCGTGGTATATCCTGACTTGACAGCTATCAAACCAGAACCAACCCTCCGAGGCGCATCAGTCACAATAACACCATCAGATTCTTCCGGCTCGTCTCATGCCCGCAAGAGTTTTACATTCGGTGATATTCCATCACTGGGTCTCGCTAGCATCGGTTTTGCCCCAGTGTTAAGCTGCGCTACGACATCAAGATGCCGTTCGAGCCGTGGACCCATCAATGACCGCCCTCAGTGACCATCAATGCTGTCACCAAAGGCATTGAAAGGAGACACACCCTTGTTCATCAAATGCCGACTTTTAGTCTTCTAGAATTTCAATCTAGTCGTGTCAAGCATGAGTCGGTTAAGTGCCAGGAGCACAGTGGATCAACCTTGCCGGTGGGAGATTTATCTCAGATCACTAGTCAAATACCAGAACAATGATAAGATATAAATATTTCAGCACATTTGTGGACAATAAACATCAAGTTAGCTTGTTGATACCCGTTATGTGGCCTCATATGGTTCCCGAAGGTTGACTCAAGATGAACAACTTAAGACTCTTCAAAGCCGCATAGGACATGATTATTGACAAGACATTTCTATCTCGAGATTACATACTCATTGCATGAGTGATCTAAGCAGCTTGGCAGCCCATATTTGATGATTAGAGTGGATCATGATTGATATGCGAATGCTTCGACAAAAACGTGGTTCTCCTCCGCGGGTAGGGAGGGATATGATGACCTCTCATGCTCCACTAACGGGGCCAAAAGCCCGAAGAATCGCTAGACAACCTTCCGTAATGACATCACCATGCATGTCGGAGAGTCATTAACGCTCCGATGGAAGAGCTAGAGGTTGTTTTGTGTGGATATGCCCGACAACATGTCACTAAGGTTGTAGAAATCTATGCCGAGTTGGGTTCCTGTTGGCTGTGAGACGAACCAAACCACAGCCCTACATAACGCTCAAACCGCAGCCAAGTGTTTTCTAGGCCTATCACCAGCCCTTAATCTTTTCAGGGCGCCCTCAGCAGGCGTAATCTTCTGTGCGTTGTAGCTAGGGAGGAGCACTAGTGATAGGAATAGCTTGAACAAGGACTTTTCGTGTGATCACTTTTCTCATTTACACTTGCTAACTTTTGCATTACCCCGAGCTGTCTGGAATCTCAGAGATCTCGTGCCGATTTTAATGACTATTCAACAGCTTCATCAGGTGTGTCAATGAGACACACAATGTTTTCAGCCAATGCTTTAACAGCAACATCGGGGGTTCCGTCTTGGATTCTCCTATTGCTGACAAGAAAAGGCTTCGGAAATCCGGATGGGACATCTTCTCCAAGAGCCATCAAGGCAGCTGCCTCTCCACATAGCCAACACTTATCCATGCCGTGTCCGCTGAATCCCGCAGCTATAAACTCTCCGTTGCCATCTCGGCCAGTCATTTCCTTGGATAAATGTCCCACGAATGGAAATAAATCCGCTGTGAATCCCATAATGCCTGACCACATGTTTTTGACACTTGTTGGCTCAGCATTGTGGAAAATCTTCGAAGTGATGGCGCTTAGGTGAGCTCGTGCGGAAGGGGATATCTTTGAATCATCATCGTTCAACATTTCTTTGATCGGCTGATGCTCGCCTCCAATAAATAGATTCCGACTCTTGGGGGTTTGCTGAGCATACCAAAGGTTCACGAAAAGTTCATCTGAATTCTTGTCATAGCTCCCCAAACCAGTGCTGGTCCAGGAATATTCCGCTCCGGACTCGGGAAAAGACGGTCCAAGTTGTTGTTCCGACATAGTGCCTCGGAGGGGATAGAGCTTCCCGACGAGATTCGGCAATAGGTTGGCAGCGTATCCATTGGTACAGTGTATGACCTTGGAAGCTCGAATAGTGCCCCGGGGGGTGGTTAATTGATACACGTCTTTCCCCTGCCAAGTCTCTGGCTCCACTGAAAGTACGGGAGTTTCAGTTTCGAGCGTGATGGAATTGGGATGCTTGTCCAAGATCTGCCTCCAGACTGCAGTCACCAGTCTGTAAGCACTTAGTGCTGCAGCGCCGTGTTGTTTCATAAAACCCACTCCGTTAGCATATGAATAGTCATTCTAGAAGATTAGTCTGTTAGCAAGGCAATTACAAGTGGAAGTCTGAGATCTTATACCTTTGCAATGTCCTTGTCTGCTGAAACTTCAACCTGGATCGCGAAATCGGGTCCCATCGCCTCAGTGAATATTTCTGCAGCACGTTTGCTCCCTTCCCAAGACTGCGTATCGGAGAGCGATGCTGTAGCCACCAGGTCACGAAACTCAACAGCTTCCTGGTCAGCATCACTTAGACCAGAGACCACCTTTCTTAGGGTGGATATATTCTTTGCCGAGAACCGCGCAATATCAACGGCATCTGCCAACCCGAATTCGTCCACCAGTTCAGGAAACAGCCCCCAGGTGTCTGAGATGAGGTGACCTCCATTGCGGCCTGTTGCGCCACTAACTGCCGTACGGGCTTCGAGAACCGCAACACGCATCGCAGATCCAGCCTCATGGCTGACGATGGCATGGGCTGCACTGCATCCAGTGATGCCTGAGCCAATGATGGCAACGTCCACCTCCTTAGGAAGAACTGCAGACCGAACATTGGACACAGAATCAGGTGGGCTCTGCCAGGATGAGATCGTGGGATTGGCCTTTGGGAGACCTGGAGGGCGAACAATCGCCTCCTTCACACACTCATATACGTCTCCCATCTCGTCAGCTGGGGATCGGTACGACTAATCTCAAGGGGACGCCCGTTGCGGGGATCTTACCAGGTGCAGCCATTTCTTGTGGCCCGGGAACTGAGGTTCGTGATCGAGAAAGAGGATCGATCAATTTGCTATGAGGATAAGTACTGAACTACACCGACAGCACGCGTTTTCTCAACGTTCAGCAGCAGTCGTCAATGCATTCACCGCCCAGTCCGACGGATTCCGTGAGATCCCGAGGTGCATGCATGAGGAGAGTTTTGCAGGGAGGGGTTTGCTGTCCCATCATTCGCATGTGGCCAGCGGGGTAATTCCCCATCCCGCCAATTTTCCTGTATCAGGGTGGAAATGTCAACACAAGTCACATGCAATATGGTGGCGGGAAATTACTTCTTCGGCGATTATCGCAATAGTTCTATGGTTGTTGGGTGAAACATGTCTTGCATCCTCACGCTATTGATATACGGATGAGAGTTCAAGAGCAAGGTTAAAACAACCATGAAACATGCCGTACCCGACATTTCAGTATAAAAAAAGAAAGCTTTGCTAGCCCAAGGCTACAGTCATATGGGAGGAAAACTATAAACCTTCATGCCTACGACTCACTCGCTATCGGGACGAGCCGCTTGTCGGATGGCAATTTGACTTACTCTCTTTCACCTGGCCTCACACTCGCCAGGAAAGGAGGTGGAAGAATAAGGGCTTAATAGGAGATATCTTTGAAAGTATACTTCCTAATCTTTAAACACACAATGAAAGAAACAATAAGAGCAATGTATTACGAGTCCAATACAGTCAGTATTCCCCAATGTCGACCGATATTTAGTTGTAGGATATCTTTTAACCGCGTCATAATTAGCTCCTTCCAGTCAGAAGTGTCCAATTTGGCATGAGCTTCGAGAGGCTTTAAACCCTTCATTGTCAATTTGTTATCATATCCTTCAAGCACCAAGAATAATCCCCGGAGCACTCCACTCAGGCGTCCTACCTGGCTAAAAGTTGGAAGGATGACAAGAAGCGCCGAGCCACCAATCCCACTCCTAGATGCGTCGAATTTCCTTGTGACACGAAGTGCATTCTTTAATGCTGGTGTTTGGTGAAAGAAAAGGTATGAGATCAGCAGAGAAGTCAGCACTTGTTCTGAGGATGTTGCTAAAACCGTCCCGCTCTAAAAGTGCATCTAGATGCAAGAGGGAGGTTTCTACTACCAAATCCCGAAGTCCTCTGTCCTCGGAAGGTGTAGATTCATACACAACATTGATAGCAAGTGGAAACTCATCCATGTTCCAGCCAGTGGTGATCGCTGTGCAGAACCTATCCTTGGAATATTCTTTCAGCGTCGGTATGTCGTACTTGTCTGCAATCTGGTAGACCTGGGCGTCATAGACCATTGATGAAACACCACGGATATTGTTGTAATTAAATGAATACATATACCGTAACATCGATTCAACAATACCCGGGTCAAAGTCCTGGATCTCTATTTTCTTCTCGAGGCTTTCCTTTGAATAGTCAGCAAATGGTATCCGTGTAATCTGGCCATGCCATACCTTCCAATTACCATTAAGCTGCTTCTCGAAATACTTGGAGTGGCATGCCAGCACTAATCTGTGTACCTTGAACTCTTGGTCTTCACACACAACGATAACGTCGGAAAAAGTGTCGGTGTTGAAGTAGTCACTAATCATGTTAGGCCAAAGCAAATCAACCCTATATCAGGTAAATTCCATACTCATTCAAGGACGACAAGAATCTCTCAAATCCCTTTGGAGCCATTTTGAAGCAGAAATCTGATGCCTTAGAGGCAATAGGTGGAGGGTTTGGCGCTGGACTAGAAACGTCTGGGAGAAAAAAGTCTGACACCGGGCCAGTAGTTGGTTGTTCCGGGGGGACTTGTTGCGAGGACACAAAACGTCTCCTATGCCTTGAAGCCATCTCCGTCTTCTCTTTGTCCGTTTGCTGAGAGGAATCAGGTTAGTCGTTCATAGATAGAAGACTAAGTATTTATATGAGAAGCATTGTCTTTTCTTCCATGTGATTGGTTTGCTCGTGGAAGGCCTCCCGCAGAAACGAAACTGTAATTGACGTCAATGATGGGGGGGTCCAATGAGACCGCGACGGCTTTAGCCACGGCGTATTTAACGGAAGCAAAAGGCTTTTAGCACTAGATCATTTGTCCGATCATCATTATGGGGACCTCGATGGCTAAGAATAAGCGCTGATCAAAACGCCACAAGAAGCTCGGTAGGACCGTGAATTTGACATGGCGATGCGCGTTGGTAGTGCAACAGAAGCATGATGAAGAAGTGATCGAAAGTGGCCAGAACAAAATTCAGAAAAGCCAGCAAACCTCATCGCCGTGTTGCTCACTCATCATCTTTAGGGTAGCTAGTAGGCGTAGTCGGTCATATCTAGAAAGGGCAAAATGAAGAGACATGGCTCGGTCCCGCCCGAATTAGAAAACTCCGGTCGAAGAGGTGCCTGATGACGGATCTCTAGGGCACACGTGTTTTTCGTTGTTGATAAGCGAAATCTGCCTAGTCAATCTTCTGCCCTATGCCGGCTTCCCTCCCCCTATTCCCTCTTGGCTGATAATGGGAATCCGACGGACACGGACACGGACGTCAGCGCCGAAAGAATTGGTGTCGTTTTATGGAGGCTGTGATGGAGAGCCCTGCAGGGCTGTTGGTGCGCCGATTATGCTCACCGCAGTCCATCATCCACACACTCTAGCCGCCAATGATGCCGGCATGCTTCGTCGTAGACTCATAGAAGGGACGAATCTCATCCTAACGCATGGCCGCGTGGGGACTGCCTGCTAAGCCTCCAAGATGGTGACGTTTACGCTTACTGTGGCTGCATTAGACCCTCGACAGCTCATCTCCAAAGGGGGGCACAGGGGCCCAAACGATCTAAACGACGCTCCTTCGCACTCGGATCGTTGCAGACTAATGAAAGGCTTGCTGACACAGCAGCTTCCATCGCCCTTGATTGGCTAGCTCGCTATTTAAGCCTTCGGTCGGACAGATTCGACACCGGTTGTCGTAACCGACTCACAGCCCAGCCCCGTCCGAGTCCGAGATTCGATGTTATTGAATGTTCAGAGAAAAGAAAAGTGATTGCAGTGCACGTATAGATTATCTCGTGTCGAGAGTAGAAGTATATGAACCTGAATAGTTCCCCCTTTCCACCAGTGTTTAGATCCCAACTCCTCACCAGCTTATCTCATCTAACACCATTGAATACGCCTTAATCCAATTCAATAAGCACTTGATGCTCCTTTGTACCACTACGAATAAAAATCTTTGCCTCTAACCTCCTTCCACAAAGTAAACCTCAAAAATGTCTCGCCAACTCCCTCCAGGAACCATCATCTTCGGCCCTGACGCCACCTGCACACTCGACACTTGTCCCGTCGATTGGAGTATCTACTCCTACAGACCATCTCTTGCTGGAAACGCCACTCTTCTTGCCCTTTTTGGTGTTGTCGGCATCATCCACACATACCTGGGCATCCGATGGAAGAGCTGGGGTTTCATGGTCGGCATGCAGCTTGGCTGCATCAGCGAGATCATCGGCTATATCGGGCGCATTATGCTCTACAATAACCCTTGGTCCTTTGTTGGTTTCATGATTCAAATTGGTAAGTATTCCTTCTTATTGCACTCTTTTCTGGATTTGGTTGCCTAACTTTCCCAGTGTGTCTCACCATCGCCCCCGTCTTCTTCACGGCCTCGATCTACGTTACCCTTTCGAAAACCATCATTCACCTCGCCCCGGAACTTTCCCGCTTTAAGCCTCAGCTTTTCTACTGGATCTTCATCCCCGCCGATGTCGTTTGCCTCGCCCTCCAGGCTGCCGGTGGAGCCATGTCCACAAACTCCGACGGAGGCGACAACACCGGCGTCAATATCTCCATGGCCGGTCTGGCTCTCCAGGTCGTCGTCTTAGTTCTCTTCATTGCTGCCTTTAGCGATTACATGATCCGCTACTGGCGCTCCGGTCGCATGTCCGGCTTTCCCTGGCGCCTCAAGGCCTTCTTCGCCGGCCTCACCGTCTCGATCCTGCTCATCCTCGCCCGATGCTGCTACCGTGTCGCCGAGCTTCGCGAAGGCTACTCCGGAGATATCATCAAGCACGAGATTCCGTTCATCGTCCTTGAGGGCGCCTTCATTGTCGTCGCTTCCTTTGCGCTGTGCTGGGGTCACCCTGGTCTTGCTCTCCGTGATAGCCACAGGGACTCGGGCAAGGCTTCTGACAGCGAGCAGGGTACTATTGAGAAGTAAATCGGGCAGTCTTAGACAATGGCGGAATTCGAACAGCAACAAGTATAAGGGTAAATGTAATCAGGGCGTTTGAATTTGCGAAGTGATATCATAGATCAACAATGGAGCCATTTTTAGATGGTAGGGGACACGGCAAGTGAAGCTTGCTATGAGAGGCCCCATCCTTGGATTTTTATCTCGTTTGTTTAGCAGATATGATGATGAATTGAACTCTTTTTTAAAAATTTACCCCAGAATGAATGACCAGTGTTGGCTTACGGCCCCTGTGATATCACGCGTCTTGCCAAAACAAACGCTGCAATGTCCCAAATTCCAAATTGTGCCATATCAACAAGCTACACAAGCTCTTTTCTTTCGACGCTCGCTTCCCAATACGCATTCCCGATGTTCGGCGAAATAGCAACGGTCATTCAATGAGAAGAGATGTCTAAATCTCGCAAAACGGCCCGGCTCCCCTTTTCGTTTGGCTGCTTCAAATCCCCCCAATTAGCCCGCGGCCGAAGAATGTGTGGCGCCATTGACCAGATTACTTGTGGCGCATGATAAAAGAGGTTACAGATTTTTGCTTCCAGAAACATTCCCGTTGGAAAATCTTACTCCTGTTTATCAATAACGCGATGAATGAGGGTTGCCATCCGATAAAAAAGCGCCAGGGACGAATCATTCCCCCTGGACTCTCTGAGCAGAGATATGGCACCAGTCTCCTGGTTGCCGGTCACACTTACGGAAAAGGTCAAACAATCAAACAAGAGTAATCATCTTTGTCGATGGGACCAATTTGAACTGTTCTTGACCCAGCCACCCCATTTCTTGTGCGCAACAGTGAGAGGCTGGATGGACGGCACTCGAAATGTGACGAGTGAAGTTGGGGCCTACACGATTCTATGGTCTCCAATTCACATCCCATCTGACATCAGAATTCTCTTCTGGAATGCCCTGCTATTGGTATTTCGCAGCCTAGAAAGGGGCAGTCACCAAATTGAATGGAAGGATACTTTCTAGAAGTACTCTAGCTTCATATCTCGGTTAAACTTTAGAAGCTCCTCAAGATGGCACAATCCAGTGCCATGTCTTTGTCCGTGCTATCTTCCATCATTGGCTTAACCAGCCTACAGTCTTGACCCACCTACAGGATATCTCGGTCTATAAAAGGGGGCTGGCTGATTCCCAGCAGAAAGTCAAGCAGTTGAAACACTCACACGCAAAAAACATTCAAGTCTTCTTAGTTTAAATACATTATTGAAGTCCATTCTTCACAGCAACAATGGCCAACGTTGCCCACAACCAAATCTCACATGCCGTCAAATACGGTGCAGGTCACTTCCACCCTGACCCAGCCGTTGCCGATTTAGAGCACCAGATGGCTGCCCTCACCCAAAGAATCGAGCTTCAGGAGAAGCAGGCCGCAAACCTACAACACTTTGTCATCGACGAGGGCATCTGGCACACCAACGATGTGCGGTCCTGGCAGCAGCCCCAGGAGATGACCTCGGGCCGCGTCAACTTCTCCCAGAAGTTCAAATAGGCGCTCAAGGTGTCTGTTAGCTTGCGCTCTGTGGATGCCAACAAGGATTACAATATTAGGGTCAAGGTTTACACGTCCAGGATCGACAAGACTGGTTTTACCGTTCACGCTGACTCGTGGAGTAACACCCAGCTGTATCCCGCCGGCGTATCCTGGGTTGTTATTGGGCAGTGATGTCGGTGGAGAGGAAGATATCCGTTGTTTCTCAAATAGTTATCTTGGTTTCAAAAAGAATATGAAGGATTAAAGGCTCTACTCTGTCCTGGAAGGGGGAAGGAGCGAAGTAGCGTGATATGCCTCCGAAATTCCAATTGTTCATGAATAGAATTCAACAATGATCTATAACAGACGACTCTTAGTAGCATAATGGGTATGCTTCATTGAGGGGTAGTTACAGTTGGAATACTGTGAAGCAGCCTGCCACAGGAATGAATGTGATTATCGGGTTCTATTCCAATCTCAAATTATTTGCTTCTACTTGCTGACAGACATAAAAGTGGAAATGCCGTAACCTCCTCCTAACAGACTTTTGAAAGCTCTGAATCGGTGTGAACAAACTACTTGCTAGATCCCCCAAAACCGTTAAATAGCAAAGCGGAACCTAGGGCTACGCTCGCCCATCGCCTCAATCTCCTCCTCCGTCTTACCCTCCATTAGGTGATCCTGCTTACCTGCATCACGCAGCTTGTTCTGGCGGTTGAAGTGCCAAGTGAGGATGATATTGAGCAAAAGAGAGAAGAAGAGCATGCCCATACTGGCGGCATATCCGGGCCGGTAGTGCGGGCTGTACTTGCTCGCAAAGAGGAAGGGCGAGGCGACTCCAGACGAGTTGCCGATGGTCAGATGCATGCCGGTAGAGAAGGCACGCTTCCCGTAGCGAGGGTTGTTGGTGGGCACCCAGGCGAAGGAAATGCCCGCTGCGGCGAAGATGCCGACTGAAACGAAGAAAGTCCCTGCGTACGACACGCCGTTGCCGGCATTGGCCAGGAGCATGGCGTATCCGATCATGGAGGAGACGATACCTGCCATGATAAAGAAGCCTCGGCATTGTGTCTTGTCACTGAAGTAGGCAAAGATGATGTAGACGATGGCGCCGACGGCGTAGACCGGGACGGTCATGGCCTGGACAACAGCGGCATCCCACTGACCCATGTCCCTGATGATGGTGGGAAGGAACACGACAAAGGAGTAGAGCATGGTGAGCAGAGGGAAGAGAGCGAAGCAGAAGGCCCAGGTGGTCCAGTCCTTGACACCATCCATCACGTCAGACTTGACGATATGACGGAAGTTGTGAGCCTTGCCAATCTGAGTCTCGTGGATGCGGCGTAGGGTCTCCTTGTCCTCGTCGGTGAGGAACTTGGCCGTCTGAGGGCTGTTGGGGAGGACAAAAGGGATGACAATTCCAGTCAGGATGGTGGGGGCACCATTGATGAGGATGATCCATCTCCACGCGCGCCATCCCGAGGCATAATCCATGAAGCTGATGCCATAGGCGACCAGGCCGCCAGCGACACCAGAGAGGGCAGCGGTCGAGTAGAAGCAGGCGATGCGGAGGGCCAAGCTCTTCCGTCCGTAGAACATCGAGAGGTACAGCACGACACCGGGGAAGAATCCAGCCTCCATGAGGCCCAAAAGAAGACGGCAGGCGATGAGTGAACCAAGGTTATTGACCCAAGCGCTAAACGTGGCAATGATTCCCCATGCGAGGGTGAGACCGGCCAGGTAACGGGCTGGCTGCATCTTCTTGATAATCATATTTGAGGGAGCTTCGAACAGCTGACATACAGTTAGCGAAGAGGAAAACCAAGACGGGAAGAGACCATCTTACACAATAGGTGACGAACAGAATCGAGACCGCCAGCTGGAACTCGTTGCCGCTGAGTCCCAGTTCCTCCTCCATGCCAAAGAGACGGGCATTTCCAATGTTCACTAAGGTGGAGAGGTATTGTTAGCCACAGTTCTAAGTATGATGATTATAGTAGACAGCGCCATCAAGATGCTTACCTCGATCCATCATGTTCATCAGATACACCCACATCACCATGGGGATAATACGCTTGTCCATCTTTCGCAGGACGCTGCGCTCCGCGGCTGGGTCGAGGTAGTCATCGGCCCCAGGGGCCTGCTCCAACCTCTCAGTCTTCAGTGACGAGGAGTCAGTCTCCTTCTGAGGCGTGGATATGCCGTCCCTGGGGACGTTCTTGTCATCGATATCTGCCATGTTGTAGAAACGGGTGTATGGGATAGCAGTAATCAAGACCTTTGGACAAAGCGTTGCAGTGATGGACAAGGAGTAGTATTCGAATATCAAGGAAAAAATGCCGGGGGGGAAGCAACGCTTTATATCAGATGGGACGTGGGACAAGAAAAAAGTCTAAAGCGAATAGAGTGTGGCTAGAGCACTTGTGCCAAGTGGGTGACTCGGGTACGAAAGCAAGGGGTAATCTACGAGACTGGGGCAAGGTTTCAAGGGTGTTTATCCACAGAGTTCAACGATGGGGGCACGAGTCCAAGATCTTTCGCCCGGATTGGGCCAATACGTTGAGAGAATTTGCAACCCTTCTCCATACGTTGTCCCAGAACTGAAGCGATGTACATGCGTCGGCTGAATGTGAAAGCACTCCAATACAACCCTCCAAGCTCACTGGTACCGTTCTGGCAAAGATTCGTGTCAATGACGCCCTCGAGGTGATCAGATCAGCCACATCCGTCACGCATCTTGGGGTTACCGAGCATTGCCGCTCGTTCAGGGTGTTCCAGGGGGTTTATCTATCCTCATTCTTACTAGTCTTCCATCTGTCCGTCTAGAAGAAGCCAAATAAGCTTGCCTGACACACTATACGCTGCGCGTTAACCGGATGGGAGAAGAATGTGTTTCCCCGCGCGCGTGCCAAGTGCTTGTTCCAAGGATCTTAGCCAGCGCCGAGCATGACCCAACGGCCCCGCCTCGGAGGACGAATAATAATCTACCTATTCAACCTTAAGATGCGTTAACACAAAGCGTAGTGAGATCTCAAGATGGCAGTGCAAGTGAGGGCTCCATGAACAATGGGGGGCGGGGGATGGAATGGGGCTACCCCGTGGAGAGACGACTTGGCAAGCCAGTGTTTCGAGTGGACTTATTCTCTCATTCATGCCGATCATCCGGTATCATGAGTACACCCATCATGGCCAGATGGATTTTTTGGTGCTACATAATGCATATTTGAAAAGGATTCGTCGTTGGAGAGCCGAATACGGACGTGTGTGTCGATGCGGGGGACATGTGTTCACTCTGCTAACACCAGAGCTCAGAAGATGGCTCTTCCTGCGGCCTCCATGCATCCTAAGGACTAGTGGCCGATTACTACGAGCGTGAGAAGTCCTCTTTTCTCGTCTTGTTTAGTAATGAGATTACCCAGGTCAAGGCTCTCGTCATAAAACGAGAGTGTTCCAAATTATGTCATAGAAATACATTCCACGATTCAGTTCAGGTCAGAACTAGACATAGGCATTATTCATGTGGGTGATAAGCCACCACACTACCATCCCTATGCGGTAAGATGTGATGTGCTGTTCTTTTTGCTGCTCTGGTGAGGGGGTAAAAGGGAGGGAAGATTGGAAAGCTAATGGGGGAAGGCAACCTCCCCAAACTTCCCCCCATTTCCCCCATACTAGGATTTGGATGGCGGAACAGGGGGCCTGGGCGAGGCAGCGGTGAAAGGATTCCAAGAAAGAAGGGTGGGAACACGGCAGAGAGTGCAAGGGTGCTGATGACAGTGGCTTTTGCCTACCGTCCCTCGCTTTCTCTCCGCTCTCCAAGCCAAAAGAGCCTTCGGATGCGAGTTGCGGCGACCGAATTTCCACGCTAACTAGCAACTATTATGCTTTTAATTAAGCTTATGGCATTCCCCTCGGCACTGGGGGCGCACAAGAGGCTCAACCGAGCCAGCCTAAAGCAGGCAATGACGGGGCTCAGTTTGTGCTACACCAAGGTCAGATCTGAGTTTCCATTCTACTTGCTTTGTTCACTCACTTCAGGGTTCAAGCATAGAGTTGCAGTCCCAAATTACATGGTTGCGGCATATTTCTTGACTGCTCCCAGGCCATCTCACCCAGGATCTGTCGCAGCCTGGGGATTCGACGGACCCTCGTGCCGAGCGTCATCATGTAGCCCTCCCAAATACGACGCTGGCCGGTGATTGGAGAGATGTGCCCGCGGAGGTGTGGCATGATGGAGCACACTGACCCCTCTCACCACTCACGAGGCAACGAACAACACCAGACAAGACCACAGTCAAACCAGTGCGAGGGGAGCTTGTGAGCAAGCCAGCGGTCTTGGCCCACCGGCGCCACGAGCGTAGCATTTCAAGTGCAAGCATCGTACTGTAAGTGGAGAGATGGCCAAGAGCCAAGCAAATAGAAAGATTGCCTGGGCTGGGCGCAGCAGATTTCGAACTGGTCTCCCTCCATCTTGATTTCTAACCTGCCTGAATCCATGATCTATCCTTGGCCACCCTCCAGGAAGTAGTTTAATGGGATGTTCAAATTCAGTAGGAAATGCGGGAGTCTCCACACATCCCCATGCTTTCACCCTCAACAAGACATCTTCTGTCATTGGCTTAACAAGCCTTTAGGTCGTGCCTCATCTTGTCTTTTTCGTCATCTGCACATCGGACACAGTCCTTGTCTGGCAAAATCCCCGTGCAGTGGCTTTTCCCTTCGCCCGTCACGTCTTGGCAGGAAAGAAAGCTGGCTCTCCGGGCCACACCTACACGGCACATAGATGTGCCTGGGTGCTGATAAATCTGTTTTCCAAGACACAGAGCTAGTGTGGCTTGAACTAACTATTCACCGAGAGACGAACATGGACGGAGAGCAACAAGGCTTTGGTATCAGGATGCTCAACTCCACGCCAAGAGTCCCAGGACTGACCATCCAGAGGGCTTTGTTCTGTTATTCTGACAGACAAGCGAAGCTAAACGCTGAACACTGGGATCTTGGCCAGGTCCAATGAGGTAGGATACCACAACAGCCATACCACTCAATCATTATCCCAACCCCGAAGCGACACGTGTGAGACTAAATGTACTGACTTCAACTGGCCTCATTTTCACCATACGAGCTCGACAACTAAAGTCAAAGGGAACGGAGAAAATGAAGCACATAAGTAATGGCAAATGAGAGCAGTCCTCCTCTCATGCAACACAAGCCTGACATGAATGATGCATACCAAATGCATCGCCCATCCCTCCTCTGCCAAGCCCAACCGTAGGGCCCTAAAGGGATCAGCTGAGCGCTAAATTACAGGGCACTGAACCATTAACAATCATTGATAATGCCCTCCTCCTCAATAGAGTTGAGCTGGTCTTGGCCTTGGGTCGTGCACTCACGCTATGACGCGTCGTAATCATCGGCCACCCAAGGCTACTAACGCGAGCGTTACTTTTCATCTAATCCTGTTTCTGTCGTTTTTAGAGTAGGAGGACATGAATGAATGCATGTTCGCTAGTGACCAAACACACAGACAAAAGCCATAGGTAGCTGCCAAAAAGTAAAGCTGACTAAGCTTCACTTGTCATGTGACGGTAATCAGTACTCGTCCTCTCACGTGACGAGGCGATCATTTCCCGTTCCCACTTCTCCAGGCTCCAGCCACCCACTTTTCTCCTCCACCATCATCGAGCCATCCAACTCGCCATTCACGCCTCATCACGAAATTGTTTTTCATCACCTCCCGTCCGCAAAACCCATCTCTCCTACGAAGGCACTTTCCTCTAGGTCATCTTGCAACCAGGCCGCTGTAAAATTCCGTCGTCTACTTGAGGCGCGCGCGCTTCAAAAGACACGGGGCCCTGTTCTTTGTGGAGATACTTGGAAGCGAAGGTCGTCACACGGGAAGTTGGATGAGCAGGCGACCTGGTTTTTCCTCTCGTGTAGTTTCCCCTCGCGTCCTTTTCACGATAGACGCTTCTCGACAACAAGAGTCAAGGCTGCTCTCTCGACGCCAAAGCCTGGGCGGGCGGGTTCTTGTCGTTCTTTGAATGACAAGGGTTTTACTTTTTGCAAGTCTTTTTGTGTTTCGTATTCCTACTGACATGACAGGCTCCCCAGTGGCGAGCGACAATGCCTTTCAGTAAAGATCCCCCAGCGACTCTAGATGACCAGCTCATCTCAGACGAAGCCACCACCCAAGAAAACACCCCCCGCCGACCTTCCCCCCAGAAACCCCAAGTGTTTGACGCGACCACGAACGATTTGCCCCGTGAGCCGACGTCTCATCCAAAACCCCCTCCCAGTCCCATCCATCACGAATCTCTTCGTATACCGGGCCAGTCGGCGGTTGTCTCTTGGTCTAACCAGCAAGGCCAAGAAACCATCCTGAGCCACGATGTCGCAAGCGCATTCATCCAGCACGACGTAAACCCGAAGAACACAGCTTTCTTTCGACTCAGAGTCAAAGTCGGCCAAACTTCACGGCGCACCCCCAAGCACGTCTACCTCTTCATACCCCCCGAACACATTCAATCACTCTCTCTCCATGACGAAACCGAGACGCCGCAGGCTAGATCCAAAACAAAGGCTGCTATTCGCAGGGCAGTGGGCACGGCTGGTGTATCATGCTTGTCCTTTGAAATGCGGAAGCCTTGCTTGTTGGTCGGCCCCAAAGATCTAGACCATAGCTCTCAAAGCAATGAAAATCAATCTTCCCATTTCGTGAACATGCTAGCCACCGTAAAGCAACTGTCCTCGCAAAGAACCTTTGTTGTGTATCTCCCTCGCACCACGATTCCCAATGGCCCGCTGTTGTCTTTGTGCCAGGCGGTGTCGTCTCCTGGTCTTTTGGCCTCCGACCCGACCTTGAATGATATCAACGGCCTCTATGGCGGCCGAGGCGGTATAATCATCGGGCAGAGATCTGATGATGCAGCCATTCCTTCAGTACATCGCTTTGAGCCCCAAGATGGACCTGCGGACGAAGGACTACCTCCCGCATACGAACACGCTGGCCCTGCTCCTCCGCCCCTGTTCACTGCCCTAAACAAAGGTACGCCAGTGTCTATGCAGCTTATTCTTTTATGCCTGAGAATTAACACCATGTCAAGGCCAACCGCGACAAGCAGGGAACAAGCGCCGACGAACAGCCAGCTCTGAAATACCAACACTCGCCACCTCCTCCAAATGTCCAGCCGTCGCTATAGAGCAGCCATCATCTACCACCCTCGACATGATCATGGCTCGCATGGAGCAAGGCTTTGGCCAGATCAACACACGTCTCACCGACATAGAACTCCGCATAGGCGGCATCGAGTCCCGCTTAACACAGCTGGAATCCCAATCCTCAAGACAACCCCACGACGAAATACTAGATGATTTACGATACGATCTCGAGAAGCAGATTGGAGAATTAAGAGAGGAAGCGGAAGATTTACTCGAGAACAGGGTCGAGGAGGGCATTGCGGACGCAAAGAGAGAGCTGACGGATTATATGGAGGATCAGGTCGATGGTGCAAAGGGAGATATCATGCGCAAATTGGCAGAATCTTCTGTGCAATGTTCAATCAACTTTGACTTTAGATGAAGCCCATTTAATGATAATCAAAAACAACTGATCAAACGAGTGATGGCATGCCACTTCACCCACCCGCCATGTCGATACCTATATTCTCCTTGCTTGCTCATTGTGTTCCCCTTCAGTGGAAAGCAACAGTCGCATAGTATTTGGGGTCCCATTGGAGAGCACCCTAAATATGATCATCTCTTGAACGGCTTGCCACCACCTGAACCAGTCCTTTGCCTCACTGGGTGTGAACACTCAAAGCCACATCCTGCAAGCCTTCGAACTCTTTGACGAGTTTCTTCCCCCACTCCAAGACGTGCTCGCTGTCCTTTCCTAGTGGAAGCCTCAAGCCAAGATCCCGCTCGGCAAACATACCAGTCCGATCGACCGCCTCGACAATGCGAGCTGCCGTAAGCTGAGGGCTGGCTCCGTGCTCCTGAACCCGCTTATCATCCGACACGTACTGAAGAATTTGATCCGCTACCGTGCCCTTGTATGGCTCGCTTATAAGGGCAGTCACTGCTGATCCCGTTGGGTCCACAAACTCGGTCTTCATGGTACCGGGTTCAACGATCAATGTCCGGATGTTGAAGGGCTCAACCTCCGGCGCAAAGCCCTCGGTGAAACCTATTGCGAGACGAGCGTCAGTTCTCCGCCATCCACATTCATCCACACTTGAGCAAGTCATACTCACCCTCAAGAGCATGTTTTGAGGCGGAATATGCACTGATTGCTGGAGGGCTTATGATCCCATCCACGCTGCTAACATTGACAATGGTACCGCCACCCTGGCTGCGCATCAAGGGAAACACGGCGCGGCAGACTCGAATAAGGCCGAAGACATTCACCTCAAAAACGTCCCGGATTTCCTCCATGCTGGTCAGGTTAGCTCTAGGTCCATCTACAACGAGGGGGGAACCAACCTGATATCCTCGGCAGTCCCGCCAAGGCCGTATCCAGCGTTATTGATAACCACATCTATTTTCCCGTGGCGGTCTTTAATAGCCGCTATCGTAGACTCAATGTCTTTAGACTTCATGTCCAGCTCGACCCACGTGCCGCCGAGGTTTTCAATTTCGGCAGTCTGGGGAGTTGGCTTGGAGCTGCGTCGGCCTGCTACGACAACATGTCCTACCTTCGCAGCAGCCTTGGCAAGTTCAAACCCCAAGCCACGCGAGGCTCCGGTGATAAGCCAGACCTTGGGAGAGGACATTGTGATATATTTCTGGAGAGAATTGTCGGAAAGGGTAAATATTTTGACCAAAAAATGGTTGAAGGGGGATTAACAAGAGTGTGATTTGAGCTCTGGGATTGATTGATGCATCTACTGAATCAAAGCGAGATTCACGTCTCTTTATATACCTGTTTCTATGAAGGACAGATACCCTTCAAAACATAGATCACATGCTCTTCATATTAGTGTCATCTACTGATGCCTTTGATCAACGAAGCTATCACGAACCAGATTGGTGACTTTAGGCATTTACCGAATCTGGAAATTGCATAACTTGTGGAACGATTTGATACCGGTCTCCATTTAGGTTTTTGAGGATGACAAAATAATCCTTTCATGGACTAGCGCTGACAGCGAACATGATCCATTCGAGTGACGAGGAGCATAGCCAGGGGATGCTCCCGCCACATCCGGTTGCGTTCTCATATGATCTGGCCCAATGTGAATCCTCAACTCTCTATGTAGATGGCCAAGATCCAGTACGCACAATGGACAACAGACATGGTGAGCGAATATTGATCCCGACCATCAAGGGCAGGATCCTAACCCCTATAGACTACGCAGCCCTCTCGTTTATCGTGACTACTCCCACTCAGAAACAAACAAGATACCAAAGCCGGCAGATCAAAAAACATGCTGCTAAAGTATGTCCTCCGCGGCAGCGTCCACGAAAACCCAGATTACGGGGACCGTCAAAACACAACGCGCACACTCGAGCAGTTTATAGGGAGCTGGCCCCGGCAGAACAGAAAATAATACCTACATCCAGTTATGCACCAATCTTAGGGCTAGCAATGACAATTAACTCTGGGGAAAGCGTGTCCTCTATCCCGGGTCCCCGCTCATTACACAGTGTGGTTCAATGTTTGTTTGGTCCCGGTTCGCCCTATATGTGATGCCCATCCTAGCTTATTCTTCTACAGTCTTCTCCTTGGTATCACTAGAGATGTATCCTAAAGAACTCTCCATTGATCTTTCTGAAGGAAAGAATGATGTGTACTGGATTGTTACAGCCTTTCACGACCAAGTGTACCTGCATGCCATTCTTGCATTAGCTGGGGCTTTCTTCGATACACGCAAAGTGGAAAGCTATACTCCCGAACTTTACAAACATTCGATCAAAGCTCTTCAACTTCTCCAAAATCGGCTATTTGTCATGAAAGAATCGGATTGTTTTTCGAACGCGACCATCATGGCAATATTTGCCTTGGCCTCCGCAGCGGATATTGCAGATGACCTGCCCACAGTGGAGCGTCATCTCCGTGGCTTGAAAAGAATCATCGATATTAGAGGTGGGATGGGGAGGCTACGGACCAATACTCCTGATCTCCTTGGGAAGATTTGCAGGTGAGTTCAACTCATGACGCTCATATCTTCGATCAGATGCCAATAAGTGACATTAGACTTGACCTCGGCCTGGCTGTGAAAACTTGGAGGTCACCCGTCTTTTTCAACCAATCGGTATCCTGGGATCCCTACCTCGTGATATCCCGCACCCCTCAAGATGTCAACGACGAGACGATGTCTTGGTGGATCACTGACAACCTAGAACCGAGGCTATGTACAATATGGGAGGACTTGAGACAGTTTCGCAGGATGAGCATCTTCGCCAACGAGGCAAACCATAAAATCCCAAAGGAAACGTTCACCGAACTGATGGTTTCTCTCTCATATCGGCTCGTCAATCTATCCTATGACTTGGACTCGCCCAACGAAGTAGTACGACTCGGTATGCTGGGATATGTAACCTCCATCTTCCTTCAGTGGGGGAAAACGGCAGAGTTCCACCACTTGCGGCACATGCTGGGAGGGACTTTAAAAGCGATGCATCTTGGTATGAGTGACATCCCCATGCCGGCAAGATTGTGGCTGTTCCTCACGTGGCATCTGCTCCATCCATCAGAGCAGGAGGTTGGGATGCTGGACGGGTTGCTCGGATCAATGTCTCGTGATGATACCCCGTTGATTTGGTCTGATGTGGAAGATTTGCTTCGATCAACTGTATGGATTGGCCATATGCACGATACGGAAGGAGAAGCCATATATCGGCGTACTACTCTGCGGATTTCATCAACGGGATAAAGCTTTGACATAGGCTTCATCAGAGTAGAGCCCTCCATATATTACAATATTAGATACTTCCTATACCATATCCATCTATATTCTAAAATGTTACACTCCCATATACATCTCCCCATATTAAGCATATCGCTTCCCAGGCTCAACAAGATCAACATGATAATTGGAAAAGGTACAGTGTCCCACACCATCCTTCCCTTCCTCAGGTGGTATAACGACACCCCATTTCACAGGCTCATAGATTGACGTTCCCTCCAGCACGTGGCATGAGGCAGAGATGGCCGCGCTGCAGCTCCCAGCCAAGGGCATCCCTTCTCTAAGACCAAGCCTGCCTATTACTAGGGCGAGTATGAACACAATCGCAACCACAAAGGCAGTCAGGAAGATTGCCATCGGCGAGTATGCTGCGGTGGTAGTGATGTCCGCATCTTGCGTGGTACTAGCTGAATCTTGCTTTTCAGCGCTGGTCAGTCTCCATGTGGATATTTCATAGATCTGCGCAATGAAGAAGCTCTGAGAGATGAGCCAGTGCATCAGCACCGAAAGCGCCATCATGGGAACGCTGTACCGGTAGGGCAGCTGGAGGAAGAAGGTGGATCGCTGCCCACCCGTGGGAAAGGAGACTCTGAGGGGGCGGTGAAGGTTGTACCCGTAGTTGGACCACTCAGAAGCCGCGGACATGGCGGTGACGACGCCGTTGAGGATGAGGTAGAGGAATGAGAGGAGAAGCTGCGGCATGTTGGTGATGAGTACGGTTGCGATCACTGCAGCCTCGCCGGTTCCGGGGACGCCCCATGACTCTACCATCGTGTGTGGAGTGAGAGCACCGACACCTAAAGACCACAAGCTGTTGAAGTCTCCCTTCCCATAGTTGTGGTTCAAAGTTGAGACCGCATATCCAAGCAGTCCGAGTATAACAATCAATGCCGTGAGAGTCCTGCAAAGAGGGCCATGTCAGTAAATGGAACTGATCAGCAGTGAATGTCTTAGGTATGTTTACTCACATGATGGATGCAACGGTCCATCGCCGCCAACTAACAGCAGCAGACCGTTTCATTGGCTGAGGTTGATATTCTTTCGCTGGTATCACGTCACTCTCATGGGAATTGATGATCTCTCGCGCCGAAAGCAAACACATGCCCTTGGTAGATGGTTCTGGTCGCTGTATGAAAGACGCAGCAGCATCTCCAACGGTCACCAATGGTTCCTGGTTGATGAGGTTGCTGGCCGCCATGATCGATATCACGATCACCTTGACGGCGTTGAAAGCAATCACGACACCGATCAAGCTGAGTGCAACCTGCAGATGGCACTTGGGGGCGATCTTTTCGCTGAGGCAGTATTTGACTTTGGCTCCGCCCAGAGTCCATTCGTTCGGTGATAGCTGGTCTTTCCAAGCCCCGTCACTACATAACTTGGAGATCTGTTGATAGCGTATTTGGTAGTCGTAGTAATAATTTTCTTGAGAACACATCCAGCCGTACCAGTTTGTGAGCTTCGTCGTGGCCAAGAACCCGGTTGCGTAATTGTACTGGGCGTAGAGGGACGTTCCTTGGGCGTTTTCACAGCGGGGAGAGTTGTAATTGTCCAGAAAGTCAGCGAATGTGCTGCAGTTCCGAGGGTCCTCGACGACTACCACGACGGCCCCTCTGTCCTCGACCAAGGTCCTTGCATACGCGTTGAGGCAGTCGTCATTGGACAGCTTCTCAAATTGGTCGGTGTGCATGAGCCGACCCTGGATGCTCTCTGGTGTGTCGACTTGCCCAGGTATAGTATTGAACATTGACGTGTTCCAGGATGCTCCGGTGGTGAAGGCTTCATTGGCAATGTAGACGGGATAAAGATTGTTGACGGTGGAAACGAAAAATATGGAGTTATACCTGTGACAATGGTCAACACGGTGCCATTCAAGCAAGCAATTTACTCAACCACTCACACAAGATGAAGAGGAATCGATGTGAGACCTAGACAGAACCAGAAGAAAAGCCGCTTCTTCTGGATGAAGCGGAGGTTCCGGACACTGGGCACGCCAATGTCGAGGTAGATGCCCCGTGCATGAGCTTTGTCGACATCATAACGAGTAGGAGCACTGATGGTTTGCATGCAGTAGTTGCTTGCGCCCAGGAGGAGCGTACTGACGACGTTGATGACCAGATGGACGACGATCCCAAGCTTTTTGATATACGTGCAGTCGCCCGACTTGGCCGGTGCAATGTTGCCCGTGTACCCATTGCGGCGAAGCTGTGCACCAAAGGCAGCAAGCAGCGATGAGTTACCGAGGAGAATGATGAGCGTCAGGCCAGCAGCGATTGTAGTCCCCAATTTCCACCCCGTCGGTTTGCGTTCCGAGCATGATCTGTTGCTTTTCCTTGGCGGTCGGTTGCCGAAACTGAACCAACCCCGAGACTTATTATTAGTGCTAGAATTGAATCCTGAGGAATATTCCTCTGTGTTGTCAAACGGAAATGGCGAGCCTTGGATCAATGGCGAGAGCGGGCTGTAGCTGATCTCGGCCTCAGTCTTCGAGAACGAGCCTGGACGCGTCCCGAGATCGCCGTCGAACGTGTCCAAGGAGATGCTGGACCCGGCCACAGGCTTCCTGCTCCTACGAAGGTTCTGGTACAGGGCTGGCATGCTTCAACAGCACGAGATGTGCCAATGGTTCGTGCCGCGCCACTTGCAATTGATCGACCTTTTCCAAATTTGCGGGGAGAAAAGATCTTATATTAAAGATTCATTTCGACAAAAGGCTAACAGGGACAAGAATAACGTCCTGAGGAACCCACCGCCGCCTTATTTTTGAAACGCCGAGACGCTGGTTGCTGGGTCTTTGGCGACCCTAGCACCAATGACAAGGGGGCAGACCAGGTAGTTTCCGTCTCCCAATCAGCTGTGGGATTCATGCTGTTCTAAATCAGGCTTGACGGTGTGAGTTTTCGCGCCCGCCCTTGCCGTAAGCGAACTGAAGTTCCCTTTCATCAGGTTTCGGTCCCCCCCTATCGCCCTGCAGGGCCAAATCTCCCTTGATGAGACGCGGCAGCTGGGCGGCGTATGTATGCCCGCGGTCCCCAATATAGGGCTGACTGTGGCCAGAGTTAGAGGGTCTAGGTGAGTTGGTGCTTGGGGGCGAGTCAAGCAAGCGAGCGTATCTTGCTGAAGGATCATCGCCTCCTTGACCACCAATGCGTAACTTATGATATCAGGAGCATCAGCTCATTGGTAGGGCGGGCGCACAGTGTCACATTGATGCCCTGCAATGATGCAATGAAGCATCCAAATTCATGGCCAACCCTAAATGGCAACTGAACTGCTATGCTACGACCGGCCACTCTCCTTCATTGCGATTGACAGCACCATTTCTCTGAGCTTTTCCCTGTCTCTCGGATACTTGCACTGAAATCCGTCCGTAGTCCACAAAAGCTCCGCCAATTGGTTAAACTCGTCTCCCTGTGCCGCCTCGAGGGAGGGGAGCACAATACGACCAAGAAACCCAGCGGATATTGGATCCAGGCTGGCTGCATAAGGGAGAAACATCCAATTCTTCTCACACTCTTCCCTGTAAGTCCTGTAAGATCCCGCGTCTGGTGTCCCATACAATGCACTAAGGTCGAAGATTAGCCGTAGAAGCATTCGCCTGATCGCATGGATCCCAACCAGCGCCTGGGCTAGACGTGTCGACGCGAAATTAAACGACTTGCCGAGGAGGAAGTTCGGGTCAGACAGCTCGCTCATATGGCCTAGAGGCGTGGCTCTGGCTTCGACCCTATCTATTACGGACTGCAGCACCGTTTCATGGGTGCATAACTCTTCCACCAGGCTGGCCATTCGCTCAACCATGCCATTGGGATCCGTCTGGATTGCGCGGAATTCTTTTATCCATGGCGCAAGTAAGCTAAATGACCTGTTGATGGCGGCGTATTCGCCGTCAAAGCACTGCAGCTCCTCGACAAACACGACCAGTCGCATGATGTCAGATTCGTCTACTGTGCTCTCCCATAGCAGCCTGAGAACAGGATTGTCTACGCCGCTAAGGGCCAAGAATGTCTTTTTGCGAGAGTCAGTAACGTGCTAAAGACTTAACCCGGGATCAGCTTACCAGCTCCCATTGACTCTTGAAAGCAAGTGACAGATCAAGCTTGTCGCCCGCGTCCAGTGACCCTTTGCCCAGCATTACGTGTTCAATGCCTCGCCGGTGAGATTCAAAGCTGTGCGCTTCCCCATTGCTGAACAGCGTGCCTATCCGTTCAAACATAATCATGGCGCCCAGCGTCTCTACAGTGTACAAATGAGGTCCGTTTATAGCCCTCTGCAAGCTTCTAATAGCTTTCGGGTAGAGGTTCGTTGCCAGCAGCTGGTCCGCTGGCTTCCCACGGTTGTAATCGCTCCAGGCGGAACAAAATAGTGCGGTACAGTCACGGAGGCAGTCGCTCTCGGAGAGCCGCTGGGGGAGATGCGGTAGGTAGCTCATCTGCATCGCCACGCCGGTGTCTTCGCCGTGCTTCAACAGATTGATGAGCCGAGAAGAAACGCGGTCAGAGACAGTCGTCGGGGTGGATCGAGGGGCCTGGAGCCGGAAGACACCAAACGACGCGTTCCCGCCATCGGAGGCAGGCCGCAAGGGACCTCTTCTGATCATGACGCGAGATCCATTGGGTGGTAGCGAGCCCTCGGACGAGTTCTTCGCAGGGTTAGGGGATACCGAGCTATCCGGCCGGCTGCGTTTACCACCGTCCACGAACTTGAGAAGCGACGATGGCCCCGAGCAAACCTTGTGGGCGGCTTTGCAGGTATAGCATGTTGGCCAGTTCTGATCACACTGTAATTATGGTTCACTTAGCCGCCTGTCCCTGTATGTTGTCTACATTGAAATGCGGATGCGCTTCCTCACCCTTGTTTTCCTCTGCTTGCACAAATAGCAGGCTTGTGATGTTCTTACACCGGGCATGTCGTAGGCGGAGGCGAGTGAGATTCAGCACGATTCTGGGGATGACGGCCGTAATCGTGGTTAAATGAGAAAATATAAACAGGTCCACCCTCCCTCTGGTGCACTAACGCGCAAATGATCCTTCTACAGTACAGCGCTCCTTTCAATAGACTGGTAGAGGTCTTGTGAGAGCTTGCATACCGATATACTGGGTAGAGCTATGAAAGAAAAGCAATGTGAATGAATTCAAGTACCAGATTGACAATATCCCCTTGTCCTCCAGAAACTCCTGGAAGGGAAACACAGCCCGAGCACCGCATGTTTTTGAATTTCCCTGGTAAAACCATTGACAATCCTTCGACAGGGGCACGTAACAAGCCTCGCCCCGCCTGTATTTTCAATCTGTCATGATCACAGTGAACCGGTGGCTCGGCTCATTCCGCTGATCGATTGCTGGCCCAGGATCCAGGGTGTCTCATGGTCAACCGTCAAGGCAATCTGAACAAGTTCAAACAGGTGCCAAGTAGCCAAGTTATCCCTCGCGAGCCCTACGACTGTTCATAGGTTCAGTAAGCAAGGGCCATGGCTCTATTTTGCCCACGCAGCCAGCAATCTCAAGGGGCGCGTGGAATACAGGCTGAGGCCTCTTACGATCGTAGCAATCAACAGTGATGGCCATAGTGCTTTTATAATTATCTGCATTTTGTCAAACATCCCAGCCGACAGCCTCATCGCAAGCATCAGAGGCAAGCACTCTTCTTGCGTTCCATGAAGCGGTGGCTGAGGTAAGGCGAACCCCTGAATTACTTATCCACTCAACACCCCACTCAACACTCAACATTTCAAAGCGCGTCACTATCCGTTTGTGGGTGTCGCGTTGGTTCTTATTCTCCTCCCTGTCTCCAGTGTCGTTATCATGGAGCCAGTATCATTTGGACAGCTGCCAGTTGAAGTACTCAACCATATCATTGACAAGGTTCGGCCACCGCCCAGCCTTTTTACGGAGGATTGAAGCCCCAGGGGCCAACTGACCTTTGATTCAGCTCGAGAGACCAGAACTAGTCTCATTGTCTCGAGCATCCAAATGGACACGGGCATTAACAACACGAGCCCTTTGGGAGGCGACCCGAATCCCGGTTATAAATGACGATGAAGGACGGCCATTGGGTCTCCGGCCGCGGGACATCTGTCTCCCAAATCCAATTGCGCCAACTAAGCTCAGGATATATGATTATCTTGCGGATCTATACGATCCCTCTTGTATTCACTCAAGGGATTCCCTTCTTCCCTGGCGTAGTAGACTGCAATCGGAGAGCCGTGACCCTCTCATACCGCTGGTGAATGATACCATCTCAGCGCTAAAGCAGGTCGAGATCAATTCACTTCATTCCTTTAGGTACGCCATATACACTTCTTGGACGTGAATCTCTAGCAAGCTATATTAACATTCTTTTCAAGTTGGCACACGGGCACATGCCTCCCGGCTAGCATATTTGGAGAGCAAGGTATACTGTCACTTCAACAGCCCTCTCTGCGATCTCTCAGTATCATCAGCAGCTCGACTTGTCAGAGATTATCCAGGATTACCCTCTCTAATTTCAAGAGTTTGAGAAGCCTCTCCTGGTCCGATGCCTCGCCCTATAACCATGAGGCCCTGGCCACTGCTATCCAGATAAATGCATGGCACCTTGAAACACTCGAGGTCGATTTCATCAACTGGTCTAGGCTTTGGTATATAGTTGAGGAGTCTGATGATCCGTTCTTGCGCTACGATGAGGTTAACAACGAAGATGAATTGTGGATCTGTGAGGACACATATTTCGAGGACGAGCTTCTCGGTCAGATGCGAAACCCACTGCAGCCCATGTTTCCAGTGCTGAGACGTCTTGCACTAACTCAAGTCCATTTATCCGATCGTACAATCCTGACCTTGAATATAGGCGCGCTCGAGTCCCTCACAATCCGATGGTGTGGCGGCTGGATGGCCTTTCTGCGCAGCATTGTTGAGCTCGGAGTGCCCTTGGATCTCGACCACTTTGAGCTGCACGCAGCAAATCGCGGGTGGGATGGAGGAGATCACGCATTGGTGGGGAGATTCATAGAGAGTCTCAGCGGACCATGGTCAATCTTTTTAGGTCAAATGGGAACTCACTCAAGCCACGGCGTGTGGAATCGACTTGTGCCACACCAGAAATCGATCAAGCGTTTTGTGCACCAGCTAAACACCAAAGCTCTGTTTGGTAGCGACTGTCCTATTCAGTCTGACCATCTTACTGATGAAGACTGGGATGGAATGAGACGAGACCCATTTCGGCAAAACCCGTTCGCGAACTTCGAGTCGTTGGAATTTTTGGGAATGACTTGTGAGCCGGCCAAAATGGTATGTTCACGATCTAGTTGCGCCCTGTTTAGTTACTCAGCTTACATTGTAATGAACTGGCAGAAAATTCTCACTATGCCGTTCGTAACCAAGTCCTGTCTTCGAGTCATCCACATCAGACGAGCACTCGACTGCACACTGATTTGGCGGGACTGGATATTGACTGAAGGAGTCGGTGATTGCCTCGATCCATGTGATGACTCGAAGGAAGCGGAAATCGATGAGTCGAAACAAGCGGAAATCAATGAAACATACGGTCAAGGTGAAATGACCATTGATGCCCTAAGAGGCGAGTTCCGTGATTTTGCAGAATGGGTTTTTGGGCCGGATGGGATTCACTCCCTCAAAACTCTTGCATTCGGAGACTTTAGCCACATCTCCCACACGAGAAGATTTTCGCGTGGTCAAGTAGTTCTTGTTCGGGACGAATCTGACAGTAGACATGGAAACTTCAAGATGGTTGATAGAGACGAAGCGGTGTTTAGGTTCAATCTTGCCGAGTGCCTGGATGCGATAGAGGCCTGCCCGAAGTGCACATTGACAAAAACAGACTGATTCAGAAAGCCTCCAAGATGCTTTTCTGGAATTATTATTCAAGAACACATTGTTTAGCTTTACAAAGTCTTTATTAGTCAAGTTACAGGTTCCTACCTGGTGACTTCTGGGAGCTCACGCCCCAGAAATGGCCGTTTTATCGCAGTACTGAAACACCACCCTCCAATGAATGAAGGTTACCTAGCCAGACTTGTTGTTATTTTTGCGGTTGCTGTTTGGGGGCTCACGTGACGAATTTCTTTACCTCTTTCCTTACTTGACAACCGCGCCACCTCTTCCTCAAACATCGTTCACTTTCTACCCTTCCTCACCCACACATCTAATTGTTCACTCATCAAAACTCATTGTTCTCACCGCTAACCATCTCACATTTATCCTTCTCTTCTCTTCTCTTCCCTTCTCTCATCTTGCTCATCGCAACAACAAGAAGCGAGAATAACTATATCAACTGCCACTTTGCATCCACCTTGCTCTTACCGATCTCATCAACTCTGCTCTGCCGCGGCTTGATACGCCAACCATGGAGCTGCTAATTTATTTCAGCAATCGTCCTTCCGGAGAACCGCCCCTTACTCTGGATACGATTCCAGTTGAGATTCTTCACCACATCTGCACATTCTTTTGCGACCACTGTGATCCGATGAAGAATTCTCAGATCGAGAACTCTACGAACCACAACCCAAACGAGGGCAAGAAAGACCTTCTCAACTTGTGTCTCACATCACGAGCCTTGTGCGGCGTGGCTCAAGGCGTGCTCTTCCATCACTTCTCATTTGGACGTCACCTCAACCACGGCGGCCCTGTGGCATTCCGGCTCGCTGCCTCGTCTTTCCTCCAGGCCTTGTCGAACAAGCCACACCTCCGGGTTGTTGTCAAGGAACTGAAGATCAAGACCAAGCGGGATACTTTGTATCCGAGGCTTTTTGGCTTTCGTTCGCTGACCGAGGCCGACCAGCATAGTGCAGAGCTCGTCCGGACCCTGGGAGCCGAGACCGGAATGCAGTTCCGCTACGATGAACTCCAGCCCTCTGACTTGCGAGAGGCAATGATCCAACTCATGATTGCAGCGTGCCCCAATATCTCCAAGGTACAGATCCAAATCCCACGCTACTGGACCTTTAATAAACTTGTGGGACGCAACTACACAAAGAGCAGCACTAACCGACAACCGCTTTCTTCGCTTCAGACTCTGGACGCACTTGTTGAACGACTTCCCACTGACGACTGCGAATTTCCTCACCAGCTTTGCAATCTGCCAGCTTTTGTAAGTCTCTCTGAGCGTGCTCTGGTTGCCGGTTCGGCCTCGAGACTCGAGACCCTGAAGTGCACACTCGGTGCTCTAGAGAATGCACCCGACATGCCACGACTGGAGGTGCTCAAATTGGACGTCCGGGGCTCATTCTCTGGCGACTTGAAGGCGCTGTTCGCTAAGATGCCCAAGCTCCGAGAACTAACCTACTGCTCGTCTAACAAGCACGGTCCGCTTCCTATTGAAGTCAACGCCGCCTTGAGAGACCACCGCGAGACGCTTGAGGTTCTGGCGATCCACTTCTGGAAGGCCGATTACGAGGACCTTGTCATCCTGGATCCGACCATCGACAACACCGAATTCCGCCTCGGCCTCGTTAACGACTTCACCAACCTCAAGGCCCTTATCGTCGATGCGTTCCTGATCTAGAGGATCCGCGAAGCCAGCGAGAAGGTGTCTCAGGAGGAGTCATTCCAATCGATCAGCGATACCCTCCCCGAGTCTCTCGAGATGCTCTGCGTCCACGCCCCGGACATGGTTTCTAAGCCTGACTACGCGCCTCTCATGGAGGTGGCGGACCGGGTTCGAGAGGGAAGGTTCAAGTCCCTGAAGCATGTCCTGTGGACCAGGAAGCAGAGCCGTAGCTACCCATCTGGACTCGGCTGGCTTAACCCTCAGGATGATAAGCGGAAGAGCGGAGTGTATTTTATTGGTGGGGTGGAACCCGAGACTGCGGTGGACTTGAGGAAGAGGTACCCCATTCTGACGACCATGCTGAATTATTACTATGTCTGATCGTTGATGGTGTTTGGTCACGAAAGGCCATACTGGAGTGTCAGTGATACGGAGAGAGACGCATACCCCGATGGAGAGAGAGAGAGATGGAGTGAGAGATACAGAATGAGAGATACACAGAGAGAGATACAGAGAGAGGGATATGGTGGTGTCAAGAAGGGATTGATAATCAAGTTGATGCGCATTTGAAAAAAGAAGCCAGAATGGAAATATGCCAAAATCAAGGACAGTTTGATGAATTTTGTACGAATACAATATGGGGAGATAGCAACAAGAAAAGCTAGGAGCTAGTTTCGTGAACATGAAAAAGATTAAACAGAGCAGAAAGTGAGAGTTTGTGCTAAGCATTTAACGTACGATCTAACAAACTGGAGCTACAGGTATCAATCAGCCTCATAAAAATCAATCATCCAGTTTAGGTCCAGGTTTCTCTATTCGTAATTTATACAGTTCTAGACACGGGTTTAGAAAATGGAAGCAAGAAAACTCCAAAGCAACCTCAAGCGGCCTCCTAATACAGCCTTATAAAGTAAAGACCTGGAACTGTGACAAATACAACCTCACCGGCCACCAACTTCCACGAAACGAAACGACTCGGACGTCTGTTAATGAGAATCAGCAACAGTCAAGTGTGCGCGAGTTAAGAAACAAGAGAACTCCATTCAGCTCAAGTAGTTGTGAATAAACATTCTGGCATCATATGCCTCATGTCTAGGCCAAATCATATGCAATGAAAATGGTTGTCAAAAACCGAAAGTTATTCAAGTCGCGGACTCGTGTACAATCACGAAATGTAGGACAGATTCCTTCTTTCGGGATTTGGTGGCTACACCTCCAGTTCCCCTAGGTAGCTCAAGGTTTTCCAGATTGAACGCGCTTTTGCAGTTCCGAACAGTCTACCAAACAGGCAGTGGGGCCGAATTCAGGAGCGGGAGAGATATGGAATGTCAGCGACGCGGTTGAAGACACGTACTGTTGATGGCCCTGGTCAATAACGCGACCATCTTGTCTGGGTTCATTCAAAAAGATATTTTTAGAACGGCACACATCTATATTTAGAGCCTACCCTATACTCACTTGGCTGTGATTCACACTCTTCGTTACTATTATCTGTTCTAAAATTGCGATTTGGACTGACTCACTGTAACTCATAAATCAATTTGTATAATGAACGACGATAAATAGAGTTTATTGAAGTTCATTGATGCAGGATCAGAACAATGGGTGTATGACAAGGTACACCGGAGCTAGATGCTTTGTAAGATTTACCACCACTTTCATCATGTTCAGGAACTAAACGCCGAAAGTGAGCATGAAATTATGAGAACAAAAAAACAAAGATACGGAAAAGAGAGAGCCCTCAACAAAGGTAAATATGCGGCTCAGAAGTCGGCATAAAACAAGAAACAGATGCAAAAAACAAAGGTCACGGTGGGGATCGAACCCACAATCTTCTGATTCGTAGTCAACTGCCTTGCCATTGGGCCACGCGACCGTCTGAGATGGACGCCGAGGCTGTAAAATTTGGTCAAGACGCCACACAAGGCTGGCAATTCGATTGGCTGCAACCCCTGGTCGCGCAGCTCAAGCCACAAACACGCCACAGGCCAAGCCATTCTTCACCAATGAACAATCAGTTCTTCAGCATTGAATCACCGAAAGGTAGCACTTGCTCTACGCGAAGCTGAGTACTTTCATCTTGGCCTGAGCACAGTCCATAAGATGGGCTGTTTATTTACGCCGTTTCAATGAATGAGAGCATGTCATCACATTGGGAATCTGTGTCTTCTGTTCCGTGTCTAGTGACACAGGAAACGATCGCATGTCTTGCAGCGATCGCGTGCAAGGGAAAGAAGGTCTCGACATGACAAGCAATAACAAACCCCGGATCTTTCCAGACGGTGCCTCAGTGGTACAGGAAGCTTTGATTGGAGTGTTTGTCGGCCAGTGCGTCTTGTTTAGATAATCGAACGGCCAGTTCCCCGTTGTACTCCGGGCCATGCTGACAGATGGTGAGAACCTTGTCAGGGTCTGCAGAGCGAGCATCAATCGGCTAACAATTGACACAAGCTTGGGACTTTTCGGATGAGCTGAGATCAGTAGCTAGGCGGGTAGCCTCTGCCTGCGACTCAACCGCCTTGTACATCGCAATAAGGCATCCCGATTGATTGTTGATGAAGGCATTGATCTCGAGCTCATTACTTGTCGTTTCTCCCCACGAACGCGGACGGGAGACCTGGAGCCAGTGGAGTGGAATGGAAAGAGCCCCTGTCGCGCGGGAAAATACAGTTGGGTATGTAGCTAACCACGGGCCTGGTCTTGGCTCTTTTTAGTGGCACACGGCCTAAAAATAGGCCTTGCTCAGTGGGCTCCTAGCGACAGCGCATTCCGGGCTTCAGCGGCGCTACTTCACTCTCAAGTTCAATCTCAACACGACAGAGTGCGGTATCGACCTTATACAAAACCATCATCATGCCGCCTTCTGCAGATACAGTCTTCCTCCCTCTTCATCCAGTCTAGATCTCACCAGTCTTCGCTTTGGGACTCACCTCACCCTCCTCTTCTACCGACACCTCACTGCATCGCCCCCAGCCTCCACCACGCCGTCAGCACTACCACCATGTACCCCGCCTATCCTCAGACCATGGCTTCACCAAAGAGGCAAGGAATGCCCTCTATGATTCTGGCTGTCGCTGGTACGACTTCTGGCCTCAGCATCTCATACTCCGCCTTCCGCTTCTTCATGAGTCCCACCGCCAAGCTGAACACTGATGAGATCTTCCTGGTCGCTAAGATGGCTCCGCTGCTGGGCACGACGAGGCTGTTTCTCCAAGCATTCTCGCAGGACTTGCCTGACGACGAGTTTGGCATCTTTTGTGCCTTCTGGGCTCAGTTCATGTACTCGGCTCTGTACCTCAGTGGCCGCCCCAACGGCCTGCACACTGGCTACGCTCACCTTGCCAGCGCCAATACTTTGATATGCTCAGTCGGCCTCTTGGCAGCAATCGAAAAGCGCTGGCGTGAGATCTGGTCCAAGCCCGCGCCCGAACCCGAGCCGGAGTACGAGTACCGCGACGCCGAGAAGTGCGATGAGGAGTTTGAGGAGGCCATTCCCACAACTACAGTCTCCAACGTCCCCAAGACCGCCGGCAATGCCGTCCGCGCCATCCTTATTTTCTTCGCTGCCTGGGCAGCCTACCGTTTCATTCGCTTAGAGATTAGTCTGATTCCTCAGGGATGGTCCACGATCGAGGATCTCAGCGTTCCCGACACCTTCATCTCCAGCATCCGCGGCACTTTGGTGACCGACCTCGCCTTGATGGCTGTTCTCTTCGTTCTTACCGCCTTTCCCCTGACTGTCGCTATCAAGGACCGGACTGTGTCCCTCTTCGACGTGAGTCCACTCATCCACTCTCATTCAACTTTCCCCGATATTAACTGGTATTTCAGGTCTCCGGGTACGCTCTCGTTGGTCGCGTTGTTCTTCTCCTGCGCCAACTTTTCGAAATGATCTACATCGGCCTTACCGCCTGTGTTATCGTCACTGGAACCACCATCGTGGCCCCAATGGACTTTATGAAGATCGCCTTTTCTCTGCTCGGCGGTTGGGCTCTGTGCGGTGTGCTGGCAATTGCATATGGCAAGCGCCCCATCCCCCGTCGCATTATTATTTAAGCGTATATATTTGATACCCCTTTTCTTTTCTCTTCTTATTTTTTTCTTTTTGCTTATTTCTCTTCTTTTCCCTTTGTTCTTTTTATTCTTTACGAATTACTAGTACCCCGCCTGGTTGTAGGGGGAAGTTTTGGGACTTTACGGATGATATGCATAGCCTGGAATGAATTAAATCAAAACTGTTAAATTAAATTACCATTGACTTCCAACCTAGCATGTGTGATGTACTTTGAAGCCACGGATGCCAGTTTCCACCCCACTGTCAATCATTTGAACCCATAAGGGGCTTGCTTTTATGGATCTGAGGGATGGTATATAGGGATCTCATGGAGGCTACACTACTTTGCAAAGACTTGCCTACTGGTGTATATATGTTGCAAGGTAAGGTCCAATACTTGTCTACAAGGTAAGATCCTGTAGGGGATGTAACCTGCACTGTATATCTGAGTTCCTTGTAAGTCAACCCCCGTAGCTTAATAGATTACACATCGGAACTCTGACTTTCAAACTTGGTGGTTAGAGGAGAGATGGCCGGCTGGAACTGAGATTTGTTTACTGAATCTGACGAGCTAATGTAGGCTAAAATACCTAAAGTGTTAATCGCCGAGCCCTACTAAAGCCTCAAGGATATTAGTCTATAAGGAGGGCTTTTGAAAACTGTCCATCTACTTTTGGAAGGTGGCATTATAAAACTCAAATGGTTAACCATATGATAGTTGCCTAGAAATAAACACGAGGTGCTGATAGCCCGCGAGGTATAAAGATGCTGCCCCCCTCCAAGTAACCATATCACCTCTACCAGCCCATTTCAACTTCTCAACTACTTTGCCTATATCAAAAGTCACAACAATTCCCCAAAAAATAGATATACACATCTTTAAGATGCAGGTTTCCACCATTCTCATTGCTCTCTATGCAAGTCTTACCTTAGCCGCCCCATCCACTCAACTTATCGACGATGTTTCAAAGATTCTTGAGGCTCCTTTAGCCGCTCCACCCACTGAACTTATTAAAGACCTTTCAAAGCTTCTTGAAACCCGTTCTGATTAATGCCATGTTGGAAAGAAATCCAAGAACTCAAAATCTATCTTCGTTACCGAAGTGTTTAGCCTAACAATAGTCCCTAATTGCGGAAGGCTCTTTTCAGTGGTGGAAGGGGGCGCCTTCGCACCACTTCGAAGCCGATATCAAGGTCACAGGGTGTCAAAGGAAAACGGGATGTGAAGACCGGAGGGAGTGAAGACCAAGGACATCGATGTATTCCAGCTAGCTCGCTGCGCGGCGGCAATTGCTGAGAAGCTCTCTATTGCATGATACCTACATTAAGACGATTTTGTTTCGTTCCGAAATGTGCCTCGGACGTATCTGTAAGTGGACAGGCGTCCTTTGTACTGTTTAGGTATTGGCCGACGTAAAACAATAAAACAAAAAAGCTCTTGGCAACTTACCTTGGCAAGGGTCGCCCCGGGTTCAGCACCCGGCCAAGCCTTTTGCCACGACTAATGGAATCTAGCTTAATTGCTTCCTGAGCAATGTGGCAGCCTGGGTCGGCCTGTAGAGTAAGCACTCGCATTAACACTGTGGCACACTGTGACGTCCCCCTGATGATCTGATAAGATTGACTGTTCACCGGGCAAATTCCACTCACCGGACAAGCGCGTGTTGACTTGCTACTCGAACCACACTTGCTGCGAGACGCGTCCTGCTGGAGAATCGTGATGCCTGAGTTGGGATTGTGCAGCCCGCAGGCAGATGATGCCTTTGGGCCCGTCGTTGCCCATTGTCGCCAGGGCTTCGACTTCACGCTGCTTTTTGAGCAATTCATCCTGTCGGCCGTGCCCTCGGTTCTGGTGCTGCTCGTTTCATCCTGGGCTTTGATGCGAAGGCATCGAAGGAGTGTCAAGACTACCTCGCAATCGATATTTTCTCTGAGATTAGCAAAGCAGGTATGTACAATGTTTCCTTCTCCTAGCGCTTCCCCCCTTGCTCACGCCTATCCTAGATTTCAATTGCATCTTTAGCCGCCACACAGCTTGTCTTGATCGTGTTATGGAGCTTGCCCGACTCAAACAGGACCAAGGCGTCGCTGCCTGCAGTGGCCCTCTCGCTTGCTGGGACACTCGCAATGGCAATCCTGTCGTACCTTGAACATGACCGCTCCGTTCGCCCTTCTACTATCCTATGCGCCTATCTGTTCTTCTCGGCTTTGTTGGATCTCAGCCAGGCTCGAACGCTATGGCTGAGGCACAGTAACGATGCCGTGGCCGCTGTCTTCACTGCTGGTCTTGTCCTCAAGGTGGTGACTCTCGTTGTGGAAACGATTGAAAAGAAGAGTTTCCTCCAAGCACCTTATCGTGACTACAACCCGGAGACATTGGGAAGTGTCTTCAATATCAGCGTCTTCTGGTGGCTGAACTCTCTTTTCTTGAAGGGCTCATCTACATCCCTCGGCATCAAGGATCTCTTTGCACTTGATGAAAATATGCTCTCTGCCAAGATTCACACAAACATTCGCCAGCGGTGGGCAGAACAACAACAGAAGAGTTTTTATCGCCTCCTTTGGGTTGCGGTTAGGTCTGCTTGGAGGCCGTTGCTCATATCATCTGTCACGCGACTGATTCTCATCCCGATCAAATTTGCGCAGCCACTTCTCATCGACCGAGCAGTAAGCCTCATGACTGAGCCTGAAAGTCAAAGCAAAACGAACAGCGGCCGAGCTATGATTGGGGCCACGGCTCTCATCTATTTAGGCATTGCGATTGTGACTGGCTATCACCGACACAACCTCTATCGTTTCGTCACCATCGTCCGAGGCGGTTTGGTCTGTTTGATATACGACGCGACTCTCAAGTTGGACATGGACCAATCTAAAGAATCGGCAGCAGTTACTCACATGAGTGCTGATATCGATCGCATCGCCCTTGGCTTTGAATCCCTGGATCCCTTGTGGGCTGGGCCGATCGAGATCGCCATTGGTATCTATCTCCTGAACCAGAGGATTGGGGCTCTCTGCGTTACTCCAGTTGTACTGGCCGTTGGTACGTAACTACTAGTCAAGCACATATTTTCATTATCCCCGTTCGTGGATTGCTAACGGATCCTGTAGTTCTGGTTGCAATATGCTTCTCTGTGGGCAAGACCGCGACTTCAGCCCAAAAGGTTTGGGTAGAGGCGATGCAGCGGCGAGTGGCCGCAACGGCCAGAGCTCTAGCTAATATCAAGGGCCTCAAGATGACGGGACTTACGAAATTCATCGACACCGAGCTCGATGACCTTCGAAACTTGGAGCTGAAGAAGTCCCGGCGTGTCCGTTTCATCATCTGTGTGACAGCAGCGATCAGCACCACAACGTTGCCTATCTTAACGACTATAACTATTCTGGTGTACGTGCTCGTCAACCGGAACTCACCAGATTTCAAATTTGATTCTGCCCTTGTTTTCACAATGTTATCTCTCATCTCCCTTTTGACCCGCCCTGTTCAAGACTTGGCATTCGCTATCCCGGACGTTGGAGGTGGAATTGGATGTGTCCAGCGCATTCAAAAATATTTAGTGGCCCAAGAAGAGGTCCAAGAATCCGGGCCTTCGCCTCCGGCTCCTGAATCTTCTAAGGGAAAAGAATTGGAGGACCTTCTGCCTCAGTCCAGCACAGATGCATTGATAACTATCCAGGATGGGGATTTCACCTTCCAGGACGTAAGCAAGCTCGTGCTTCACGATATTTCACTCAAAGTCCCGAAAGGAAGCTGGACTATCCTAACTGGACCAGTTGGAAGTGGAAAAAGCGCTCTGCTTCTCGCTATCCTTGGGGAGTTGCGGCAGATCAAAGGATCAGTTCGCAAGAGCAAGTTGCTGCCCATTGCGTTTTGTGCCCAAGAGCCGTGGCTGCCCAACACCACCCTTCGTGAAATTGTCACGGGGTTCTCCGAATACGATTCAAACTGGTACTCGAAGGTCATTGACGCGTGCGTATTGAGCTTTGACATCAAAGAACTTGCCATGGGCGACCAGACAGTTGTTGGTAGTGGAGGTATCAGTTTGAGCGGAGGGCAGCAGCAAAGACTCAGCTTAGCTAGAGCGCTGTACTCCCGGAAGTCATTGCTTCTCCTTGATGACGTCCTTTGCGGCCTTGATGCGGCGACAGAGCAGAAAATTGTTGATAATGTTTTTGGGCAAAGTGGCCTATGCCGAAAAAACGGCACCACCGTGTTTCTTGCCACACATTCTGGTAGGTGTCAAATATCCTATGTGTTGCCGGGTTTTAATTACATCAGACTGACAAAACAGTGCGTCACGCGATGCGAGCTGATCATGCGATCGTCTTGGCCTCTGGTGGCACTATTCTTGAGCAGGGGAAACCATCCCAGCTCTCCTCTCTTCAAGAGTTTTCGACCGACACTGAATCTGAGGAACCAGCCACTACATCGTCCTTCACTGACGCTAACACTACCGATCAAAGCAGCAATGTCCCTCGCGCGCAAGATCATGACGGAACTCAGGATTCACGCTCACGAAGCAACGGAGACACGAGACTCTTTGCGTATTATCTCCAGGCTATTGGATGGGTGAACGTCCTCGGCATCGCCATCTTCAGCCCTATCTTCGCCTTCTCATTCAAGTTCCCCACCGTAATTTTGAACTGGTGGTCGGCGACAGAAACCGAAACACCTGGAGTCAAGACTGACCTGTACCTTGGCATGTACTGCCTGCTTGCTGTGATCACCATCATCAGCGTCGTCATGGCCTTGGTCTTCATCCTCATCTTTGGAATGCCTCGCGCATCTATCAGAATACACAGGAGGTTGCTAGATGCCGTGATCGGGGCTCCTCTGTGGTTCTTCGTCTCTACTGACTCCGGCCAGACTCTGAACAGATTTAGCCAAGACCTGTCACTAATTGATGTTGCGCTCCCGCCGGGTATGTTAAACACGATATACATGGGAGCTCTGTGCATCATGGAGGTCGGACTCATCGCCATGGCGTCCAAGTGGGCTCTACCAATGTACCCCGTCTTGCTCATTGTGCTGTATTTCCTCCAGAGCTTCTATCTACGCACTTCCCGACAGCTCCGGCTGCTTGATATCGAAGCAAAGGCACCCCTGTTTTCGCAATTCATGGAAACTCTCCAAGGACTTATGACAATCCGGGCCTTCAAGTGGGAGCAAAAGTCTACTGAGAAAGTATATGCTTATCTGGATGATTCTCAGAGGCCGTTTTATTTGTTGTACAGCATCCAACGATGGCTTACTCTTGTCTTGGACATCATGGTTGCTGTGATTGCTACCGCTGTTGTGGCCTTGGCAACTCAAACGTCGGGGTCTTCAGCAGGAGGCCTGGGTGTGTCGCTGGTGAACATCTTGTCGCTCAGTCAAACGCTTGTTTCTTTGATCCGGGCTTGGGTGGAAGTGGAAACATCTCTTGGCGCAGTGGCCCGTGTAAGGAGTTTCGATCGGGAAACTCCACGGGAGAATTTGCCCACCGAGGACTCGGAGCCCCCGGAGCAGTGGCCGTCAAGCGGCAAGATTGAGGTCAGGGGTCTCGGGGCTAGCTACAAGTGAGTCATGAATCAGTAAATTAAGAAGAATAATAGGATGCTGACAGTTGTGAATAGGCCCGAAGGAGCTCTTGTTTTGGATGGATTGGATGTGGACATCCAACCCGGCGAAAAGATCGGACTATGTGGTCGAACTGGGAGGTAAGTGATGGGAAGGAGTTAAGACGCAAATCCATCAGTCCCTAAGAAATCTAACTCTTTAATAGTGGAAAGAGCTCTTTTGTTTTGTCGCTTCTGAAAATGGTGGAATTGCAACAGGGAGATATTCTCCTGGACGATTCTACCATTAAATCGATGCCGCGCTCAACTCTCCGACGGAGATTGAATGTTATGCCGCAGAATCCTCTCATTCTTTCCGGAACAATGCGATTCTGCCTGGATCCCTGGTCAGAGAATTCTGATGAAAGGATCCAATGGGCACTGGAGGAAGTAGGCATGTGGGAGGTCATCGCTGAGAGAGGCGGTTTGGATGTCAACACGGATGACTGCCCGCTCTCTCGTGGCCAGCAACAGCTCATCTGTCTTTCCCGAGCTCTCCTCGGGAAGTCTAAGATCTTGATTCTGGACGAGGCGACTGCGAACCTGGATCAAGAAACGGAAGCCAAGATGATGGAGGTTATTAAAGAAAACTTCTCGCAGTGTACAGTTATAATGGTTGCACATCACCTGCACACCATCAGGGACTTTGATAAGATTATGGTTCTTGATCGAGGCAATCTTGTGGAGTATGGTAGACCTGATGATTTGTTGTCCCGTCCAAGTAGGTTCCGTGAGATATGGGAGAGTCAGAGTTAGAGTAGCATGGTCTAGCTAAGGTAATCTGGTCATATCTGCAACATTCACTTTGAAAAAGACTAAGTTAAATGGAATAGAAGCGAGAGCCAATGGGAAGTAGCATTCTCCTACAATGAACTATCTCGTCCCTTAATAAACAACCCTACTTGTTAAGTCGAGTTGCTCGGGCTGGGTCTCTCCAAAATTGACAAGCTTCCGTTCGGATATTGTCCAGATCCACCTTTGTACCATTTGACGGTCTGACAGTCAACTGCAGAGATCCATTATTTGCCTGATTGACTTCGTACTGAGGCCAACTTGGAGTTCCCTCGTGCCGATAGGTGTTTGGATCACCGCTAACGACAAAACTCGACAGATAGCCGTGGTAAATGTGACTGACGTCAGGGTACTGAACTGATAAAGGTTCGTCCCAAGTATACTTGGTGTCCGCAGTATGTGGAATACCTTGCCAGTCGGGAAAGTTGTTGTTGGTGTCGAAACGGACTTTCCATGTCGGCACACCTGCAAGAGATGCACGGTATGCAGTCTCTTGCGAAGGGCAAATGTAAGCATAGTCGGACCAAGCAGCAGCCAGACGATTATACTGTGTGCTGTTTGGAGAGTTGGCGAAAGGGGACGAGGGATCAGTTGCCGGGTCTATGTAGAGAGATTCAAGTAAAGATAAATCATCGCCAGTCAGAGCTGGCGAAATGTTGTGCAGGTAGTCCAGGAACTCATCGTTGGTCTCTTTATCCCCAGGGATATAGAATTTTCCCTCATCTGTCACGGAAGAAGTAATGACTGGGACATGGAAGAATGTGCCGTCATATCCAGATTGAGAGCCAAACTTCTCGAGAAGTGGCCCACCCTTGGTAGGTTGAAATGGCCATGTCAATGCCTCGTTGTAGTCATTGTATAGCTGTACGCTGATATTCCGAATAGCTCCAATATCAGCACTTCGTAGACAAGATAGAGTAGCAGGGTTATCTGATCCTTGATCACAGCCCAAGTATGAAAGGTATTTGGCTGTTTGTTCTGCGTATAGGGGATAGTGGGCATCAGGGAATGCTCGCGCCGTCACAGAACCTGACTGGTGTATAGCCCGTGCGAAGAGCGGTTTACCCTCATCTTCGCCATAGTTGTGGAAGTAATGAATACCAACGGAGTGTCCCCCAGCAGAGCGACCGCCGATGGTGACAGACTTGGGATCACCACCGAAGGAACCAATATGCCTTTGAACGAACTTGAGCAACAGATGTTGATCACGAATTCCCAGATTTAGGAGCCCCTCCTCTTCGAATAGAGGAGAGGAAATGAAGCCCAATGAATTGACCCGGTAGTGAAATGTCACGACGATGACGGGTTGCTTGGACGAGGCGACAAAGGACGGACCATCAAAACTGCGCCAACTCCCAGAGTAGAAAGCACCGCCATGAATCCAGACAAGGACAGGCAACTTCTGGCTGCGAGGGATGCCGGAAGGCCGGAAAACATTGAAGTTGAGGCATGCCTCATCCTGGTCTGCTTCGCTAACACTGGATGTGGCCTGGATACAGCTCTTCCCGTAACTTGTCGCGGCCTTGACACCTTTGAATGAGGAAGGCCAAGTGACTGGGCGAAAGCGACCATCGCCTACCGGCTGCGTCGCATAATCAATTCCTAGCCACGCATCGACATCTTGAGTAAGAGAGGCGCCACTCAGTGTAGAGTTGATCACTGTCCCGGTGAATGAGCCGTACCCCTTGAGCACCGCCGGATCTTGCGTAGATGCTCCCAGACATAGCACAGTCTGCGCGGCGCCTGTGAAGATGTTCTTCAGAGAAACCATGGTATCAGAAACCTCGTTCGTGTGTCCAGTGTCAAAGAGACACGAAAGGAGGAGGAACCACCGCAAGTGCCTCGACATGCTTTAATAACTCATCCGACGATCGTTGTTGATTACGACTGACCCCGGGCCTGTTTCGCAATACCGGGATTTCTTGACGTTGCACTTCGAGCGTTCTCCGCATTGGACCCCGCAAAGAGTGCGACATTATTAACTGTTACTGAGCAGCTTCTCTCCTGTTTCCATTGCTGGAAATGGTTAGAATCGGAAAAGTGCCGACAGTGACATGCCGCAACGGAACCGAATGTAATCCCACCTCGGATGCATTTACCCCTGGAAAGGTGGTGAGTAGTTTGCAAACACTTGGAATTTGTATGTTCATACAATATCCATCATATTAATTTATTAATTTATTCACTTTAGATTAATTCATGCCCTTGTCTGGAAGCTATAATATCTCACCCAGTATGAATGTAAAAGTAAAATTGAAGAACAAATCGGTGATGGAAAGAAGGCAAGAAATAACCCCGCCGTCTTTGAGTAAAATGTACGGGATTCAGCAGTGGGAGATGCACATTGAATACAGCTTTTTCTATTGTTATCGTTTACATTCAAAACCGCTCCTCAAGTGAGCTCTAATCATACTACACAACTCCTTCGCAATGCCTAAAGCGACTATCAGGTGGCCTAGACACCGACTCAAAAGATACCCATCCCTACTCAACAACCAAAACACCGCGGTATCTCATTTTGCCGTCGCGAAGCTTCTGCATGGCTTCCTCAACTCCGGACTGTGTCATTGGGAACTTCTCGATTTGCGGCTTGATGCCCTTCTTGGCGGCAAAGGAAAGCATAGCCCGGGCAGACGGGACTGATGCAAGACCTGAGCCAATGATGCTGGTGCCTCGCATGATAAGATCCAGCGGGCTGACGTGAAGTTCTTCCGTGCTGATGGTGAGGGGGAAAACCTTGGCCCCGGGAGCCAGGAGTGCAAGGTATCTTTCACTTGTTTAGTTTCCATAGCAACTAGGTCATTCTGAAATACTACTTACTGAGATAAATCGGGGTTGGCATTCGCGGTGATCAGGAGAATATCGAGCTTCTGAATAGTGGAAAGATCCTCTGACCCATTGGTTACGTGGAACTCGGACGCTCCAAAGTCAAAGGCTGCCTGCTTCTTGGATTCCGTGCTTGAGAATACGACGGCCTCGTATCCCATCTTAGAAGCGAACTGAATAGCAAGGTGGCCGAGTCCGCCAATGCCAATGATACCAACGCGGTCACCGGCTCCCAGACCTGAGGTGTACAAGGGCCCCCAAACAGTGGCTCCTCCGCACATCAGAGGCCCAGCGTACTCGAGTGGGATCTCGTCTGGAACCTTGAAGAGAGCCGACACGTCCCAGGCGACGTAAGTGCCGAAACAACCCTGGTCATGGTTGGCAGTACCGAAAGTTGCCATATTCAAACAGCGATCCTGACGACCTTTGCAAACTTTAGCTACTTTCTTGCTGCATGCAGTTGGGTCTTATGATATCTTACCTTTGACACAAGAAATGCAGTGGCCACAGAACTTGTGGAACCAACCCATACCAACTTTGTCTCCTACTTTGAACTCGGAGATTTCATGAACAGAGGAGCCGACCTCGGTGATGACGCCGACACCCTCGTGTCCTAGGCCCTGGTCGGCATGGCGGTAATGTTCATCGGTACCACAAACGCCGCAGTGGGAGATCTTGACAATCACCTCGCTTGGCTTTGGGTCGCGGTGGCCCTTGGCCTCGACAATGGCACCGCTGCTGGAGCCCTTGAAAACAGTAAAGTCAACTCCCATGTTTGCGGATGGATGTGATGTAAATTTATGTTGTGTAAGTGTTTGCTTGGCTTGGTATTGCTGAGTTGCTGAGTTTGTTGGATGAGACGACCATAATCTCTGGCTGAGCCCAGACACTTATATACTTTTCTCTCATTCTATCTAATCATTCTCTTGGAAGCAGGCACCGGATTGATGATGCTCTCTCTGTTTCTCCTTGATCACAAATCGTTCTGCTGGTTGAATGTCTCCACTTAAGACCGCGAGCTGAGCCAAGCTGGGGTCCATATAAGACCGCAAGACCGCAAGGCGAGAGAGTTGCACCGCCAAGGCCGCTTACTACTCGGAAACTTTGAAACCACGCTGTTATCGGATGTTCGGAAATAGCACTACTTAGGACCGAAAATATGTCACCCTAACAAGATAACGCGGTGGACGCCAGCACTTGCAGAAATACAAGGGTGTCATTTCAATTGTTGGCAAAGAGATATGTAGATAGATACGTGAATGGATTATGTTGGCTAGTATTACAACGTGTCTCTGATCGCAAAGTAATCTTCCTCGGCCACCCCCCTACAGCTTACCACCACCATCTTTTCAAACGTCTCTAATGAGCCGCGAGGAGCGACGGACTTGAACAATATGAAGTCCCTGTAAGGGATTGTCTCATCTTTGCTTGGGTATTGGGGGAAGTTTTGCGGGGAGCTCCAAACTCCCGTCTTGGTGGAAATGGGCAACTGGGCTATCGCATTCACCTCAGTGCACGTGCCCAGTTTGAATGACCAGTAGAGCGTATATAGCTTGAAGGTGGCAACAACAGTGCGCCGGACGCTTTCTCTCAGAAGCCAGGTTTCCCAGGTGTTCTGCGCCATTTCGTCTCCGGAATCCAGTCTCTGAAGGAGCTTGAGGCCAAGTGACCTCATCACATATTCCTGCTGTTCGGCCGCCTTGCGCTGTTCGATGCCACCGTAGATAAGTCTGATCATCTGGTATAGGACACTTGCTTGTAGTGTCACGAGATCCTCAAACAACGTGCCCTGGGGGGTTGGCACGAGTAGTTTTGCCAGCTCGGCATCCACGGCCTGGAAGAGGAATTTCCTGTTGCGGCTGTTGAGGGTTATGCATCCTGCGCAGATTCCCCAGGCGGCCCGTAGCGGACCAGGGGCTAGAGAATCTTGGTTCAGATCTTTGTGGATGAAGAAGGTCTCCGTGTCCTGGGCATAAGTGGTCGGACACGCCTTCATCTCCTCGAAGATCCATGCATCGTTGCCCAGGCCGATGACGGGCTCCAGTTCGCCCAGATGACCAATGATGGACGGCACGCCGAGGGGTTCTGGAAAGCGTATCTTTATCAAAGAGCCATCCCAGTTGAGCTGGTGTTGCGTGCGGGATTGGCTGCGGTCCGGAATGGGGACAAGCTCATCTGGCGAACTGCCGGGCGAAGGCTTCTCTGCGAGGGATGAGTGTCCCTTGGACTTGGAGAGCTCCACATTGGTCGCCGCTCGTTGGTTCGGTGGATAGACGTAATGGCAGGCTTTGTTATTCTTTTCGCATCTTTTGCAGACTGGGTATGAGAGATCACATTTGCGGCGCCCCTTGAAGCAGGGGGTGCACGACTTGCGACGGATGGATACACTGGAGTGGCTCATGCTGGCTTCTTTGTCTCTTTGCATTTTGATGCCCTCTGTCCTCAGAGTAATCGCTATCTCGGAAAACACAGACTGGAAGGCGATTGCCTGATGGTCGGGAAGAGCTGAGTCTCGGCTCTGAGGTGAGATGCGGTGCTGACAAATTCGCAAGGGAGTCAGCAAGATACGGAGAAATTATGTCAGAATCCATCAGGAGATTGGTTTAAATCCGACCAAGGTTTTTAGGCTTCTTTTAGGCAGTTCTAGTCCTAAGATTATTGATAAAAAGTGGCGAGGTCAAATTTCTGGAAATGCTCTCAGCCTCTGATTCTGTGGCTATGATCAACTCGCCAGTATGAACGATCTATTGAATTTTAAATACTCTAAAGTGGTGCATTGGACGCCTTTATAAATTCTCCCCAGCCCCTTGTTTGTAGCCCTCCAGCTCTCTGCGTCAGTCCAGTTCCAAGTCCGCTGCGTTCCCTGATCATCTCCAGAAGAGCCTTCGTCAGCTCCTGGAAAGACACATGGAGGCTACCCAATGGTGAATCGTCTATCTCTTCGCCCGCTCTCACGAACACGTCTCCAATTATGCTCTTCGCGATAGTTTCAACATCGCGGCCATTAGCCCACCCCTTGGTACGGGCCAGCTGGTTGAAAAGCTCGTCAAGAGCTTTACCAGTTCCGCTTCCAGGTTCGTCTAGATCGCGTGGAATCATGATTTGTAGCCTGGCAAGAGTTTGCCGGAGGAGTTGCAGACAGTGTGCTGGTGTCAGGTTCGGGAACGTGATGTGAGTAGGGAACCGACTCCTCAGTCCCGGATTCGTTTGCATCAGTTTCTCCATCTCATCTCCATACCCAGCCAGGATGACAACCATGTTTCCAACGTAGCGCGGCTTGGTCATGGCATCGACGATTTCGTTGACAGCTTCTTTGTGGAACTTATCCCCAGTCAACCGATAGGCTTCATCAATGAACAGGACTTTGCCGAGCCCCATCTCAAAGTGGCTGATGACTTTGGGCCCGGTTTGCCCGAGATACTCGCCGACAATGTCTGTGACAGAGCAGGTAATGACCTCACCTGATGAAATCAAGCCCATGTCGTAGAACAGTTTGCCTACTTTCCTCGCCGTTGATCTAGAGAGACAAAAAGTTAGAGTGGCTTTTTGTACATGCCCAACAGGAGGTAACTCACGTTTTCCCCGTCCCAGGCGGCCCTTTGAACACAAATGCCCAAGGGATATGAGGTCGGGGATCTATATTATATCTCCGCATTCCGTCTGCCATCTTCTGATACCTTCTGAATCGTTCGGTAATCTTCTCAAAGCCCACAAAGTCCTTAAACAGACCATCTCGCGCCTGGTCCGCACGAGAGGCTCTATCAAAATCCGGATCAAAGTCCACCGCCTCTAGAGGGTGGTCACTCATGTCGACAGGATACACGTTTGCAGCTCGCAATCTCCCTACCTGCCTCAGACTCGCCCGAGACAGCAGGCTCTCCACTTCACCAGCGTTTCCAAAGCGAGGCCTCGTGCGCATCTTCCTGAGAACGTCTAGGGCAGTTTTACGGCCGCCTTCCGAGATGCTCACACCGTCGCTCGCCATTTTCTGCTCGAGGATTTGGCAGAGCTCACTCTCGCTGTAGTTGTCGAAGACGATGGCACTCTCCAAGGGAAAACGACGTTGTAGCCCGGGGTTGCTGTTCAGGAACATCGCCCTCATCTTATCAGGGTAGCCGCATAGAAGCACACACCTGTCTTCACTTGGGCTTCCCGAGATATTGGCCACAAGTGTATCAATGACGCCCGTTCGAAAAGAGTCGGAGTTGTTTGTCCCCTGACGAGAACCTTGGTATAGCATGTGCGCATCGTCAATGATGAGTAGGTTACCCATGGCCTGGTCGAGGACTTCTCGCGTATTCCTCTCCGAGTGACCGATATAGGGCCCGATCAAGTCGTTTGGTGTTTTCTCGATAACTTCGCCTTTCGAAAGCAGGCCCAAATCTGTGAGGATCTTTCCGTATATCTTCGCAACGGTTGTTTTCCCAACCCCCGGCTCTCCCAAGAAACAGCGATTCAGCATAATTGGCAAATTCTTTTTTCCTTCGATTTCCCGTTGGCGATTAAGGCTGGCCAAATTGAAAATATGATCGACCTCTTCCTTAACACCCTGCAGACCAACCATACTTTGCAACTCTTTCCAGGCTGCGCTGTTGTCCCTCAGATCAGAGGGCGTGGGACCTAGCACATCCTCAACCTCGAACCCGACTTGCTTTGGCTTTTGTTCGTCAAGCGGTACGTCCTCGACAGGGGAGTTGTTCTTCATCCACTCCAACAGCTCCTTTTCATGGCGCTTCTTCCGTCGAATGTCTAATTCGTCCAATTCTGTTTGCAAAGTGTGGACATTGGCGAAGCTTTCAGGGAAATTGTTGCATTGTCGTGCAAGTTTTTGAGCCAGTAAGCGTAGGATAAGTTCTCGATTATGAACGTCCTCAAATTCTGGCCTCTTCTTAACCAACCGTTTGAGGAGCGCCGCTATCTCAGCCTCTTCGTAGTTTTTGAGAACAACGGGCTCAGGAAAACGATCCCGCGATTCCTCAGGGTGGTTGATAGCGTCTATTGGTTCTTTCTTTAGTGCCCTGTACGACAGGATGAGAACGGTAGGATCGGGCCTCTTTTTGAGAGCCTCGAGGATGTTCGTGATATCAGATATTTGATCGATTCGATCCGCCTCATCGAAGAATGTCACCTGTTAGTTGGTTACGCAAACCATTAGCAAGGTCCATTTCGCAGGATAGGTAAGAAGACTCTTACCGTCGCTTCACTCGTCTCATTCTCTATGCTGTATCCCGACATTCGTTCAAAGCTACGTCGCGGGACGGCGCCAATGCTATAGAGGAACTCGGCGTAGAGCCAGGCTATCCTTCTCTTGCCTAGTGGCCAAGTCAGTGCTTCAGACTTACAATATCAATTCTATCTCGCCAAGAAGGTAGATATGAAAAAAAGGAGATACTGACCAGTCCCATCATTTCCGTGTAAGATCAAGTCTAGGTTTATGCTCTTCACATCTTCCTTCCAGCGTTTGGCAGCATCCACTTTGTCCTTTACAGCAAGGAAATGCGCTTTGATTTGCTCGAGACCAACCATCGACATTAGCCGGTCAAGATGCTCGTTCTTCTCATTTTTCTCTCGCTTTTGTCGCAACCATTCAATCCGGTTAGGTGAGTCATCTAGCATTAAGTCCAGATCTTCATCATCAAACAATGACTCTGACCAGTCCTCAGTTACGGCAACCTGGTCGTTGTTTGGCTCAGCATTGTCGCTACAGTCGCTGCGGACTGTTTCATCGTCATCATCATTCAAAACGCCTCTCATGTTCCCATACGGCATCAATTCCTCGTCCCATGTGCGATGAGACGCCCTCATACGTCGACGGCGACGTCTTGGCAGTTTCTTCGAATTCACGATGGGAGTGTCAAGAGAATGGCCATTCTGAGTATCTGTCCGTGTTGCTTCTGGTGCTTCTGGTGCTTCTGGTGACATTTTATCGATTTCCAATGAATGATCAGGACTTATCGCCAACTTCTCCTCTAGGGTTGTCTCTTGGTTGCTACACTTCAACCCTCCTGGGCTTTCTGTAGTGTCTCCTGGTTTTGCATTCTCGGACATTGTGACGGTGATATCTTTTGAGTCCTCAAACTCTGGGGGTGTCCTTAGACTATCGGCGACCGTTGTGTCCTCTGATAAAGCATCCTCCTCAAGCCCAGGAGGTTCTGAATTTGATGAGCAATTATCGGATTCCTGGGTCGAGCCGTTCCAATTGTCGTTGAAGAGAGTTCTCTTCGACGAGTCATCGTTGTTGGAATCTTTAGCCATCCTGAATGACTCTATCAAGTCAAGCGTAGCTGAAAGGAAGGGTCCTTGGACTGAATACAAGCGTCGAGAGATCTGAAGAGGGATTGGGGATTTTTGGTGTGGTGACGACGCAGCTTGTTAACCCTTCTAAACCTTGTCGTTTGCGAACCGCGCGCCCCAAGGCATAACTGTTAAAATGCCTACTTTAGGGCCAATCTGCGCACACCGCAAGGGGAGACCGTCAGCTTAGACATGCATGATGGTGGAGTGGACGGGGCGGGGGTTCGCCCTATTTGCCGTTGTTGCTTGAGTTAGGCGCTGATGCAGCGAGGTGGTATTGAGTGATCCATGTTATTCTGAGGCGGAGTTTCTTCAACAGGGATGATCCGCCTGTCATTGCTTTGCTATTCGATGTACGTCAGAACGTCAGAAGTTTGTCCAAATACGGATGCTGTTAATACCTGTCAGCTGGAGAAAACCTATCGAGCTTCTTACCCTCCTTTTTTCGCTTAACTGTATCTCTCTTATCGTGCCACTTAGATGTTGCATCAACACCAAAAGTCCCTAGTTTCTTAACTTAAGTTTGGCCCTTCGCCATAAGCACTAATTATTTATGTGAAGAGTTGAAGGCAAAGAAGTTGAGTTGGGAATCATCAACTTTTATACACAATAGGCCTAGAATACGCTGAATAATTACTACGAGCTTGTTAAAGTCATTTCCATATACGTTGCTTTTGTCTCACCCTCAAAGTTTGTCACATTTAATGTCACTTAGCTGGTATCCGGGCTTTCCTAAACTCACTTTCACCATTAGAGGTGCTACGAATGGAAACCCTTTCTGTTTCCCGTCATTGAGCGTTAGTGCTGGCACCAAAATCAAATAGTCTAGGTCGTAAGGAGTCGCCATCCACGCTGAAGTTAGTCAACAGTCCTCGTTCCTTGCTGATGTTCAATCTTGACAACGTAAGGCGGCTTTTTCTCATTTCTCGAATTTATTATCTTTCATTCTAAGCATAGCGAGACGTTTTTAGCAATAGTTAACTCCAATATACAAAAGTTATGCCGAGGCTGAGTTGTTCCTTGCAACAGTTCAGCCACACTTTTGGCACAGCTGAACGAAGTGCAGGGGATCTGCACCGCTGCGCCCCAAAGCCTCTGCAATCTTCACCCACACAAATGTGTTCAAGGGTACGAATAGTGGGTTAGGCATCCCACCAGGCTCTCAGTATCGGAGACTCCATGTTTCAACAAGGAAACCAGGTCGCCCGAATGAGCACATGGTTAGAGGTGAGAACTTTGCTCCATCACACCGTCATCGGCCTCCTTATTGTCGCCCAGGGTCATCAAGGGCACATATCACTGTCGCTTTCAATGACGTATGTGTATACAGCGCTACGTGCTGAGCATCGTGAGATACGACTGCTTAGCCTCGAACCGTCTAAAGGAGGCGATGAGCCACTTCAACTCTCCCTCTATACTGTTCCGCTCGATTGCCCTGGCGGTTACGAAGCCCTTTCCTATACATGGGGCGACACATTACCCAAATTCGATGTAAGGGTAAATGGCTTCGGCTTTCAGATTGGAGGGAATCTGCATTCTGCGCTTCGCCATCTTCGATATCAAGACCAACGGCGGCGGCTTTGGGTGGACGCCATCTGTATTAACCAGGATGACATCCAAGAACGCGAGGAGCAGGTGTCCATAATGCGTGGCATATATGGCACCGCAAGCTCAGTCATTGCCTGGATCGGGGAAAGTGATGGTTCTAGCGACGAGAGGGCGTTTGACTTCATGGATAAGATTTTGGACCAGATACACTCCCGTGTGGTTTTGAACAGATTTTTGGCCGCTGATACCGCCCCAACAAGTTCCGAGTTCAGTTTGGCGATTCACAAGGATAACATGGACTGGATCAGGTCCGTAACTTCGCTAGGCCTTGTGGGTAGCCCTTGGCTTGATCTTCTTCATCTTCTCCAGCGTCCATGGTTCAGCAGAGTCTGGATCATCCAGGAGGTGGTGATGGCGACGGACGTAACAATGCGGTGTGGCGAGCGCACCCTGACCTGGCTCTTATTTCGACTATGTATTCGGTTTGTCAAGCATTATATCGTCACTATCTGGGACTCCAGCGCACCAGAAGACATTCTCAAGCTTGATCTAGACGCATATCGGCATTACCAAAGGTCGGGGGGTGTTATTAGTCTGGAGAAGGCGATAATGCGCATTATCAATGTGGATCAGCTAAGAAGACAGAGGCGGTTAATCGATCTCACTACGACTTGTACACAGCAAAGCAGGCAAGGGTCTTATCTGGCGGCCCCGGTTCTCTTGCCGCCGTCTATCACGCAGCTCCTCGGGATTGAGACTCCAGGACAAAGCATGCCACAGGCAATGACCCATGAGGAACGGGTCTATGCCGCACAGCCGCCGATGGATTTCGAGGTTGGGAGACTGTTGAAGGACTGTTCACTTTACCAACTATTTCGGAAGTTCAGGTCTTGCGATGCAACAGATCACAGGGACAAGGTCTATGCGCTGCTTGGAATTGCAGAAAGAATCCATGGCTCCCACCATGCACTGCCTGTCTCCTACAAGAATTCTGTTGAAGCGGTACTCTGGAATTTGATTTCCAACCATCTTACCTCCACCAAGTCGCTAAACTTCCTGAGTGATGGGTCCGGGTTGTCCGGACCTGAAGGATTCCCGTCATGGATACCATTGTGGTATGAAACACACTTGGAAACTCATCCATATTCGTTTCTATCTGATGCACTCGCCTCAGGCTACAGGGCCAGTGGCGATACCAAAGCACAATTCCAATTTGGAGAAGGAACGAAGCTACTCAAGTGCCAGGGTATGATTGTTTCGACCATCGAGGCCGTTGGAGAAGCCTATGACAGTAACTATGACAATGACAACGTCGATGACCCTGAACGTCTATATGAAAGGTCCATCCACACTAAATGGGCAAAATTGTTGGGCGTTGATGATGTATTCAACAAGGGCAACATACTATGGGATGCGGCACAGCGAGGAGCAATATCCAAACAAGAAAACCAGGCTCGATTCCTGCAGCTTTTATCACGAGATAAAGAAAAAGGGCGGCGGTTCGTCGAGTTTGCCATCACTCTTATGGCTTGTGGGAGTACATATGGTGACTTGATAAACGCCACCACCGTACTCGATGGGAATCAGACCTTTGTACCTTCTTTTGCGCCACATATGGTGTGGCCGCAGTCGACGAATGACAAGAAGCAAGCGGGCCGAATTCGTAACGCGTGCCACCGGCGGAGCATGTTTACTTGCAAAGGAGAGGCCATGTTTGGCCTCGGCCCAGGGAACGCAAAGCCTGGCGATGTTCTTACCGTATTCTTGGGGGCTGATTTGTTGTATGTCCTCCGTCCGGTCAGTGAGCATGCTGGGCTCGCCACGTTCAAGTTAGTTGGAGAGGCATATTGCATTAGTCTAATGAATGGTGAAGCAATCAATATACCGAGGGCGGGGGGAGACCACAATGAGTTTGGAACCCAAACGATCCAGCTTGTATAGACTTCTTGTGTTTCAGTTTTCGAACTCTCATTGGTGTGAACCTAAAACATCAGTTTTCATTTATATTTCCTTAACTTCAATTCGCCTAATAAGTCGTATTACTTAGAGTCGGGCGGATGCCTTATGAATATAACACACTTTAGTCAGTCAAGAAATCCCTCTATTTTCTGGTCCATCTAAAACGCATCAAATACCATTCTTTTCCGCTGAGGCAAGCTTCAAAATATTAAGGCTCGTGGTCGCTATTCTTAAATTGAGCTGGCAACTATGAGATCTGACAGAGGAATGTACTGCGCCACGCTTGGTCTAGTCTGGTCTATTCGCCCCCAGAGGTCGAAGCTGAACAACTATTGCTTGGGCTAATCCTCTCCCGGGGCGGCCCTAAGCGCCAAGATCCAATAGTGGCCTCTAGCTGACAATCATAAAGGGGTTGCGGGGGAGGAAGAGGCGACACAATGAGAGAGACGCATGACACTCACCACAATTCGCTTCGTAAAGGCCTACGGCGTACTTGGGTGGAATACCAAACTTGTCGCCATCCACTGCTGTGCCCTATCGTGAGAGTAGCGACGCCAATATGGTCAGGGGGGCGTATCTCGAGAACTTGCCGGAGCTCGTGAGAGATTCCCGGCTGGAAGCCACGTTTGGGGTCAGCGGGCAGCAGGCGTACACACTTCACCACTCAGCCAGCCATCGAACTCGGGCCGCACAAGAGAAATGGGTAGTTAAGCGGACGTTGGGAGAGGGTGGCCAGGGAACTGTGAATCTAGAGGTTGGAGGAAACGCCAAGTTCCGGGCCGTGAAAAGGTTCGCCATATCGGACAACGAGAAGCAGTCTGAGCTCCATCGACGCGAACTCATTGCGATTTTTAAATTTTCCCAGGCAAGAGTGAGTGCTTCACACAATTAGCAAACTACTGTTACTCATTATTAGATTGATTCCCCTTGAGCTGACCCCACCTACAGTATTCTGAATTGTTTGTCAAATCTTGTGGATGGTATACGAGCGACAGTCACATTCACATTGCAATGGAATATATGGAGTTGGGAGATCTTCAGAAGTATCTCTCAAATACCTCCAAGTGCCGAAACCATCGCCTACCAGAAATCGAAGCCCACTCAATCGCAACACAAGTTCTAGAAGGATTATCGGCAATGCATAAAGAGGGGTTCTCGCATCGAGACCTGAAGCCAGCGGTAAGATATTAGCCTACAGGATTGAACACAAACCCCTAACCCCGTTGTATGTACAGAATATCCTAATCCATAGCCAACCACCCGATCCCTGGTGGGTGAAGCTGGCCGACTTTGGAATCAGCAAGCGCGGAGGAGATATGACTGAATTGACCGCAATAAGAGGAACACCAAATTTCCTACCTCCGGAGCTACTTGGATTTGGCAAGGGTGGGAAGCTAACCCACTCATTCGCCATTGACATGTGGTGTTTTGGGGAAACTCTCTTCAGAATTCTCTCTGGTCGGCGGACCTTCGAGCAGTTGCAAGATGTTGTGAAATACTGCACTGGTCGAACTGCGTTTCCTACGTCCATTCTCCAGAAAGCCGGCGCTAGTGAGAAAGCCGCCAACTTCGTCTCATCCTTGATGCTTGTCGATCCGGAAAACAGGCTGACCGCGAGTAACGCTGGAGAGCATGAATGGCTCCAATCAACAGTGCCGTCAAAAGCCAAAGGTTCTCCTCAATCTCAAGTCGAAACCCCTCAAGCTGTCGTCGATGGAACGCCTTATTCAACTCAAATATCCACTGCTCCATCGGCATATTGGACAGCGGCTCTCCCTGCCACAGGAACCGTGACAACTAGGAAGAGTAGGATAAAAAGTGTGGGAGCAGGTTTTGGCTCAAATGATCTGAAATCTAGCATAAGTACTGAGCCATCAGCCTCGTGGACAGCCGTACTAGGCTCCAGAAGGGTATTCGATGCTACCTCGCGGTTAGTCACGACCAATAAGGCCATCACGAACGGCGGATTAAGGCCCAGCACGAAACCTGGCATGAAACGAAATCCAATCACAAAGGAAAGCGATAAACCATTTCGTGATTTTGCAAGGGATTGGAAAATTTGGATATCTGAGCATCGGAAGAACGCAGATCACAGAATGAGTCCTCGAGCGATCGTGATATCCCCTTACCCCAAGCTTTACCCCGAGGACATCGCATTATCTGTAGGCGATTACATCACTTTTATTGAAAAGCTAGAAGACACCAACTGGTCGGTTGGTGTCAACCAGAATGGCGACAGTGGGACGTTCCCTCATAGACATCTGCGATTCATTGAGGAACTCGTAGCTGAGACGACTCAAAATGGATCCAATATCCCCGTGCTTGACCCTCTACTACTCAAACTCTTTCGCAAGGATCTGAACAAACAAGGATTCACCGAAGACTTTGTCAAGCAGAACGAGGATTTTGTCATTTTCTGGTTACAACAGCAGCAAGGGCGACTGGGGGCAGATTCGAAGGATATTGTTAATCTGTCCCCCGGGGTCCATCGATGTGACAACGATGATGGCGAGGCTACAGTGATCGAAGCTGATTGTCCCTCGACATCGACGCCTACGTTCAAGTCAACTCCTACGCTCGCGTATAATCCTTTAGTTACATCTAAGCCTACGCCTAAGGACACATCTAAGCACAAGCAAGAGGTTATTCCCGAGTCTAAGGGAACAGGAATAACCGTACAAGCTCTTCAAAACTACACAGCGGATCGAGAAGAAGGTCAGTACAGCGCTTCTGCTCCCACAAATTTCTTCCATTAATGAGACCACTCTTTAGAACTTAGCTTCAACACAGGACAAGTCATATCTATTACCGACTTTACGAGAACGTTCTGGTGGATGGGTGAGGTGAACGGGAAAAGAGGACTTATCCCTGTGAATTCCAATTACGTGCGGATACACTCGGGTACACCTCCATCAACTGTTATGAGACTTCCATGATACTTTATTAGACTGTAGATGGTATGTAGTAAAATATAAAAGAATTAAATAAAATGAAAAAAGGGTAAGACAAGATATTTTCTTGGCTGGTTAGGCTACCCTATAGTCACACCCAACTCAGCACAAGTTACATCTTATTTGTCCTGGCATCAATGGTGTGATGCTGTAAATCTGAAGAAAATAATCCCGTTTATTACGGATTCATAATATAATATACGATAAAAAACTGACACGATAATACTCACGAATTTCACGGCCACTAAGTAAGCACCTTGAAGGATGACCACTCCCAACTTTGCTGATATTGAAAATCCCATTTTAGCTTTGTGGCAGGCAACTATGATTTCTCTACAGCGCTCAAAGGAAATGAAATACAACAATGCTTACTCAATGACGAGGAGGAATATGTCCTATTCTCGTCTTGCTACATGTTTGGTTTAGGGCTTCATAAACACAAACAAAGGGAGTATGAGTGAAAGCAAGGCCCTACCGGGATGCAAAAAGATGCAGCCTGGTTGGCATTCTGAGATTGAAACCTTACAAATGTGTTATCTAATGACGAGTGACAGGGCTCACCTTGCCCGGATCCTCCGGCTCATGGCGCCCAGATAGGAGATAGGGGCTCAATATCCCGGAACAAGAGATTGGTAGAGGTACGTTGATAAGTATAGAACTCATAATCTAAGATATTCTCCCTGTTTTGAGATGTCGCGTCTGGTATCTGTTGTTGCTCTTTCTAACTTTATGCTCATACTCTCATCTGTCAGATCCTCTATAAGTTGCGTCATGACTGTTATATCCATGTGAAGGTCTCACTAAAAGATCAAGTGACCAATTCAATGATTAATAATATTACTATGCCGCTATCTGAGAGGTATTATCAATTAATGGCTTAAACGATCGTGATATATATGTGTTTGCAACTCATTAAGCACTGCCGGTTGGCTTTTTGCTTGGAGCAGCGAGACTGCTGGACAGATACGCCCCTTTCCATGGCCCAAGTGCCTGCGCGACAATCACCCACGTGGGCAGCCAGGGTGCAATATACTTGCCCACGAGGCGGAACAACCACCCAGACCAGGCCGAGATGCGCATGATCTTCTGACTGTCTGCAATGAACGAGCGTACTCTTGGCTCGCGCTCCTCGGCAACGCCAGTCAAGAGCTTCTCCACCTCGGAGTTTGAGAGTTTCACGTCATAAACAGGAGATTCATCATCGGAGTCCGACTCTGAAGAGGCTTGCTTGGGTTGCTGCTTCTTCTTTTTCTCCAGCTCGGCTTTGAGACGATCGACAAGCATCAAAACGGACTCGGCGCCTTGTGCACCTCCCTGAGCAAGAATGGGGTTTGCCCTCGCAACAGAGTCACCAAGACAGATAAGTCTTCCGGCCGTCCACCTTCGAAGTGTGTGCATGGGGCAAGCGTGAGTCGTGATGCGGTACGCGTTCTTGTAAACGTCGCCAAAGGTAGTTCCATCGCTGAGCTTGACGTCGAAGTACTTCTTGCAGATCTCGGCGCCTTGCTCCTTCGTCCACTTTGGGATCTCAGCCGCGCTCTTGCGGCCGGGTGAGTTTTCATCCGTGACCTTGAAGAACAGGAACCAGAGGGCTTCGCCATTCTGGCCGCCGAAGAGGCCGATGGTCATGTCCTGTGAGGAGATCTGGTAAGCGTAGTCGGTTCGTAGATCGCCAGTGTTATGGGACAGTCCAAACACGGCGCCAAACTCAGTTGTCATGTCTATGAAAAGCATCAGATCGCTGTACCTGTTATGTGGGAGATTCAAACGGGATCTGGAATTGGCATCCTTTCTCACCTTCACGCTGATCACCGACGAAAGCCTTGGGGTCTGTCTCTTGAGCCAAGCGCCACATCTCGGATCGGACGATGCTGTGCGTGCCATCAGCACCGATGACCACGTCGGCATCGCGAGTTTGGCCGTCCTCGAAATGTAACCTCACTCCCTCCTCGTCCCCAGGGAGCTCTTCGATGCGTGTAACTCGTTGCGAGCCATGCACCTTGGCCTTGCCCTCGGCGCTCAGGTTCTCGTGGAGAATACGCAGCAGCTGTGATCGCTTGAACGTCGCGATGCCGTAGCCCGTCTGGGCGTGGATAGCCTCGGCAACATGATGTGTGAACATCGGCCTGCCATTGCCGTCACGGCACGATAGGGTACGCAGCTCCTCTGACTCGGCCAGGACATGGTCCAGAACACCCAGCTGGTCCAGTACGCGCTGAAAGTTGGGGTAAAGGGCAATGCTGGCGCCGACGTCGGGGTTGACGTCCGGGTAAGCCTCAACGAGGAAAAAGTCGATACCGACGCGGTCGAGGGTCAGAGCGGCAACGAGGCCGGTCATCCCCCCGCCCACAATGGCGACTTTGAAAGGGGTAGACATGTTTCAAAACGTGGATGGATGCGACACAATGATCGGGGTAACAGTTGGGCAGCAGAGGATAAAAAAAAAACAAAGAACCGCAAAGAAGTCAGCTTTGGAATGGGGTTAGCGTATCACCCAACAGAGGGATCGACACATCAAATAGAGTGTAGATTCGGGGTCTCGGGCATTGGGCCTTCGCGATGGGAATGGAATCAAATCACCTGATGCCCAATGTAGGAAGCACCCCGTTCGTTCCACTGCGCTGGGTTGCCAGCATGTGTCAGGGACGAAGCCAACCACATGGTAGATGAATCATGCTTGTCTGGCGCTATTGCTTCCCATCCCTTGCCATCCCCAAAACTCGGTGCCGCTGGAACCCATCGTTATCTCCCCGGCGAGCTTCTAGCCCGAATAATGTTAGTTCTTCTATATGCCTGCAAGGTGTGTTGTAGGCCTCCAGGGTCAGGGATCAGAGAGGGGAGACAATTTCGCCATCGGCGAACTGAGTTTCTGGACTAGCTCGTTAATATCTCTGTGACAACTTGATCAAGGAGGTCCCTTCCAAGGTAAAATTCAGTTTCAATCATACAGACTACAAGAGCATCTGGGCCTCTCCCTCAAAACCGATTTACTAGACAATTGTTGTGTTCAAGTAACCAGAGTGATGTAGGTGTCCCGACAATTAGGAGAGAAGATGGGTAAAATTAACCGAAATCCCCTGCTGCGACCCCTGGTGCTCTCCTATCACGTAATCGGAGACCTCCCTATTCCCTACAAGCGCTGTTTCGTGATCTGGATTACCCACTCTCTGGTTCTTGGTAACCTCTAGTCTGTGACAATTTCTCTCCCCGGGTCGAACCCCCGCCGTAAGCTCCGAATAAGGTCAAGATTGACTATGGAAACCCTTTACGACCCTGCCTTTACCCACGAGTTTGGTTACTGAACCCAAGTTGCGGGTCGAGATGTGTGAAAATTTGCCGCACATCTCGGCACTCACTACGAACTATTGGACAATCCGTTGCTAGTGGTCTTAATGCGTAGGCAAGGACAGGCATTCAACGGTCAGTAGACCGAAAATAGTTAGAAACGTTGGCCTCCCACTCTTGGTCCCAAGCGGCGCGGAACTAAACTTAACGGAAGTACGGTAGCAACCGCCCTCATATTCAAGATCCACCCCTCCTCAACCTTGAATGTGGCTGCGAGCTTTCTTCTATTTTGCTTCTTCCTCGCAATGTTCTTTGCCTGCAGTTGCTTTCTTTCTGTTACTTGGTGAAAGCGTTCCTGTTACATGCAACCACCATGGAGCAGCTATTCCCACCGGACAAGTCGCCATGGCATTGGGTACCCATGCCATTGAAACCTGAGAGTGCCGGCTTTCTTGCGACAAACAGTGTTTTTCAAGCACTCGTCTTTGCTGTTGTCGGTTTACGTTTTTACTCGCGGCTCTCTACAAAAACTGTTGGATGGGATGATTGGTGGGTGTTGATAGCCACGGTAAGTTTCGAGAACGGCTTCATAATTGTTGATTCACTGGCTCGCCTCGGAGAATTTCTAGCTGACGATTGATTCTCGATGGCTAGTTTCTAAGTATCTGTACTTTCATTACTTCAATATGTGGTAAGTCTTGATATTATTATCGTCTGACGAAAGAGTCCGGCTCGCCTTTGCAATCTACTCGACAGCTAACATCGCACCCGCGTAGCCAACATCTTGGGATCCGGTTACCTTGTTGAAGAAGTCATCATTAATTTGTCAAGCTTCTACTTGGTAAGCCAATCACTAGAAGATGCCAAGTGAGCTGTGTTCCTATTCGTTCTAACCACCTATAGCTGATTTTTATTCTCCAACCGCTCTTTCTATTCGCTATCATGTCTACAAAACTAAGTGTTTGCTTCTTCTACCTCCGTGTATTTGTCAACAAGAGCATGAGAATTGCCACCTTTGTCACCATGGGCCTCGTCGTGGCTTGGGCCGTGGCGCATTACCTCGCGGCCGTCTTTATCTGCACGCCTGTCGCGGGACAATACGACCTGCGCCTCGCCGCTGTGGTCAAGTGCGGTGACCAGATGAAGTTCTTCCAGTCTGGTTTGAGCATCAACGTCGTCCTGGATGCGATTGTCATCGCTCTGCCCCTTTGTAAGTTTGCCTCGACACTGACTAGCTCGTCAGGAATGCTAACCTTTGAAACCCTAGGGACTATCTGGAAGCTCAAGATGCGCAAGTCGGATAAGGTCGGTCTGTTTATCGCCTTCTCTATTGGTATCGCTATGCTCGTCGTCAGCATCATCCGCGCCGAATACGTGACGACAACATCCTTGAAGGGCGACCTCACTGCCACGCTGCCGATCAACCTCTTCCTCACCGTCTTCGAACAGCAACTCGCTATTATAACCATCAGCATCCCCATGCTGCGGCCCCTGTGGAGGAGATACCGTGCCCGTGTTGGCGGCTACAGCCTTTCAGAGGAGGGCGGAAAGGGCAGCGGCTACTCGGGACCCAGAGGCGGCAGCAAGAGCAACGATATCGTTACGTTTGGTGGGTCTGGTGCCAAAGCCTCTGCTGGATCGAAAGGACGACGCGGCAAGAATGACAGCGTGCTTGACGCTGCCGTCGAGCTTCGTAATGTGCAGCACAAGGCCAACGTCAACGGAAGAAGCGATGGGGAGAGCTGGGTTGCAGATGACTCCGGGTCGGAGACTAGACTCGGCGAGTGGAACAGGAGCCCGGGTGCCATCAACGTGCAGACCGAATGGACGGTATCACGGAAGTAGGATGAGCGTGTCATAATAGTTGGACTTTTACATCTGATTTAGCGAGTATTCTATACTTTGGGCGAGAGCAATTACTCGATAGGTAAAGGGAAAACACCCCATTGAAGCCTGGTCGCCTCCTTGGGTGATCGGAAGACTGTCATTTAGTATAATCCCGAGATTCCAAACGGGTTTCGTATGTCTTCAGAGACCTTGACTACTACTTTACCGACTCACTGATCGTGCAGTTATGTTCGGCCCCTCGCAGCTCGTTATTGAATACCTTAGACGACGACCATTAGTATAGGGAGAATAAGCCACTGCATCCTCCCTTTTCGAGAGGTAAGCACCAGGGGGTATGTGTGGGTTTTCGTCAGAAGGGGAATAACAAGGCGAGCAACTCTTCTCTCATTGGGTCAAGCCATTTGTAGCACGTCTGCCTGCTTCTTACCCCTCCGCGACCCTTGCAAACAGCTGACATTGGTGAGACCGTTGCAAGCACATAGAATGGCTCTGGAGGTGTCTACTTAAGTAGATTTGACGTCCTCATATACCATCTCTTACTCTCCGACACTTGATTTTCTTCCCAATCTAAGGAGAAGATCATTCTGCTTGTCTCATATGAGACCTTGCAATTAAAAATGGCCAAACATGATCGACCAACCGGTCCGAGTGACCCTGCCGATCTCGAAATCCTAAACGCCTTCAATAGCGAGCTCAATTACGTTATCCAAAAAGATCGCAACAAATCATGCGCACCCGGAACAGGCGATTGGTTCTTCCACCACCCTCTGTATGAGGAAATGCAGAATGCGCGCGGCTCGCGATTATTGTTCGTGACAGCCGAGGCCGGAGGGGGGAAGTCGACCGTTATGAAAACTCTTGTCGGCCGCCTTCTCGAGCCTAGTGAGCCTGTGCTTACCACCTATTTCTTCTTCAAGGATGACGCGGATGATCTGCGTAGCTATGGGAAGGCTCTTAGTAGCTTGATATATCAGCTTCTTGTCCAAGAAAAGAAATTGGTGAAGCACGCTGGGGAGGCGCACCAGATATATGGACATGGTATAAAGAATGATACCAAGGCCATGATGGAATTATTGTCGGTCTTATCCCAAAAAGCCGAGAAGGACGTTTATTGTATCCTTGATGCAGTGGATGAATGCAAAGCCATCGACAGAAACCAATTGCTGGCTGATTTGAAGTCACTATTCTCTACCGTTGAAAACTCGGCGTCGAGGCTCAAGTTTGTTGTCTCCTCGCGGCCATACCAAGACGAGAACCACCAATATGCTGATCTACTAGCATCTCCCTCCCATATGATCGGGCACTTAGCTGGAGAAAATGCCAAGGTTCAATCGGAGATCTTCAAAGTCATCCAGTTCAAGGCGCAAAAGCTGGCTGAGCAGCGAGGGCTGGATCACGCGACTCAGACCATGATGGTGGAAAAGCTGTTCGCACAAAATCGACACACAAGATCGTTTTTGGCTGTACAGATGGCCTTTGAACTTTTAGATTCACATCATCGAATGCACAAGGGAGCTGGAGAACGTACAGTCAGCACAATTCTGTCTGAAATTCCTCAATCGCTGGGAAGCAGATTCGATGCGCTGCTTGACAGAAGTGCTAACAAGGAACATACATGGAGATTACTCTGTGTCATTCTTGCCGCTCGAAAGACCCTCAAGATTGACGAATTCAAGGTGATATATGCCATAACTGAACCGAAGGACTCCTCTGTCAGTAAAGCACAATCACATGATGATTTGGAGTTGCCCTCCGATGACGGCGAGTTCAAGCGGCTTGTGCGATCAAGATGTGGACTATTCATAACTTTTGTCAAGAATTCCGTCCATTTGTTTCACCAGACTGCCCGAGAGTATTTGATCGAACGCATGGATCAATCACCAGAATACGCGCCACCTCAGTTCTTGCAAGCGGCATCTGGGCTTGGCCCGAGTGACAAGTCCCCATGGAAAGGTTCCATCTCACTGTCGGATGCAAATAGAGCCTGTGCCTCGATGTGCTTGGATATACTCAGCTTTGTGGTGCCGAAGAAACTACCCTTTGAAGTGTAAGTCAAACTTCGTCCTCCGTTTTGCTCCCATGAGACTAACCGCCTGCGCTTCCATTGACACAGATTCGATAACTTAGAAGCCGGAAATAAGATAGAAGAGGACTTCACGGATAACCACATAGAAGGTTTTGCAGGTTTCATTTCCGCCCGCCCGTTTTTCACTTACGCGGCTTGCAACTGGCATGAACATGTTTCACTCGCAGGAGACTCTGGACTTCAATTGCTCAAAAACGAATCATACAGCGCTATTTTCGATATCAGCAAGCCACAATTCTGGGCTTGGTTCCTCGCCTTGGCAGATTGTGTTTGCTCAAGCACCGTGAAAAAACGGCCACCCGTCTCACGGATCTGGTCGAAAGACAATGCCGAGGTTAAAATACATTTTGGAGGGTTTTTGAGGGATAATTGTCTGAAAAATATCTTCCCGATGGATGAAAAACTGAAAGCCTTGCTCGATGGATCAGGCCAGTTTGTGTCAGGCCAAAGGTAAGTTCTATTTGTCTCTGGGAGTGAACTCATGCTAATGTGAATGATAGAGCTCACCAAGACCAAATCACTTGGAAGGCATCTGACGGGTTTCATTTCATTGATAGATTCCATCTGGCTAATGGAGACTACGAATACACCAGCTCAGTGAGAGCAGTTGAGGCTTTCGAGAAAGGCGATGCGGAACGAGCCTCTGTGCTCTTAGCCAAAGTCCCTCATCACACATTGATCTGGACTGCCATCACCACTGGCGCGCCCGCGGCCCTGCGAGGAGCACTTGATAGTTCCAAAGATCTCTCATGGCTCCAAATCGTACCTGACCACATCCTTTACAAGCGCAAGAAAACCGAGGGCTGGTCCAGCTGGAACGGAAAAGACTTGAGAAAGTCACGAGAGGGCGGATGGAAAGGAGAATGCCCTCCTAGCTTTGTCGTCATGCTGAGAGTCAGCATGCTGGATGCCAGCATCATGGTGTTTGCGACTCTCGCGGACTGGATAGACCGGCAGGCAGAGAAACAGCTCTATGCCCGGCAGTTATGGCAGGCTGGAGGTTTCATCATTCCAACACTCTCTTCCCGATTGGTAGCATCAGGAGCCCCGATAGACTGTGATGTGTGGGAAGATGGCACAACTGGCCTCCATGTTGCAAGCTCTTTCTGGATGCATGATGCCATCCAAAGCTTGGTGCAGAATGGTGCAGATCCTACAAGGCTTACTCCCAAGGGCTACAACGCACTTCACTGTTTCTTCCAGCATACAAAACTCCCACGGGAAACCTATGAGTCAAACCTTGAAGGGGAACAAGGTACTTACTTCTTCAACAAGGCTCGAATTAACAAGTCAATTGATGCCATCACTACGGGCAATTTCACCAAGGAATCGCTCCTCAGCCGGCAATGCCATGAGGGCTTCACACCTCTTATGTGCGGAGTGCGATCGACCAGATCATCTGGTACAGCGATAAAGCGCATCCTGGACCACGGTGCGGCTCCAGACAAAATAGATGAAAAAGGTCGTACTGCGCTCATGTACTTCTTTTTCGATGGCGAGGAATTTGTGGACAAGGACACTTCTATTCTTAAACATCTGCTGCACGCTGGCGCAAGTCCTCTTACCTTGGATATGTCAGGAAACTCCGCGCTGAGCTATTGGGCTGTTACCACTGCTTCGGTGAATCTGGATTATCTTTCCGCTGGGTTCAACACCTACAACAAGAGTTTTCATGCCCTTGCAAACTACGGAACGCTGTCATTCCAAAATCTTGCAGCAGAGCTGAATAGGATCAAAGTTCCGCTTGTGATTGCTTCTCGGCTCGGCAACGTTCAGCTATGCTCAGCTCTGCTTGCTGGAGGGGCGGATCCAAACCAAAAGGGTGACGCATATGCTTCGTTCTTCCGTGGCCTCAGAGGAAATAATCCTGATGAAGAGCCTGAAGAGAACGAGAGCACTGTGGAATGGAATCCGCTGCTGACCGCACTGCAATGTCGGGCGTATAAGACTGCTGCAATGCTCATCGACCACGGCGCTGACATTAACTTCGAATTGCAGAAACGCAAGAGACGCAGACACAATTATTATTACTTTGTACAGGGAGGGGGCACACCTCTTCATCTTGCAATTGCCGGCCGAGAAAAGAATTGGGCTAGTGTTCGCAACCGACCGAACCTCTCCCGGGACGGCGGTGACAACCAAGCCTGTTTTTTCCGTGGAGCAGTGAGCCATGAAAGGGATGAGGCTTTGAAGATGCTTGTTCTCATGCAAATGCAGTATTATAAGGACCCTCGTGACCAGGACGAGGAAGATTCAGATGTAAGGCGAACTACAATCATTTTGTGATACCACTGAATTGCTAACATGCCATAGCCTGAGTGCGAGATAAGACGGCAGATGTACTCAAATGATAGTCGAGGTGCAAATCTACTGCCATATGATCGAACCCAGCAAGGTTTGAGTGTCCCTGCAAACAAATGTCTTGCTGAAATCGTGACTGGGACTTCCTCATTAGAGCAACAACAAGAGGCTCTGGTGAGATATATGCTTTCGAAAGGCGCTTCAAGCAACGCATGTACGGTAAGCGGATTGAGTCTTCTTATGCTTGCTGTGGAACAGAATCTCTTGAACATTGTGGAGATTCTTTTGGAATACGGCGCGGATCCGAATGTTGCAGAGGTTGGAGGTGTTACTCCTTTAATGGCGGCTGCGATGCACAATAAACCTGCCATTGTTGAACGGTTATTAAGAGCAGGGGCCAATCCCAATGCGCAGCTGGACGTGAGGGATCCTCACAAATGCAAATGCAGAACATTCATAGGTTATTATAGTTCGAGTCATGCAACCTGCGATGGTCCGTATACTGCATTGGCACTGGCTGTGGCGTGGGAATACAAAGAGGTTGTCGAGCTTCTACTCAAGCACGGCGCCGATCCAAATCTGAAGATTACGCACCACGCCCATGGAAGACTACCGACGAAGCAGGACATGAAGCGGAGGAAAGACTCGCCGAGTTCGTCGGATGACGAGTCGGAATCAGAGCCAGAGGAATGGAAAGGGTACGTTTCCGTCGGTACTGCTCTCACATGGGCCAAGGCGGAAATACGCGATATGCTTCTGAGTCACGGCGCAAGACCAGGAGAGGGAGATGTCACAAGAGAATGCGGCTGCATCATCGAACCACAGCCCGAGCGTCTCCCATGGGTGTTTACAGATGATGAGGAGATAGAAGAAGACTAGAGGTTTAGTATGCACATAAGTTTGCGTATAGACCAATGGAAAGAAAATAGGGATTTTTAGTGGAAGCTCGCTTCATAGACACAGGAGGCGAGAATAGTCGTGCAAATATTGGGAGGCTCTTGGACTTTGTCTGACTGAGAAAAAGCTTCCGGATTCTAGAGTAAATAGATTCTGTGGGTTGCAAGTCTCTTGAAAACATTTATAAAAGGGCACACATGTTATTTACTCAGTAACGGTGACATCTCTTCACAGTTGATTAAGCAAAGATAACACAAGCGACCGCTACATAGAATGCAATTACCAGACTAGTCTTCCCTAACTTTCCACTATATTTGTATCCGCCGCCATCTTCTCCCGAGAACTCGGCCCGTTTGCAAATTCATTTTTGTTCATGGAGAGCAGATTCTGCAAGGCAGCCTTGTAGCGAGTGGTGCCGGTACCTGTGGATTTGGATCGGCGCCGTGCTTGAGTAGAAGCTCGACAACCTCTTTGTATTCGTGGCACTGTAGATTCATAGTTTAGAAACGATATCAACCGGTGTCACTAAACGTTTTGGAATGCTAGGGTCTAATCTATAGTAAGATCTATATATTACAAAGAAATGTGTGCTCTAAAAATGCCTATACCACGGGGTACGGTTAAAGACAAAAGATAGAAGTCAAGGCTCTAGCATTGCGGTCTCAGCTTCCAGGCTACACTCTGAGTTGTGGCAGTAACTGTCAGCTGGGCTGTCTAGCTGTCAATATTGGGAAATTGTCGCCGCGATGATACCTTGAACCCCTCTTCAGACCTGTCCTGCTATCCCTTGCCCACCTGAAAAAAAGAGTGTTGGGCTAAACAATGTGCTTCTCCCCCTCTCTTTTCCTCTTACCCCGGCACACTCTCACATGATATATACGCCTTGTGAGGCAGAACTAGATGCAGATGTGGCAGCCACGTCCACTCAACCCTGGTAACCCCCCACAAACAGTGTTGTACTCATGCAGAGAAAAGAGAAAACAGCAGGATTCTCGCAAGATTATTGGTCTTCCACTCTACACACCTGTGAGCCCTCAGGCAACAGGCAGTCTGATGCTGCAGCCACGCACAAACTCGCAGCCAGCCCACCCTTTCGCTGTATGAAAGGACCAATCTGCCTAGCACAGCACACAACGGTTTTATGATGAGAAATAGCCGGTTTTGCGCATTCGAGGTCAGACAAAAGGAAACATGCACTTGTGTGCCCGTGTTCGTTGATCCGTAGCCATGGCTGACGTGTATTATAAGCGGCCATAGTTCCCTCTCGTATTGCAGCGCACCCTTCCAATCATCTTTCCAAACTACACCTTCCCGACTTCCGCTGGTGGTTCCTCAACACCAGCACGTTCCGATTTCCACTCTGGCTCCCTTCCCCGGTGACGTCGGCTCGCCCGGCCACCCTCAGCGCGTCTTCAATCCGTCGCCCACGCATTCCAATAGTCTAAACCATTATGGTGGCGTAGGATTTGGTGATCTTCGCGCCTCAGGGTGGATCGAGGAAAGAAGATGTGCTGATGGTGGACGCGGCCCAGAGACCGACAACGCTGCCATTTGTGACCACACACCCAATTCTCCTGTACCTAGTGGTGAGATTGATTTAGAGCACACATGGGCTTGTCCGTTTTTCAAGCTTGACCCAATAAAGTACGCTGATTGCCTGGGGAAATATTCTTTCCGAAGGATTCATGACGTAAAGCAGCATATACTCCGCCGGCACGCCATGGCAGAGTATCATTGCCCCAATTGCTGGGAAGAGTTCTCCCATCATCCGCCCTGGGAAGAGCATACCCGGAACATCAACTGCTATCCCACACTTGGTCCAGAGAATCTCAGCCAGCAGGAGTGCGAGGCTCTTAAGAAGACCCGTTTCCCACCAGGCCTTGATGACAAGCAGAAATGGTACCTGATTTGGCAACAATTGTTCGCCATATATCCACAGCCTTCCTCACCCTATGTTAGGAATACTTTCTGTGAATTCAATGAAATCATGCGTTCGTATTCAGTCTCGCTTCTGGAGGAGAGGCTCCCAGAAATGCTCGAGCGACATGGTCCCAACTCTATACCTTTGCTCATCAACGAGATTATCAACTTGAGCCATCCCATTCCATCGGAAATAATACCAGCACGGCGTCGGCAACAACCCCCCGATCATCAGATCCCTCTTGGCGGCAATCCTATCGGTGAACCAGTTCAATCTTTCGGTGGCCCGGATTTCTCGGTTTCAGTTCACAGTAGCCCTGCAGACCAATTTCTGTATGCTACCACGAATGGTGAACCTTCGGGTGAACGAAACTCAATGCAGCTACAGGACAGCGATGCTCTATCTCAACTCAGCCCCGAGGATTCTTTTCCTACGCCGCAGTCTAGTCAGGGACAAGACTGGTCGTCTCACACGCTGGAACTATCTTCAATGGATTCTCAATTGGAGCAGTTTAACTACAACAGTGTCGATTGTACAATGACCGACACACCTTTGGAGCCCACATTCACTCAGTACTTGTGAATGTGCTCTATACGTTTTTACGAGGCCAAACTCGCCCGGGCTTCTGCTACCAATCTCCCTCAGACTGGTTGTCAGAAGATACGCCTGTTGGTGGGCGGTCTCGGCTCAATCAGAAGCTTCGTGCTTCTGGCGGACTAGGCTAATGATTGAAGAAATCCCGCTGGGATTTTCTCCTTCGCAAGTCAAAGTCCTACATGTCTCACCCAATACGTTATTCGTCTCTTGCTTTTATTTGGGCTTCACCTTTCCTATATTCCAACTTTCATCAAATAAAAACACAAAAACACGGGGAAAATACAATGTAATCTTCACCAAAAAATGTGGAGTTAATGGAGGAGGACATGACCTCTCTTAGATAGAAACCACAAGGCAGGCGACCACAGTAGCCCTTTGCCGTCCTCACGGACAGACAGAGTTGTTTTTCTTTACAAAATATTAACTAAAGTCATTCGCTTAAAGCAAATTTCTCCTCTTGCCGGGATAACTACAAATGTGGTAGACTCCAGCATCGTAGCCTACATCGTACTGACTGTAGGTGCTGACGTTTTAGGTGAAGCCGCCATTTCAATTAATCACATTCAATTAATCACATGGAAGATTTCTATGATACAAGTAATGCATGTAAAGATTACAAAATGGTGCCCTGGTCCTCTAACAACGAATCTACCTCTTGTAGAAGCAGGTCCCCTCCAAGTTGGGTGTACGAGGTGTTTGGCTCAAAGGGTATCATATTCTCCATCCAAGAAAATTGCGATGCTTGATGAGGTGACGAAACCTTCACAAGGCTTAGGGGCCCGATGTAAGGTATCAAGAAGGGTAGACCATCGTCGCTTCCATCCACCAACATGTAATGACCTCCGATGGCGGCATCTGCTTCTATCTCTAGCAATTTCTTGATCTTGAGCCCCCTAGCCTCTGACTTGTAGAGCAAATTGATCAGCTTCAGCATCTCATGCACTAAATCGATATCTTGAGGGCGCAGATGCTGTATGTCGTTGTCACAGTTGTAACGGTGTGCTTGGATGTGAGTCAAGAGGAGCATGATGGCAGCCGAGATTGCTTTTGAATCTGTACCACGATAAATGTATCCGACATGGTAGTTCCGCATCACGACAAATCGCGACAGCACTTGCCGACAAGCTGTAGCAATAACGGCACCGCTGTATGGGTTCTTCTCCGAGGGCTCGGCGGAGCGTAACTGCGTGATGATGAAGGGCATGTGGATTTGCATGAGAAACCAATAATGGTTGAGCTGAGTGGCTATTTTCCCCGTCTCAGACATCACTTCGTCGTCCTCCAGATCCCGGAGAGAAGGCTTGAAAGACCACCAACCCGCTGGCAAGAAGTTAATCTCGGCTCTCATGGTGTTGTCCATCTCGCGCGCCTCCTCGTCGTAGACTGGTAAGGCATTGCCTTGCTCAAAACGCGTGTTCCGCTCGATTATCCGGCATCCAAGCACCGAATGAGCATACTCCAGTCTTGAACTGGGATTCTCATCAGGAGCCACCGAAATGGAGTCTGATACACCAAAGTACGGAAGCCCGAGCTCAAGAGACATGATACGGTCACCATAGACCAGCCGAGCCATGATTTGGTCCATCTCCCACCCCGGATGCTCTATCACCATCAGCTGGGCTATTGATAAGGCTCGGCGGCACTTGAGCCAGGCAGCTTTCGGTTTATTGTCGTTGACGTAGTAGATGGCTTCTAGCATCAAGGTCTCGATTCCTTCCGTCGACTGCATATGGAGGTCCATGGATGAGATGTGGCGCGAGACGATCTCAACGTATCGCGCTGCACTGCCGCTCGTATCCTGGGCATCCTGCAAGCACAGCGCTAGTTCCATGAATTTACGGCCATACAAGACCGGGTGGGCTGAGACAGGTGGAAAGCCCTCGTCGCGCGGCGATGGGGAAGTCTCGGGCCAGAGGATCTTGTGAGGCATGTGTGAGGACTTGGTGTGAGAGAGGATCAGCGCGGATTCCGCAGGCGGCGGCAGAACAGAGCGCAGGTAAGTGGTGATACTGATCGAAGTGCCTCGGGGAGACCGAGGGCATGCCACCGCAGAACCGAGCTCAGCTGCTGCTGCTGTGTCCCCCAAGCGTCCTCCCTGATGGCGCTTTTGCTGCAGCAGCAAGGTGACGAGGTCCTCGATGTGGTTCACACGTTCAGTGACTTTCTGCTGCCCGATCTCAGGTTCACGCCCTTGGCTTAGACACGGCAGGCCGCGACGTCTGCACGAATTGCATTCGGCTGACAGGGGCTGGAACTCGCACCGTCTCTTGCGGCGTTTGCATTCCAGGCAGCTGAATGTGCCCTTTCGCAGCTTGCGGGCTCGCATGTTTCCTGTGTCACTCGACGAAGGAACCTCCATTTCGGTCTGCCCTTTTTTTTTTGTTTACATATGATGCAAGTTGGATAGAGTGGTCTTCTTCAAACGGAAGGCCAGCAGTTCCTCTCATTTGGTTTGAGGCCGCGGCGGTGGACGAGAGCTTATCTCCGGACCACCACAAGCCGTGCCAGACTCAACTCTCCTTGGCATGCTGCCAATGGATGAGCTAAGCAAGTCACGCTGCTGCCCAGAGCTCGTCCAAGCGCGTCTGGGATGTAAGATGATGAAAAAGGCACTGTCGTGCGGGTAAAGTGTCAAGAGCGTGTATGCTGAGGCTGAACATCCTTGTGCTTTGCCTTAACGAAGCAGCAGGACCATCACAAAAAATTACACATAGCATCCCCAGTGGCGTCTGTTTTCTCGTTTTATTACTGGAGGTGCACTAAAAGAACTTTGACACAATAGTCCATCCTTTCGTGTAAGCTTACAGGTAATACTGTCCGAAGTACGAACCGAGCCATCCAATAATACAACACTGCATTGACTGCATGCTGCCTGTGTCTCTACCTGTAACATCTACCGTATGCAGATGATACAGTAATTACTCACTGATAGCTTTTGGGTCAGAACTTCTGGCGCCGTTCCCTTCCATCCCCTCTCACACCACTTCCTCACCACCTCATCGCATCAGTTTCAGCATCCAGTCTACGGACTCGCAGTCGCTCGAAGATGGCAGCAGACCCGTTTTCCGCTGTCCCATATGAGATTGTCGCTCATATCCTGAGCTTTGTCCCACGGCCTGACCTCCCGACTGTGTGCCTGATCAATCAATCACTTTGCCGCTGTGCTGAACCAATTCTCTGCTCTGACATCACCCTTGAATGGACTCATCAGAGGAAATCTCCGCCTATTATTCCTCTACTACAGAAGCTTTTCCGCAGGCCAGAGCTATTTGACTGCATCGATGCTGTCTCACTGACCGGCGATGATTTTGTTGGGAGAGACCCCTCTCCCCCTTTGACGGCCACGGAATCTACAGTAACCGAGTTTGAACGCATCATCAAAAGCTTCGACGCTCCATTTGCTGATGCCTGGGTTGAAAAACTCCGGGAAGGCAGCATGGACGCCTTTGCTGCTCTACTGATAGCGCATCTCTCCAAGGTCCGCCGCCTCACAATCACAGACAATTATATCCGCCGGCTTGATCTCATCGGCAAAACCCTCCAGTCAAAAGCCATCGGACAGCATCTGCCCAGATTTGAACGGCTGAAGCTCATCACCTACTTCCACGGGTTTGATTATTATGCGCCCGCGCCCCCGCACAGGTCCGATGAAGTCATGGCTCTCTTTCATGTACCAACAGTCACCCACCTGGCGGCTCAGATGGGCAGCACTGAGCTCTTCCACTGGCCCGCAGGAGAGCCTGATCTCGGGTGCTTGACCTCCTTAGACTTGGAAGGGTGCTGCGCAACTTTTATGGCAAAGATACTGGCCCTGACTCGGAGCCTAAAGTCGCTTTCCTGGCGATGGGAATATGCACCTGAGACTGACGATCCTTGGATGACTACGGATCTCGACTTGGACGAAATCATTTCGGCGCTATCATACGTTAAAGACACCCTAGAGAAGCTTCAGTTCAGAATCACTGTCTACAGTGGCTACAGGCGTGAAGGTGAACCTGCCATGGATGTCTCGGGGTCGTTCGGCGGTCTTGTCAACTTTAACAGGCTGACCGAAATCGAGGTACCGTTGGCATGCCTTGCAGACTTTGGAGCCCAGCCCCAACCTCTGGATCGACATGTCCCTCGCAGTGTTGAGATACTTTCCCTCTCCACAAGTATGCTCTACAATGAAGGAGTTCTCTGGATCCCGGATGATGAGTGGCCAACGGACCAGGATGTTGTGCAGCTGCTTCAACAATTAGTCAAGAGCTACCCGACCAAGCTGCCACAGCTACGGCTTGTCAAGATTATTGACGATATTTCGTGCTTTGAAAATAGACAGTTTGACGAGATGCTGGCAAACACCCCTTTGGATATAGATATCGAGGTTGTGCGCTCCATCTCACCGCTTTGGGATATCTCTGTATAGTTTGTCATCTCTTTTAAATATGTACAATAAGATGATTACATTGTTTAATGAATGTACACTCAAAATGCAAAAGAAATACAGCCAATCCAAATCCCCTTCACCAGGCATTACTGATTCCCCCTCTTCGTCTTAGACGAGAGCTACCGCCTTTCCTTAGACTTCTGCCGAACAAATTTCCAAAGCCCTCATCACCAGAACCATCTGAAGCACCTCCCGGGCTGCTTAGTTGTTGTTTATTAGCATCCTCCTTAGCCTTTTTCCTTGCATTCGACCTTGCCTTCGTCATTGCATCCCTAGCATCCCCCAATTGTTTCCTTTGCGCTCTTTCTTCGTCCGAAAATTTGGGTACAGGGGGGTCACTGTTGTTGGGATCTCCAAGGGGTCGCTTTTTCTCCTTCTTGAAATTGCCCAAGTTAAAAGAGTCGGCGATCTTGGTATGATCTGGTACCACCCTGTATCCTGCCTTTCTCATAACCGTATCACAACCTCCGCTATCTGGAGCACCCTGTGTACCTGGTTTTACCTGTTCATGTCCGATATTAGCTATCTTGGAAAATTAGTCAGGGCAAGGATTGTGGACTTACACCATTGCAAGGAGCGTGAATAACAATATTTTTGGCCTCTCCGGGGTTTCTCTGGCCTGCATTTTTCTGCGTCTGATCCTTCTCTCCCACTGTGACGACCATGGGCTTCATCCTCGACCTATGCGGCATATCATGCGGATAGCACTTCCCATGAAGACCCATCACGCCAAATTCGCCGCACTTGGCTCCGTTGAAGTGCTCTGGGTTTGATCTGTCCTTCCATTCCGGCTTACTTTCCTGGAGGTAATGTGCGGGCATTTCCTGCTCTTTCGCGACACCCTTTCCTCCTGCTTCGGAGGTTGAAATCATAATCCTCGCGTGGCCCCTCTTTGGGTTGAAGTACTCTGCAGTCGTGACACCTGGAACATTATGTGCCCCGTGCTTTTCCCGCCACTGTTTGTGTGCTTCCACGGCAATCCTGGCAAGCTCTCCATGAGTCGGCCCCGGTGTGCCCTTTCCCAGCCTGAGGACGGAGGAGTAGAGAGTTCCACCGCCGTCGTTTTTCACGCTGTAGTCCCGTTGCATACCAAGATCAGGGGCCTTCCATTCATTTCCGCTGTTGCCGCTTGGCCCCGCTACAGTTGCTGGTTGCGATGTTGCTAGGCCACAACCCGAACCCCCTGAGCGCTTCACCTTCCCACTCTTGGTCCGGATGAGGCAGCTGTTCTGGTCCCCAGCTGGCTGCTTGGCACCAAGTGCCTCGTCGTTCTTGGATGCCTGTGCATTGTTCTTGGATGACTGTGCCTCATCGTTCTTGGATGACTGTGCTCCGTTGAGGCCCTGGGAATTTGTAGGAGATTGAGCCCTGTTAGCTGACTTCTTTCGACCGGCACCCTTCTTGTTCTTTTGGCGCTGAGTACGATTCGCAGAGCCTTTATTCCTCGAGGCACCTGTCTCATCTGCTTTTGGGCGACTTTGAGGAGAGTTCCCTTTCCTGTTGGCTGTCTTGACGTTGGGAGTCTTCTTGTGTGCTTTCCTATTGTTGGAGCCCGTGGTTTTTCCAGAAGACTTTTTGTTTTGAGGCGCTTTTCTGTTGCCAGTAGCCTTTCTATTGCCAGCAGCCTTTCTATTGCCAGCAGCCTTTCTATTGCCAGCAGCCTTTCTATTGCCAGCAGCCTTTCTATTGCCAGCAGCCTTCTTGTTGCCGAGACTCTTCTTGTTGGCCTTCCTATTGTTGGGGCCCTTGTTTTTACGAGAGGCATTCTGGTTTTTAGACGCTTTTCTGTTGCCAGGGGATTTCTTGTTGCCGGGAGATTTCTTGTTTCCGAGACCCTTCTTGTTCCCGAGATTCTTCTTGCTAGCCTTCCTGTTGGAAGGGCCCTTGTTCTTGCCAGAAGCCTTCTTGTTTGGAAGAGCCTTCCTGTTGCCAGGAGATTTCTTATTATTGGAAGCCTTCGTATTCCCCGGGGTCTTCTTCCTGCCAGCAGTTTTCTTATTACCAAGACCTTTCTGGTTCTTAGGAGATTTGCTGTTACCAGAAGTTTTCTTGTTGGCTTTCCGGTTGGAAGGGCCCTTAATTTTGCCGGAAGCCTTGTTGTTTGTAGGAGTCTTCCTGTTGCCATGAGATTTCTTGTTGTTGGGGGCCTTCTTACTCTCGGGGGTCTTCTTGTTGCCAGCAGTCTTCTTATTACTGGGAACCTTCGTGTTTTTGGGTCCTTTCCTGCTGGCAGGGGTCTTCTTGTTGCCGACATGGTTGTTCTTCTTCGAAGCCTTCTTGGTTTGCGAAGCCTTCTTGTTGGCAGGGCTCTTCTTACTATTAGGCTTCTTGTTTTTGCCTGAACTCTTGTTTTTGCCTGGACTCTTGTTTTTGCCTGGACTCTTAGTTTTTCCGGGTGCCTTTTTGGTGCCAAAAGCCTTCTTATTGTCGGGAGTCTTGCCTTTTGCGGACTTTGATTTGGAAGTCGATATTCCCTTGCTGTTGGTTTTCCCTCTTAGTGCGCCTTGTCCTGCCTTCTTTCCGGACGACTTCCCTTTCAAACCAGTCTTGCCTTTGGGGGTAGTCTTTTTGTTGGAAGCTCCCCTCTTTGGCCCTTTGGTCTTGACCCCAGGACGTTTGCTGCCTTGAGGCTTTCCTTGGGAAGCCTTTCCGTTGCCACCTTTCGCTTTAGAAGCCTTCCCTTTGGCCGGGGATTTCTTGCCAGTCGCCTTTTTCAACCCATTCTTCTTGGACATATGGTTCTTTGAAGTCGGCTTTTGTTTGCTTTTGTTTGCGGCGGGTTTCCGATTAGAGGCCCTCTTTCCCCCCTTAGGGGAAGTCTTTCCCTTGGAGGGAGCTTTTCCTTTGGAAGAAGCCTTTCCCTTTGGTGGAGTCTTTCCTTTGGAGGGAGATTTTCCCTTGGAAGCAGCCTTTCCCTTGGGAATCTTACTCTTGGAAGCGGTCTGCTTCTGAGCAGCCTTTTTCGAGGCATGGCCCTTGGGGCTGGACTTCTTAGCCGGAGTCTTGTTTGGTGAAGCCTTATTTGTAGCCTTTTGCCCAGGTGATGTCTTCTTCTGGGAACTGGCTTTGGGACCAGCTTTCTTTGGTGAGTTGACCTTCTTTGAAGGACCGGCATTCTTTCCCAGAGCGGCCTTCTTCGCAGATGCGGCCTTCTTCGTACTGGCTTGCTTCTTTGGAGGGCCAGCTTTCTTCGCAGGACCAGTCTTCTTTGCAGGCGTACCCTTCTTCATGGGACCGGCCTTCTTTCCAACAGGAGCTGTCTTCTTCGGAGAGGCAACTTTCTTCGCAGGGACGGCCTTCTTTGGAGGCGCGGCTTTCTTCGCAGGAGCAGCCTTCTTCGGAGTTGGCTTTGGGGGAGCCTTTCTCTTGGCGAGGGTATTTTTATTTGCTTCCACAGTCTGGTTCTCCTGGAAAAGGTGTTTTCGTTAGCCTAGTTCCAACCATATTCTCTTCCTAACAGTATCCCTAGCCTTACTTGTGATGTCAAAAGGCCTGCTCGACTGATGGAATTTGCCTTCAGGAAAATAGCCGGAGGTGTTGAGTAAGTGGCTCCAGGTTGGTCTAATGATCGACCATATTCTTCTGCTCCTTCTGTTCCTGCTTTGACCACAAGGGCCAAGCAAAAAACTGAACAAATAACAATATTCGAGGCCATGTTAAGAAATCACCTGGCTTGTGGTTTAAGAAGGTGGTGTCAACAGCGTTCAGATTGACGATTTGGAACTGGAAACCGTCTGCAAGATATTCCTACATATCTTCTACACTTATAGACCTCGAAACATAGCATCTACTCAGTTGCCCCTCTGGCACAGAGCTCCTGCTGATGTCTAGACATTTGGTGCTTATCCTCTTCTCCACGGACGCATGTTCCTGCCTATGTCTTGCTTCTATCATCTTGTCAGCCTTCTGGTTCAGCCCTGCCGATACGCGCACTGAGTGGTGACAACTAGCCAGTCCTAGTAATCCGTATTTCCATAAGTTCCGTTACATAATAATTCGAAGGAAAACTCTCACCACACCATCTGCAATGTAGCAATAGGTCTTACGTGAAGAGCCCCGCCCACCTCTCACGTTTTGTTGTTACATGCGCGGTGGGCTAAACTCACAATTTCCCGAAGATCCAAGAGATGAACCTCACATAAGCTGTAGGGCGGATCCTTCGACCTTTGTTCATTTGCCACTTTCGACATCAAGCTTTTTCAACGACTCCAGGCTCGTCACCTACCGAGATGAGGAAAAGTGGAATGGCTAGACTTCTCTGGCACTCTAAATGCAACTATGCCAACTCTTGCAAGAGTAAAATCTCACCTGACTCGACCTACGAATGTGTAGGCTCACAAGATGAATCGCGACCCAGCCTCTGGATCGTCGATGATTGTTTTCGATGCCTGGCAGGACCGGTAGCTCGTAAAGAGAGCTTATTTTTGTGAGAATGGCGCCTTATCTTACCAATATTGACTGGCATAGGATTAGACGATGATCCTCGTGCGTGATCAATGCTACGCAGAAAGTATTGAGGAGCACCCATGTGGACTCGGTGCTGTTCTATTTATGTGGCGGCCACTTAGCTTGCTCGACGTAGAGATGTCCCTCGAAGACTTAGCCCTGATCTAGCATGTTTTCCTATAGAACAGGTACTTTGGCTAGGGGCATGGATCAGCTTTAGGTATCCTCTGCGAAGCGACACCTACTGCTTCTACTCAACTAACCTTTTCTAAAGAGTCTAATCTCATGTGCCTTTATCGCCTGTTTGTTTATTGGAATGCCAGTGGGACTTACTCATATCGTTTGCCTTTTCCATTTGCTTTGCCTCTGCCTCTTACTATAGATTTCATGTTGGAATCTTGCTGTCAGCTAGACTGGACCCCTTGTAGTTGTTCTGCTTTGGTGGAATGCAAGATCCGAGTATTAAAATGCAATTCTGCCATGATTGTATTCGCTTTATGGCCTTGACCTTACGTCTCATCGTCGTGGACAGCGATGTCGCCTTGTCTCTACCACACTTGTCCAGGCCTTAGGCTTATATGAAATTAGGTCGCAGGACTAACAGAGCTATTTATGATCACACGGAGAACGAAAACCATGGCTTATGCGTCATTTTACTTGTTTCCTTGAGGGCCAGTTCTGTGTGAAGAAGGCGAGATATAACGGGCCGGAATGCCTCTGGCCTCTCGCATAAGAGTGAAATCTATCATCCAAAAATTGATCTCAGTCCAAGATCCTCCATAATATCAGCCCAATGGACGTCGTGTTGATTGAAAAGATCATTGTCATAGGCCTCCCAGATCGCCTTGACGAGATTCTTTGCTATCTCGATCGGCTTCGGATACAAACAATTCTCTAAAAGACCCAATCGTTGCATGATAAGATGGCGAGCGTCGCCGATTAAGATGATGTCCTCACTCATGGAGGTAAAACCGTCGAATGATCCATGGTGATGTGTCCAAGAAAGGTCGCCTAAGTCAAAGGACAGGGCATGATCAGCCAAAAGTCCGCTAGAATGCCCCAGGGCTGTTGGGAGTTGGACACTTGATAAGCCTCCCCGAAAGCGTAATCCTGTGCTGGCTGCGATGTAAAGAATAGGTAACAGGGATCGACTCCCCGATTCTGGCGGAATCTTCTTCAAAAGATCCGTCAAGTATAACGCCAGGGGGACGACTCTATCGCCCCAAATGACATCGTCCCTGGCTATTTCAAAGGACCCAATAGGTGATACCTCTGTGCTTGTGTTCGGGAAGGTTTGGTAAAGATGCAGAAGGGCGGATAGGCGGTACGCTTCAGCTGCTTCGATAAGATGTTGTCGAGGAGTAAGTTGGTCCCCAGTCTCTCCAATCTCATCCAGATTTGGGTACTCCAATTGCTTAAGCATGAGTTCTAGTTGCTCTGCCCTCGCCATGACATCCAGGGCATCTAGCAGGCTTGCAGGACCGTCTTCATGCCCCTTCATCTTCTTTCGGAATGAACGACAACACTTTATCGATTCGCAAAAGAGCTGAGAGGTCAGTGTAGAGATCCCCGTCCATGGATGTGGCGTTAACGAAGAGTATTGGGTTTCGTTGCCGTTGATATCGAAATGCAGCATGGTATCCTCAGAATTGTTATCGCTGACGGCTGCGCCAGACTCATCTTCAACCCCCATGAACGTAACCAACGTATCCCAATACTGAGTACTGCTAACAAAGAAGCTCAGCATCTGGCGATCAGATGGTGAGAAAGATTGAGAGTGTAGTTTGGCCTCTGATAAAATAGCCTTTGTATTTCTCAGAAGTCGATTGACAAGCTCGTGGCGGTTGATCCAGCCAAAGATGGTCCCCATGCACACAAGGGCAAATAATACTCCTACAGGAAGCGTTTGCATTACCCCCCTCGTATTAAGAACCAGTATTTCCGATGTGATAGCATTCATTGCAGCCTGCATGTATTGCAACGCAGCGGCCTTCATCTGTGGAGCTTGATTCGACATATACGCGGCTGACATGCTTTGAAGGGAGGTGAGCACCGCTTCTGACTCTCCCCACAGTCTTTTCGCCAAGGTCCGATTAAGACTGATTTCAGAGTCAAAGGCTGACCAAATAGGGCACACCTGTTCAAACCACCGGGTGATGAGGAGGGACGGGATATTCAAGATGTTTCTTGGTACCCTATGGACTTTATCTCTGGCAGCTGGAAGTGAAACGATGTCACTAGGGGAATGGTCTTCTTTGGCCAACTCCTGGTGAGTCTGAGTGGTTGTATGTGATGGAAGGCTGAGATTAAACTCAGACATACTGCCAAAATCCAAGAGTTGCAAGGTGGGATCTGGGTCTTTGAATGGCTGCTCATTATCGACAACCAGGTTAAAAACTCCTTGGTCTTCTGATTCATTGTTAACAGATTCGAATGTGGAATCAGAATCCAAGAGAAAGGATGCATCGAAACTTGGTGGAGAAGAAGCTTCAGCCTGGCTCGAGACATACTCGGTCAAGCATGAGGGTGTCGGTCGTTCCCAAGACTCCAAGAGACCGGAAGTTATATTTGTGGCGCCCAATTTCAATCCAGCGGACCTGGTATGACAGTCCCCATTCTTTTGCCATGCCGATGTATGAGTATAGATATCGACCTGATGCTTCATGGACCATTGGAGCTTGCGTCCATAACCTCCGCACTTGACACCTTTCCCACGGCAGTTGAAGCATTCTGGCTTGGCTTCATCACATTTCAACTGTGGCCCAGATTACTTTCTGAACAGGTGAGATCTGACAGCACAAGGAAGCTTACATGTTTTGTCTTACAAGTGACACAGCCTGACCGTGACTTTGTTGTGCAGTTTCTTCTGTTAGTCCTAACTGCTTTGCCGGTCTTTGAGCTTTTTGAATGCAAATCTTCAAGCATTATACAAAGAGAACTATCGAGAAGGAACGAGAAGGAAGCAGTCGACCGATGAGATGTGCTGGGCTATGTTAATCCACAATCCTCAAAAGAGGTAATCGCTAAATCGGGCCCAAGAAAAAGGCAATTTCGATTGGCCCACTCTGAGACCAGGAGAGATCGATCACAATGCAGCCCAGAGATATGACACGATAGACCCTGTTGCCGGGTTGGAATAGACTCGATGGGGGAACTGCACCGCCTGTTGTCGTGGATATGGAGTAAGAAGCGCGATGCCCCGACGAGTGGGAGAGCATCGTGAAGCTCATTTCGAATGGCTATTGCGTGATTCAATGGCCCACTCCCCGTATTACCGTAAAATATTTCTCTCTACGGGCTAACGTCGACTTCCTACTGGCGACGTTGAGCCCTTGTGGGGCCTGTTTGTGTATGCCATCCAGCTTTGAAATGACGTGCGCTGACGATGACCATCCTGAACATCTCCAAGGTTCATTGAAGTGCCTATAAGAAGACAGGATGAGAACATCGACGTGGTCATTAGGAAGCAAGGGACTCATAGGAGCTAGTATTGTATATTTTCTAGAAAGTTACTCACAACAAAGAATGTGAGGAAAAGAAAGGATGTTGAACTGGAGAGTGTCGATGAATACATTCAAGATGGAAACGAAGTGAAAACCCATCGATCTGTTCAACCATTCAAGGCACCAAACGAGTTTCCAAAGAGGATCATTATTACATGGCGAATCTATACCATTTGCATTTAAGTAGATAATTGATGATGAGCGGAATTGGTATCTTGGAAGAGATAAATCTACCTATTTTGAGACCTGGGCCATGGTGAGGTATAGGGTAGGCAACTTGGTCTGGACTAACTTTGATGACTTCAATACGATATCGCTAGTTCACCCCGGATAAAGCTTTGCATTCAATCATTAAGTGAGATATTCTGAGGTCTCTTAATGGCCATCAAAGCTTGCTGTTCAAATTGTATGTCCAATAGGAGCACCTTTCGCTGTTCCTAGTCATCCTTACGAGTGATCAAGTTAATTCTCCAAGGTTAAAGGAGCTTGTACCAGCCCGAATGTAATATTCCCCTGGTTGAACTTCCACTTCTGTCACCCCACATTCTATTAGCTTAATTAGTATCGAGTGATTTTAGACGCAGCCATATCTTCCTGTTGCGGTGTTAGTTCGATTATCTCAAATCCTTGAATCAGTCATGACAATAGCCATCGCGTTGGGGTGATCAGCAACGATGCCAAGGAGTCCTAACATTAGCGCTGTGAACCACAACAAAGACGAGTGGGCGGGAAGACTTCCGCGAGGAAATACTGCTACATATTGACGTCAACGTGTGTTGTCGCACTGGCCCGGCCAAGCAGCTAACCAGGCTCCTGGAGTATTCATCGTCTAGTGTGGGCCTATTGGATGCTTTAGATGCCCAAGAAGCTGAGCAACAATAGAAACTAAGCAAGCCTCAGCGGCCGTAACGGCCCGCTTTTGCCATCGTTTGGTGATGCCTCTAGTGGCGGTTTCCGTCAATACATTGAATTAGTAAGAGATGCAAGGGGGTGAGCTTTCACCAATTGCTCCTCCTTACATGATGGTGCCGTTAAACGCTATTGGAAGCATATCGGAGTTAGTTGCCATAGAGATTGAGGATTCGAGGAGTTGAGTTACATTGGACTATCTCTTCGTGGCTAGTCTACATCAAAGCTACGTCAGTCACATCTAGACCGCTCATCCTGTGGTACTAAGATGACTTTAATCATACTTGAATTAAACTGGTGTTTGTTTTCTTTTGAAGCGTGCTCAGGGGGTCCAAATTCGTCCCCCCTCCTAAAGTAGTTCCACCGGCTTATACCGAGTCTTATACCCTGATCTTCTCATCTATATCTATATCTATAAGATACTAAGGAGGTACTTCTAAGAGTAGATTTTTTTAAATTTCTCTACCTAATATACTACTCTTAGTATATATAACTTTATACCCTTATAGATTACTATAGCCCCCTTATTAGATTAATAAAAAATATATTAATATATTACTTATAGTATCTATATAAAGCTCTTTATAATAGTATATAATCTTCCCTCTTTTATTAACCCTTATAATATAGCTAGATCTAATAAAGCTATAGTTATAATTAAAGTAGATTTAATAGCTACTTCTAAAGCTTCTATTTAATTAAACTAGAGTAAAAAGACTATAGCTAGCTAAGGGGATATCTATTTATCTCCTCTAAGACTAATAGTAAGATTAAAGAAATATATAAGGTTTTTAGTACTATTAGTAATATTAAAAAAGCTTATATAATTAAATAATTAAATTAAGATACTTTTAGAGTTATTATATAAGATTTATAATAATAGAGAGTTTCTAATTAATAAAAATCTAATTATTAATTAAATCTATATATAAATAGCTATATAACTTAATATTAAGTTTAATTAAGATAATATTAATATAAAAAAGATTAATAGGAAAGTTAGAAATCTTATAAAGTAGTAGAAATATTTTTTTATAATTATAGGAAACTTAGATATTATTTATAATAAAAAAACTAGGAAGATATTAGTAAGTAATAAGTAATAGAATAACTTTAAGCTTTTATATAACCTACTAGCTATATACTTTTAAAGTTATAGTTTTTTCTATTAATTACTTTAAAAGTTTATTTTTAAAGATATAGAGATTATTAGTTTAATTATTATTCTAATAGAAGATATTAATAAATTAGATACTATTAATAAGAAAGAATTTACTTTAAATAATAAGAAAATCTAAATAATAAATTTAAATATTCTAATAATCCTTATACTAACTACTTATTAAAGAGTTAATTTATTATTAGTTTTAAATATAGACTATTTAAACTAGTTAGAACTATTTATACTTCTAAAGAGCTAATTAAAGTAAATAGAATAAACTAATAATTTTAATAGTAATAAATTAGTAATTATAATATTCCTATTAGCTTTATCTTATTAGTTATCTTATTAAGTAGATATCTTTAATCTATAAAGTATAATT